AGAGTGATGAAGAAGAATTAACTTGACCTATGTGTTATGTAAAAGTTTTAGTTCCCACAACCTCAAGTTCAAAGTTTCTCAAGTAATTGCCCACCAAAAAGCTGTTCATGTCTGAACTTGTCGAGAATCAAACCCAGACTTGGTGAGAAGCAGCTTGAAAAAGTCGACCTAGCTCAACACATATGGGTGGCAGAGCAATTAAACAGGGGTGCCCACAAGGGGGGGCTGTGACGCAGACTGCGTCATTGAAATTCTTGGGGGGGGGTTTCAAAATTTCAAATGGGGGGGGGTTGGCTAAAGTTAATTAATTGCAACAGAGTTCAACGTGACGACAGTCAAAAATATATTACGAAGTCACCAGATAGAAAGTCGATTAATTATAATGACAATAGTTATATTATTAAATTAAATTAGTTAAAATAGGATTTTAGGATAGTTTAGGATTTGTGTAGGAAGTTATTATTCAACATTAGGAAGACGTGAGATCTAGAGGGAGGGCACGGAATGGCTCAACTGCTGTGATAGATAAAGATACGCGTGGTACAGACACGTCCAGCTACACCGCGACTTAGCACAGAACGCTTTGTTGACATAAAACTCGTTGATACAAACAAGTAGCATAGGCTACAATACTTTACACTACTGCTTAGATACTCGATTACCTGAGTTAATAGGGGTAGGGGGGGGGGGGGTATTGAAAAATACGCTTAATCGAATATAGTATAAAAACAGATGACAAACCCATTAAAACGCAGTAAACAGCCATTACGTCACGATTTGCATTTTTATCAATGAAATTCAATATTTCACAACCATTATTATTGTGCAATAATATGACATTTCAAATAATTTATCTTGGTTCAGTTGTACAAACGGCAACGTTTAAAATTATAGCTAACTCAAACTCAACTAAAATAACTAGCCAAACACTGCATTGCTATAAATAACGTAAATATTAAACCTTAGAACGTGGTATAAGCTTTAAGCTACTGCTCATGATAGACAGATAGGCTACTCGTAGGTGCTGTATCAAAACATAGGAATTGATAGTAAGTCATAAAAAAGTGTAAAATTATATTTAGAGATAATAAAAACGATCTTAAAAAAGGATGTAACGAGAACAATCTTGCTATTCTTTTTCTTTGTTCTTCTGTCCTTTATTAGGTTTCTCTTCAATTTATACACTTAATTCAACAAGTCGCCATATTTAGGCCTACTCATTGCCCAATCACAGCCTTAATAAAGTTACCATGGTTACTAATCACTCAATCACAGTTTTTATCGTCATCATTCCCCAGCTGTTGGATCTGAAATCTGTTGCAGCATATAGCGCAAAGCAGACAGAAGTGTAAAACGGAGCAGATGATAGTTGGCGCAAGCGTAGAAGTTGAAGTCATTTTTTCATTTCATTTTCATCAAAGGAGCTGTGATGTTTCCAAAACGAATATGTGGGAGGGAGAGGGGGTCGTTATATCAAGATAAAGACGCTGACAAATCGTTAAGTAGAGGCACATGTTTTCTGTGTGGGCCGGTTACAAACGCTATGTAGATATTCTGGCAATAAAAAAATTCTTAATATAAAACTCTAATTTTATATACTGTATAGAAAGATAAGATAGATAGATTTTCCAGTCCTGTATAAACACTGATTCACGGTCTTTTCCCGGTAATCAAAATTCAAGTACAACTAGATACACACAGAATCTCCGGTTCCCGATCTGGATGATGGCTAGTTATTTAATTTAATTTACAGTTACATATTAGTACCCGTGATAAATCAAACCCGTTATGTAAGCCACACGGTTATTAGTCTCTCTTGGTTTTGGATTTGCTTACAAACGTGATCGGAAATGGTTAGGACCTACACAGTATTAGTAAACAACATTTATGTAAACATGTCAGTGACAGCTAGAAAAAGGAATCTTTATCAAAACATCTGTTCATAATTTCATATATGACGTGTTCTCTTAACAGATTATTAGTATTTAATAAATGACTAATAGTAAACATAGAGAAAAAAAACTTGAATAAATCACACAAAATATGGTTTTTGATCCTCTGTTAATTTTATTTCCAAAATAGTGAGGCCATATTTTAATGACTAAGGACACCCTCGCCAATCCTGATTAAACCCGTGCTATTCCCACATATTCTGACGTCATTCGGATTGCAAACAAAAGATCACCTGATTGTAACTGTCAAATTAGGATATATATTTGTTTTGATTTTGTTGTTATTGTTTTTATTATTATAAAAACAATAACAATAAAATCAAAACAAATACATACTAATTTGACAGTTACAATCAGGTGATCTTTTGTTTGCAATCCGAATGACGTCAGAATATGTGGGAATAGCACACCTATGTTTTTCCTTCCACCATGAATTAAACCATTAGAATCATAATCGGTACTTCCGTTTCCTTTAGAGTAAACTGCGTAAAATGCCTTCTGGGCCGTGACGCGGACATAAATTAAGATAAGACATGTTTCTACTTCTTTAATGTAAGCTTAAAAATGACCCAAAATATGTATAATTCTGAGCAACGTACAGACAAAACTATAACTTTATTTATATAGATTAACTAGGTTTGAAATTTCAATATCTAAAAGATTTATAAACCTTCTTTAGTTTTAAAAATAATGCTGGGCGGGGGAATAATGTTTCTCATTTATGGTGGGGGGGGGGCTGGTGCTCAATTAGGGGGGGGGGGGGTGCGTCATGAGTATAGGGGGTGATGGGCACCCCTGAATTAAACATTCACATCTGCACTGAGATAGCAAAATTAATTCACTGATCTGATCATCTGGACAGAAGAGTAGAAAACGGTTTTTTTTCAACAATGTGATTTATTTAGCGTTCATAAGGATAACAAGATCTTAGTACAAATGTTTACAATTATGATGTGTGGTAATATTTTTGTTGGGCTAGCTTATAGTTAGGCCTAGTTGAATTCTTGTTTTCTTTGTCTGCTTACTTGAAGATTCAAGGTCAGCTGAAGATGTCATTTTTTAACAACAACAAAAAACATTCATTTTTCGGAGAATTTTACAACAATCACTTCTTACTTGATGGACAAAGTACCTCCAGGACGTATAAAAGTGTGTCTTTTATATGCCTTGAAGTGCCTCCACATCTTAGGTGACTGGGAGTCTTTTCATGGAATAGGTTCATGCTTTCTTCGAATGCTCTCGGATTCGGATATTTGATCCATGGAAGGTAGCTGAACAACTGTAGCAAGTACAACGCACAAAGAGTTGTTGACTATGTTTTGAAGACCTTTAAAATACTGAGGTTATGGATTCAGAGAGATACAGTATAGAACTATGTGGCTACTAATGATTATAAGCATTAAAGGAAAATGCATATTAACATCAACAAACCTCATACTTGTCAACATGTGAACTGATTGCAGTGTCTGACTTGTTTTTATTTTGGTTTAATTGCCAATGTTTGTGATCAATGGAAAGGACAAGCAAAGTGCCTTAAGCATCTTGATAAAGCGGGCCTGAATTCCTTCTTAGAATTTTGTTGGTGATATATCAACACAACGTGATGATTTATAGAATGCAATTATTTGTTATTTTAATATTTAATATTTTACTATTAATTAATGAACTGTCATTAATAAAGAAAAAGGTTTTTCTTTTTTTCATAGTAAAATGAAATCGTAAATAAAGTTTTTTTTTTTGTTGTCCTGGGAGGTGAAAAACCTAGCCCCCAAAGGGGAGGTAACTGCTCGGTGTTGGTATCGGCTTTTCAAGTGGGCCATAGTCATGGACGTCTGGTAAGCGCCAGCCCCTTAGGGGGAGCCTCCAGTGACATTCCTCCATCCAGGTTGGTGGGGTGTTTAGCTCTCGGAGAGGTGGAAGTGCGCCACCAATCTCCCATCTACCTGTGACTATGGTTCTCTGGGCTTCGGCCTGCTTGTTCTGTGCGACCAGCATTCAGTGTGGCAAATCCTCGACTTTGGAAGTAGCCTTTCCTGGAGGTGAAATCGGGCAAGTACCCGTAAGCTCACGGGGACACTCTAGGGGAGCGTAACTTTCCGCAGAGTGAGGGCAACGGCTGGGCGCACTCCATCAGCCAATCCCTGTCTCTGAGACCGGAAGGTATGGTTATCTAGAGTGTGGGGAGTTCTTCCTGGAACTTCAATTGAGCAAAGGGTGTCGCCACCTTTGGTGGATAGGTTCATCCGGGTGGGACCCACTTCTATTCCTGCCTCCTTTTGGGAAACCCTGATGGCCTGGCAGTGATGTTGGGCTGGACGGGCAAACGAAGTAGATCGGGTGCTGGGTTCAAGCCCGCTAGGGGTGTTCAGGGATCTATCGACTTGGCCACCTCTGGTTTCCCAGCAACTGGGTAAGGCCTCGATCGGGTAGTGGTGCAAAAAGGTGGTTGGGGTTCCCCCCATCAGCTTGCTGGTGGTCCCCTTCTTCCTGACTTTGATGGCGGGCTCTGCCTGTCAGGGATTGGATAGATCCCGAGTGTTGCTTGCACTAAATGCGTCAGGGCATTCCACTATGGTCCTTCTGGGTTTTGTACCTTGTACCTGGGGGAACCCAGGTGGAGTGACGCTTAAACAAGTAGCCGGTATCCCTGGTTAGGATTGAGGGGAAACCCTCTCTCTGAAGGGTGTGCTTCGAGCCTGATGACCTTAAGTCATCCTCCCATGATGTACCAAAGGTTGGTGCATTAGCTTCGGCCTACATCATGGGGCCCGGGTATGTTTAATTATGGGTACCGGGTTTGCAGTCAGGGAGCTTTATGCTCTCATGACAAAACAAAATGGAATGGAAATGGAAAAAATGGAATGGTGATATATCAGAGTAATTTTTTATTATAACAAGGAAATACTGATAAAATTGTTGATAAAAATTTTTTTTATGTGACATAAGCCTACTTTCAAAGTGTGAGGGTAGGCCATGTAATGTTAGTTTAGTAAATTGTTTCCATTATACAATGACTATTTCAAAATTGTACAGGTTTAAATAACTTGTAAATGTCTTGTCAGCGATCATGTATAGTATCGGATGTTATATCTCTATTTGAGGCCATTTAAGATTATAAATATCAGTTTATTTAAAATTAAAAGGCCTTAAAAGTTCCGTTGTGGCCGGCCCGAGCTGCGGGGCTACCTTCAGCGTTGACAATGCCGCATCATTCAACAAAATGAGAGGACCACTGAGTGTGGCCTTTCTGATCTTTAGCGATTAAATACGACTGCAAAGGTTTAACAATCTAAAATTTGACTTAGGACCTATCTCGTTTTTTTAAAGAGGTTGAAGATTTGTCCATTATTACTTCTTGCTTATTATACCCAACAACATTTCTTTCCAGGTATAATTGCATTAAAAATTGTTGAACTACTTTGAAGTTTGCGCCAGTTAAAGCACTTCCTTAAGAATTTCTAACTCGTCGACTGATTTTCTAGCTTGGAAGAAAATACAGTAGGATGTTCGTAGTTTAGAACACCTTTGACAGCAATCAAGTAAGCCAATTACATTATTTTTCTAATAGCTTCTTTTATCACTATCAGACACTGGTGGTTCATCTGATGATGTTGGTTCATTCCTACATATTACAGATATTCGTCTCTTCTTTTCAACAACTTGATTTTGAAATTTTGACTCCTCTTTGGCCAATATTTCATGGGTGTAGTCATATCTAACAGTGTCTCTGTAAAACAAGAATACAAGTCTTAACTCTCTCATATTTGATTTGACATTTCCCAAGCTCTTATTTATACTCAATTCGACATTTACAGTGTAATACAGGTCTAATTGGAGATAGTTGTGCTGTAAACATTACTGAAAACATTATGTAATATTGTCATGCAGGTTGTGTCATCCTTGAAACTCTTGTGAAGTCGCTTATAGCTGTTTTATTTCTATAGCTTTAAGCATTTTACTGTGATCTATTTACTGTGATTAAATGGTATTTTTTGACTTAAGTCCAAAATAGTTGTAAAATGAATTTTGATGCTCTTAGCACAGCTAGTATCGACAAAACTGCCATTTGAAATGCACTACAGTACATGGCTTATGGGCTCTACATACAGAACAGTGAATGTTAAATAGAGTATAGAGCTTGCAACATTTTACAGTATCATTCGTAACTTATAAGGATAATTATTTTTCTGACACTTCATGCAACCTAGTTTTGACTTGGGACTTAAAATGTGGTTTACTTAACCAGGGGTGCCCAGAAGGGGGTACAGTGCCGCACTTGCGCCACTGGAATTTTGGGTGAGGGATTTTTGTGGGGATATTTTTTTGTTAGCTGTCTTAATGAATGTATCATTTTGAATAAGCAGCCTAAAAAAGTGTTTCTAAGTAGTTAACTATCAACACCAACAACATTTTGCTATTTGTAATTAAGATTAGGCTACTTCTAAAAATGGTAAAAAAGCACCTTGTCAAACAATTATTAACATGTACAGTACCGGTAGTGTCAAATTTTACTTGCTACATGTTTTGGCGGTTCTTTAACTCCACCATCGTCAGGCTTACAAAAAGATCCACTTCTGGAGTTGTTGCAACTTATTCATGCACTTAAGTTGATTGAATTCTTAAGCCCTATAAAAATTTACGCCACCTAACATATTGTACAGTAATCTGAACGTTTTGAAGACTTTGTCTATTGCAATACTGAGAACATGTTGTCTGACAATAGGATTCTGAATTGTAAATTGAAAAAGTTTAAATTTGTCCATTAGTTAGATATAATTTTGTATCGTTAATTGATGTTTCCTATTAACATTTTATTTCAATTATTAGCAAGTTTTTTTTTACCCCCAGTTTACAAAATACTTGAAAAATGCTCGTTTAATGTGGGAAGGGAAAATTGCCAAGTAAATAGGCGGGGGGAGGTTTAAATAGAGGGTAGCATAAAATGGGAGAAACTGCTCCTCTGGCTTGGGGGGGGGGGGGAATTGCGCCTTTGGCTTTAGGGGGGATGGGCACCTCTGCACTTAACATATTAATAATGTGAACTGGAAAATGCCATTCTACTTCTTGTAATTAAGCATACTATTCCATAGCAATGATATTTTTCATTCATAACATAGATGGCAAAATAACCATAAACAATTAGCCGGCTAACATTACTGTTCTAAAAGTTTACTCACCTCATCACATAAAGAGAGCGGCGCTTTAACAAAACGTCAACCACCTTAGTCTTGTCTTTATCATGCACAAGACGCATAACAGAATCAGTTAGAAGGCTCAGTCCTGCGATGGTGTTTCCACAAAACTGAAACAATAATAGTTTAATTAAAACAAAACTTTCAGACTCAGATTTTGAGAATCAATATTGACATGGAGAATTTATTTAGAACATAAGGCTTATGTGTAAGACAATGTCTGCTACTTAAAGGCAGAGTTTTTTATGGATAGGTTTGCATACTGATACTGAACATCGACTGTGATACGGAAGTCAAGTTACCCTGAAGCTGACACTTCACATTGAGGCCAAAACCCAAAACGTTGTTAATACAAGTCAATCAATCAATCAATCAATCTTTATTTGCCGTAAGGATACATAACATAACATTGACAAAGTCAGGATTTACAGTTTTCAAACCAAGTCTTAACATAACAAAATGTTCTTATAGGTTAAATATTTACAACACATACTATTCACAATCTGTACAGAAATGAAAACAAAACTAAAGAAAAATTTCTCCCAGTTTAAAATATTCATCCAGACAAAAAAAAAAAGGGTTTGAAGCAGATAATATATAAAACAAAGCCTTAAATTTGTTAATTGATTGAATATTTATTATTTTTAACTGAATTATATACTTAAATTGATAAAATTATGTGGCAATTACTAGTTTTACAAAGGTGATGGGATTCTAACAGCGCAGTATTTTTTAAATGAGTCTTGTGACTGAGATTATTAAATTGAAGATATTCAGGGGTTTTAAATATATAAACAATGAGATCATAAATGAACAAATTTACTAAAATATGAATTTTCAGATCTAGGCCTATAAAAAGAGGTTTGCAATGCTCAGGGTGCGTCTCAGTCATAGCTCTTAACGCTCTTTTTATGAGAAACAACATTTCTTTTATTCTACCACTACCACACCGAAGCACCAATCCATATATCATAAGTCACTGACAGTATGCAAAATAAGCCGTGCTTACATATTAAATTTCTTAGGAACTTGATTTACAAGACGAAGATATACAACACGAGACAATCTTAGAAGATAAATAATCTATATGAGCATTCCATGTGAGTTGATTTACCAATATGCAGGCCCAAAAATGCCACAGCTGTGGTATTATTTGTATGGCAGTTAGTGGGAATCTGTTTAGTGTAAAAATCTTGTCTTGGGTTTTTTTCTTCATTTAGTAAAAAGCCATTAGCGTTAAGCCAATTTGATGTATTTAGCTTTGTTTCATGGACAAGATTTTTCGAGTTCTGTTAGGTTGGGATTTACTGATTTACATGAAAAAAGTTTAGTATCATCAGCATAAAGAATATTTTTAGTGTTAACTGCCAGTGGAAGGTCATTAAAATATATTACGATTAAAAGTAGACCAAGGACTCAGCCTTGTGGAACACCCCATTTATCATTCTTTTCTTGCAGAGTGTTTCATCTATTTTAACAACATAAATGGAGATCTTTAAAGTACCATATTTTAGATAGGTAATTTAATTACTTTACAAAAAGAAAACAAGAGTAAATTGCAACGAAGATTTGCATTTGCAGCTTGAATTAATTAAAGCAGTAATACAACACAACTTTTAAATCCAAAAGTGAAATAAATTACAGAGGAAGTATAAATTATAGTAGCCTATATCATTGTTGATGAAAATTGTATTAGCCTAAATTCAATAGCAAACAAAAATAAATATCCTAAGTTATATCTTAAATGGGTAACCAATAAGCTTGTTTAGGTAGTGATTTAACAGAAAATCACACAATTTGATAGTGACAAGACAGGGGTTTGGTTTCTTTACAAAACCCATACAAAAAAAAAACAATGATGTAAATAAACATGATAAGACTTATAAAACAGATTACCCGAACAGCATCTATGTGTGGTTTTATATAACCATTCTCAGCAAGATCTAGAATGTGCACATAATGAAGCTGAGCACTGCCAGGCGGAAACGCAAAGTTTCGTACACGATCTATAATTTTAGTATTCTCTTCATTCCATTTCAGTCTTTCAGTCTCTCGATAGCCATGGATAGCCTGAAATTAAAAATGTTTTGTTTGGCATATAGTACACATAATGTTGAAAATGTGAACCTCACCAAATGGTAGAGAAAGGTAGTACAACATATGTCATTTGGGTTAAGTCATACATCTATCTAAATATATAAAAGGCAAAGTCCTCACTGACTGACTGACTGACTGACTCACTCACTCACTCACTCATCACTAATTCTCCCACTTCCCATTTACCTAGGAGGCTGAAATTCGGTACACCGATTCTTTGGGCATTAAATAGGAAAACTAAGTAGTTTTTATTCTGATCGGGCTTTCGGGCTCCGCCCCAGTGGCTCTGGAGTTTCCCATGTTAACCTTATGATTTTTCATATTTAAAAGGAATTAATCAGCTGTTTCAATTAAACAAGTTGGTTCTGTTCTATCTTTGACTATTAATACAACAACGTTCTATGATGTACAATAGCATTAAAGTTGCAAGGATTACCAACAGGGTGCAGCACTATTATTTTTTTTTATTTATGACAACAGTTAATTTGCAACTAAAAGGTGAGTGAGCGTAGCGAACAAACTTCAACCTGGAGGCGAGTTAGTGTAGCGAACGAGCTAACCTGAAGGCAAGTGAGCGCAGCGAACGAGCTCAAACCTAAAGGTGAGTGAGCGTAGCGAACGAACTTCAACCAGGACATGATTATGAGCCATGCGAATACTTATGAAGTTAAACGGGGCAAAGCCCGCGGGTACAGCTAGTATATATATATAAGGCAAAGCCCTCACTGACTCACTGACTGACTCACTCACTCATCACTAATTCTCTTACTTCCCATTTACCTAGGAGGCTGAAATTTGGTACACTGATTCTTTAGGCATTAAATAGGAAAACTAAGCTGTTTTTATTCTGATCAGACTCTCGGGCTCCGCCCCAGTGGCTCTGGAGTTTCCCATGTTAACCTTATGAGTACTCATATTGAAATGGAATTAATGAATATTAACAGCTGTTTCAATTAACAAGTTGGTTCTGTTCTATGATGTTCAATAGCATTAAAGTTACTAGGATTACCAACAGGGCAACAGGGTGCAGCCTTATTATTTCTTTTAAATTTATGACAACAGCTAATTTGCAACCAAGAGGTGAGTGAGCGTAGCGAACGAACTTCAACCTGGAGGCGAGTTATGTTGCAAACGAGCTAACCTGAAGGCAAGTGAGCGCAGCGAACGAGCTCCAACCTAAAAGTTAGTGAGCGTAGCGAACGAACTTCAACCAGGACGTGATTGAGCCATGCGAACGAGCTCACTTATGAAGTTAAAAGGGGCAAAGCCCGCGGGTACAGCTAGTAAGATCTATAAGGGAAAAATGGGTTTACTGTTCATTGCATTATTTAAAATTATCATGGAAAAACTATTTAGGTACTCATTAATCATTCTATTGTAAAGACAAACGCTAAGGGCTTTACTACTTTCTTTGTTTAACGGACTGTTAACTGCATACATTAACATTTTAAGTTACCGGTACCAAATATTGAAAGGTAAAAATAAAAATACTGAGTGTAGCTTATTAATTATGATAAATAATGTGGCATTTGGATTAAATGAAAGAAAATTTAATTTTTTTAAAGCCATCATTTTACCATTCATTGTTTATGGGTAATCTATGATAACTTAAGTTAAGATGTTTAAATGAGCTACTTAATAAGGCTGGTTTCATTTGTAATTGAATGTGATGTGATTAATGTGGTCTCAAGATTAGCTAGCAATTTGAGAATATTACGTACGGTAGCCAAGACGTTAAAAAACTTCCAGTAGTTTACAAATCATTATCTTAATTAATAGCATGAATTCTAGGCCCCAGTAACCAACAACACTTTTTGGCACGTCTTTATTACGATAACGGGTGACACAGTTCCACAGAGAACCTACGATATATTATCAGATGAAATATTAGTTTGAAATATTAATTGAAATATTTCAATCAATATCAAAATTATAAGTTATGGGAATTTTTACGGAGAGTACCACCCGCCACTCTTTTACAGTGCCCTGTGGCGTTTGGTTATTTTTGGTTAGTTTATGGAACTCGTGGAAAGAAAGAAAAAGAAAAATTTACGTTGTTGTAAATTTATCTCTTTAACAAATTACACAAAATATTAACTTTAGTTTTATCAATGAACGTTACCTTGTTTGTTGTTATCAAAAAATTTAAATTAAATTAAGCAGCACAGCATTAAAAATCTTCTTGAAAAACACAAAATCAATATTTTTATTGCATGAAACCTATAGGAAGCTTGCAATATAAATAGGCCTATTGAACAAAAATTTCATTTGACAATATATCGTAAACTGTACCTACAATAACTGATCAACAAAAGAATCCTTTTTTGGTATTTCAAAACATACATACAGCGCAGCGCGCTATGAGGTATGACATACTAGTAGCGTATTTTGGCATAGCGTATTTCAGCGTAGCGTACAACCAAGGAACAAACTACTACCGAGGAGCGCATTCGGCTGCAAACATGCTTAAAAAGTTAATACTAGTCTCTTTTCTGTACCAATTGGTTTCCTCCAATTAGTTGTCAGCTTCTCCAAATCATCCTTCACCAAACTAAATGTGTAATCGAACGTTATAGTTGTCATTCTCGTGTAATCCATAAACCAAGATCCCTAAGGATTGGAAATAAGTTGTGATGTTCACCATGTTTGTCCCTGCCTTTACACACTTCATGCACCCCGACACTTCTCCTAATGATCAAAAACTGCCACCTAAGGTACAAGGACAAGACTACATAATACGAGCTGTCTTCGACAGAGCCATCCTCTATAGTTGATGTACCTTATTACAACCGTCTACAGCCTATGCACTACGTTACGCTGCGCTCTCTGTGTGTATTGGACTACGCTGCGCTGCGCTACGCTGTCTGTATGTTTCTACCCTTAGACTGCATACAACTTTTAGCCATATTTTATTCATACTATAGACAAAAACAATTTAATATAGACTGTCAGCCGTGCTACGGTTAACATGTGGTTACTATAGGTTCTGGCGCACACCGATGGGAGTGCCATGTAGTTACGTAGCACGTACGCCGTAACTACAAGGCGCTCCCAGCGGTGAGCACCAGAACCTATGGTAACCGCACCACAGCTGACGGTCTATATTTAAGTTAGTTCTTTTTGTCTATGTTAATACTCACTAAAACCTCGGACACAAGCTTGGTATTCGGACTGTGCGGAGAAATCCTGTAACTTATTTCTGAAAAACCCATCAATTTAAGATGTAACTCAAGAAAACCTAACAAATTTATTTCAATACTGACATAAATAGGCTATGTGTGTGTGCGTAAAGACTTCAGCAAACTTACATTGTCCCAATGACTAAATTCATATCGTAGACGTTTCATGTAAGGCTCAATTTCTTTGAGGAGGCAATCTTCTTCTTTCTCATTAATGAATGATTCAACAACTATCATATTTTTACAAATTAATTGCTTTTCTTCTTCACTAAATTTGTCGTTGCAGTCAACATAGCTTACGTCACTGACATCATTATGAACAAATCTCTCACTACTAGCAAAATTAAAAGTGTACTTCGGATTACACGGTGTTTTAGATGTTTCAAAATGGTAAAAAATGCCTAAATAATTGTTTAAGTTGAAATTACTTGTAGATGCCATTTGACAGAACTGCAGATTGAGGTTAGGTCGTGTATAACATGCCGTATTTCTAAGTACAGAAATAAAACCCATAGCAAATATGATTATGAAAACGAAAAAAATTATTATTTTAAAATAATAGTTACTGAATATGTAAGAATCATAGTAAAAAATAATTAAAAATGTATGTTATCTTGATCCCATAACCTCTAAATATTCAGAAAATGAAACCCAAGTACAGAACCACAGAACCCAAACCCAAAAAAACAAAAATAATGAAAAGAGCAGTCGATAAAATAATACAAAATACAAATTTTTTTTCTTTTTAAGCCGATAGTTTAGCTATGTATGACTGGAAGAAATCCATGCAGCATGCAGCCTCAAGGAACACTAGCTGCTTGGCTGCTTCCTCTGTATTCGAGATAATAGAGACCGTTTTAGTGTTTCGCAATACTGTAGTTATTTTCTTATTTATTAGGGCAAGGCCAATAGAAATAACTTCAGAATAAAAACTATACCATTTTAATACTGTATGTTGTAACATGACTTAGCTAATGCAATATTTACTGTGAATATCAGCTCAATAAAATTATTTTATTTTATTCTGTTTCTAGTGACCGATGATTATAGTTTAGTGTTTGTTCCATGGCCACCTTTAACTTCATGCCTAAGTGGCAACGTTGCAATGCAAGTAGGGTTGTTTAGTGTTAGACGTCCGGTAAGATAACATGGCACTAGACAGGTGACACCAGTTCATTAAATCACACTTTATACTGTATTGATTAAATTTTAAATTTATGAACATAAATTTATTGAAATATTGAAAATAAAACGTACAGAATTGAAAACCAAAACAATATGAGAGTGAAAATGTGGAAACGTGCGTTTTAATATCTCTGGCCTTTTGTTTCGTAGATACAGTACTGTATTTGAAGTACCTTTATTACTATGCGTTTTAATATTTTTTGGGACGGGGGCAACATGTTACAAACATTTATTTGGTTTTAAATAGATCCTAGGTATTTTTTCTTAAAGTCTCAAAATTCATGACCATCACGTGTCCCTAGGGTACATTTTTCAACTTTCAAGCTGTATTTAGACTAATAACTCATGCAGAAATGTGCAATATTTTTATGTAATCAATAGTTATTAAATTTACAAAAAAGGAGCATATAATAATTTTGTATTTATTGCGAAAAGACGAAATAAGTTTGTCCCTCTATTTGACGTCCCGACCGTAATGGCAAAATTTGCAGCTTTGGAACACTACAGTGGCAAGCATGGCGGTGATAGTGTCAGTTAGTTTTAGAGACTGGTTCGGGATGTGTGTTAGTTTGTGTGTACCGGTGGTTTTGCAGTAAAAAATTGAAGTACAAAATTAATATAGGCAAGTTTGGGCTTTTTGTAATTTTGGTGTGTCCCCGACCGTACGTAGTAATATGATGAAGAAGACATGGTGTTAATTTTTGTTGATATTATATTTGAATTGCTATGTTAACCTAGAAATCCACTTTGCCTCCTCAAACATGAGGTGTAGGGCTGCCACTAGAACAGAGCCAAAATAATACGTGTTTTCACGACCGGGGCATCACGACCATCACGTGTTTTTTTTACGACCATAATTACCTTTATCGATTGTACTATGTTACGGTCGTGAAAATAAATTTTAACATTTATTTATTTATTCTCTCAACGGTAACTAAACACCATTTTTACATTGGAATATACATTAAATAGGATTAATCACTTTATAAACATAGCATAATTGGTAATAAATATGAGCAATAATAAGAATAAATTAGAAAGCAGACATGAAATGCAAAAGACATAACCAGTATAAAAGACAAACAAAAATACATACAAACATCCTTGTAAATTGCACATGCTTAGTTTATAATTTAAACACAAATCTTTGTTATAACAGTACGATAATTGAAGGATGTAAAAAATAGATTTTAAAAAATGTTTACATTGACAGGTATTTTTATTACCTTATATAAGGTAACGCTTATATTTTATAGAGTTATATATATAACTATAACGTTTTAAAAATAAATTATGGTTTATCAAGTCATGTGGAATATTATAGGTCTAATTTTCAGGATAGTACTGCGGATAGTCGTAGTACTCACTCGTGCGGACGTTAATCCACACCAGGGAGTATCGCATCCACAGTGCATGCCTATAAATATCCACAATTCGTAACCTCCTAGTACTGCTAGGTAATGCTTAGGTAATACTTAGGTAATACTTAGGTAATGCTAGTAATCTACTGTAATGCTAGTTGGATTACAGGACGACACCACCCGTCCCCAATTTTTTTAAAAAACAGTCAATAGTTTAGTGTGTTGTTTTGATGAATGAAATAAAGAAGATGGTTTTTGTTAACATTTATTTTGTCATTTCTAATGTTTGATATTAAGTAATCGTCCGTGATATCAAAGTATTGAATCACGCATATTGACGATATCAATTGGCTATTTGTTATATATCTAAATACTGTGTACTATCCTAATACCTATTCCATAGCTACCTTAATATATAATATACCCAACATGTGCTAAACCTGGGAGTCAAGCATAGAACTAGGCCCTACTCAAATAGAACGATGGATTAAACAATAAGTGAATAAATAGGTCTGATCATTGGCAAGGAGACAACACGGAATCAGGTTTTGAATCCTGAGGATCCTAGTTTGTAAACTAATGAAAAAATTCGCCTGTTTGTAGCATAGGTAGGATAGAGGCCCACATAAAATGAATAACGGACAAACTAGGATGGAACTAAGGATGGTAGATACTTAAGTTTCAAATACAAATTTTTTACAAACTTTCCTCATATACAAATTTTACCACTTGTATCTACTGCGAAGGTAATTTATAAAAATTTATTTGTTTAAATTTAAGTTGTTAAAATCAAAAAATAAAGACCTAATACACATAATTAGTAATGAATAATCCTTGGTTTGCATAGGGTTTATGGCATTATTCCATGAAAACTTTGTTACATCATATTAATCACAACACAGCGTTGAACTTACGGTTAATAAGTTATAGTATATTTCACGAATCCCGGGCTTACACTTCACACTATCATGAAATATTGTTACAGCGGTTGACCTTTCAACTGACATGTGGTCCATACATTCTGTTTAATCCTTTTGTGATTCGTTTGTTCAGACTAACTTATGATTCGGCTTTCTAGCTTCCATTACTACTGTTGGATTTGTGGAGTGGTTTTATTGATCGTTGCGTTTTGAAAGAAGATTTATGTAAAATTTGTATTTGCAAATGCTAAAAATGAATGTAACAACTGGTGTATTTGCTGTAACTATGCAGATTACCACATCTACTTCCTCCATCCATCTCTTCCTCATCTTCTCACCGTTGCAATCAAAGCACAGGTGAAACAGTAACAATCACAATCGAGTTACAAATCCCACGTGAGGAGGACGGGTACTCTGGTAGTAACATATATTTTTATCGTTGGAATATATTCTAAACAGAATCATAATCAGCTCTAACAATTAAGGTTGAGGTTAACTATACGATATTAGCTTCATGGAAGTCACAACCACCACATATTCATCTATTAAATTATTAATGTGATACATTCAAATTTGTGGTCATCGTTTAAGGTCATTTACCAGACAAAATATAGGAATATGACACATCAAAATTAAGTCCAGAGTGCGTATATTTGCCAAAGATTGGTATGAACCAATTCCCTTAACGCTCTGACTCAAAGGCCGATTTATAAAAGCATCTACTATAATTTCTACAGTATTTATTAAGTTTTATTATTGAATGGCCTTAACCTCTTAAGAGAAAAAATTCAAAAGAAAACTTAAGATTCATTATTTAAAACTGTTTATTAGTGAAAAAACTCTGAAATTCATATTTGCCCTCAATCATCAGTTTCACATTGATGAAAACAATTAGATAGTAACAAGACCAGGGTTTGGACCCCCTCAAAGTGTGTGTAGTCATTGTGCTTGTAGTGCGCGAGTTCTTCCTCAATCTCTAGTGTGTAGTAGATAGTAGCCTGGTCAGTATTGTAGGTCGGAGTCATGTGATGTAGGCGGGCTTCCCATAAGATGTTACGATGGTGTGAGGGGATCCTGGGTCATCAGCCCGCCTTCTGGTCAAGTAGTCAGTAGTCATTAGATAGTAGTCAGAAGTCAGCAATCAGCATCCTGTAGTCAATAGTCCGTAGTCGGCATTCTGTAGTCAACAGTCCGCAGTCGGCATTATGTAGTCAACAGTCCATAGTCGGTATTCTGTAGTCAACAGTCCATGTCCGTAGTCAGCATTCTGTAGGCAACAGTCCTTAGTCAGCATTATGAAGTCAATATCCCGTAGTCAGCAGTCAATGTAGTCCGTAGCTTGTGGCTCATGCCTGGTAGAGTCTGGTAAATTTGCACCTCAGCTAAGCTATGTTGTCGTCTGGCATCTCAGGAGTGTTGTAGTATTTGCTCACAAGCTGCTTTAAAAGGTCCCACAACTTGGCAGAGATCCACTTGGCAAACGGGACTGTAGGAAAGAAAAAACACAAGATGATACCTGTTATGTAGAGCAGAGCACGGACAAGGTCAGGAAGGATGACACGCATCCTCGAGGGCTTCCTCTCGACGAGAGATTCAACGTCAAACACAGAACACATAATTAGACTTGTTTATCAAAATCAAATCGAATTCAGAGTGAACATTTACCTTGTTGCTATGGAAATCCTTATAAGAGTCAAAGTTAATAAACGGTATCAGCATTCTGACACATACTTTCTCCCATAAGTTTGTCAACAACCTTTATCATGTGTAAGCGGTGAGAGTAAATATACGGAAATGGGATTTGTACAATTTTGTTCAGAATTTAAAGGACTATAACATACTAAATTGTTATCTAAATCGTTCAAACCATTTTTGGAAAAATCAGATTTTTCCGTTATTTTATGGGCTTTTTATGGGAAAATAACATAATTTGAAATAACTTTTAAACCGTAATTTTTACAGAAATGGGATTTGCACCATTTTGTTCAGAATATAAAGGACCATAACATACTAAATTTTTATCAAAATCGTTCAGGCCGTTTTTGGGAAAATCCTATTTTTCCGTTATTTTATGGGGATTTATGGGAAAATCCCCATTAAAAATCAAAATTTCTAAAAAATTGAAAAAAACTATCAAAATTGTAAGGACCATAACATACTATGTTGAATAAAACCGGATTTTCTTTCCAAAATCCTATTTTTCGTTATTTTATGGGGTTTTTATGGAAAATAATATAATTTACCATAACTTTTGAACAGTAATTTTTAGAGAAATGGGATTTTCACCAGTTTGTTCAGAATTTAAAGGGCTTCAACATACTACATTTTTATCAAAATCGTTCGGGCCATTTTTTAGAAAATCCGATTTTTCCGGTTTTTTATGGGTTTTTATGGGAAAATCCCCATTAAAAATCAAAATTTCAAAAAAATGAAAAAAACGCCTGGAGATACCATGGATTAGAACCTACATACCAAATTTCATCAAAATCGGACCACAGGTGTGGTCTCTAGCTCTGTACACATCCAGACACACAGACACACACACACACACACACACACACACACAGACATCACTTCGAAAACCACTTTTTTGGGTCCAGGGGGACCCAAAACGAATATATCCACTCAAAACTCAAACTCGAAAATTTTGACGAAAACAATACTTTCTCCATATACTATGGTATAGGGGGAGAAAGTAAAAAATCAAAATACTGTGTTCTATCCTAATACCTATTACCACTATTACATAGCTCTCTAAATGTTATAATAGGGCCTACGTATGGCTAAAGAACAGAGCACAACTAGAACTTTATGGTATTAGTTAATAGTAAATTATTGAATTTACTTTGTTCCTAAATTTTAAAATACAAAATGCATATTTGACACAAATATATTTGTAATTTATATTTAATAAATTACAAACCCACTGACAGCATTTTAATTAAACGAAAAAAAAAATACTTTCAATATAATCAATTTGCTTCAATATCTCAGTTTTATCATACTATAGTCCAAATACCAATTGTTTTTAGTTGTAGTGAACTCATTCAAATGATTTTGGTTTACACTGGATAGTTTTTACCATGGTTTTTACTCAAGTTGTCGTGCTCACCTTATCGTGGGGACCTCAAAACAAAAGGTTAATTGGTCCCGAATCTAGGTTTAACCATGACACCTACAATATCAAATATTTTATGAATGTTATGCAACTAAAACACTATGACAAGTGATTAAAAATACCCAGACTGTAAAAAACTTGAAACAATACAAACTCTCTAAATGAATATAAGATATACATTTGTTTCCAATATAACTCAAAATAATTCAACACAAATAATTTTACTATATTAATGCCATCAGTTCATTTGTTAACTCTCTTTGCTTTGCTGAATCAGAATAATATAAAATAAACATAAACCTAGCTCTACATCCCTTACAGAAAATCTCAAGACTAATGAAAATTGACTGATACAAGGCACTGCACTTTGTATTGTCAAGTAGACATTAATATTTCATTGGATTCTAATGAATAAATAATATTGGGAGGTCTATATATATGTCATAGTTTTGGTTTATTGTTCATATTTAGATAAGTATATTAAATAAAATAATTGCCTTTTTGTTTTACCTAATGGCAATTAAGGGACCTTCAGTTTATAGTGAAATCCGAACCACATATTTCCTTGGTATATACGAATTGGTCTAATTATCAGGATAGTACTGCGGATAGTTGTAGTACTCACTTGTGCGGACGTTAATCCACACCAGGGAGTATCAAATCCACGCCTATAAATATCCATAATTCGTGACCTAATAATAGCTGGATTACAGGACGACGCCACCTCTGTAGTATGGAAGATACTTTTAATGTTTCATAAACCTATTTGAGATTTAAATGGGTCGCATCCGTACAAGCTAGGTGATACTACTTGTCGGTGGGATACACGTCTAGTTGTACCTACGTCTACTTGTACCTACGTCTAGTTGTACCTACGATCCATAGTTGTACGATCCATATATAAATCCCAAAGTACCCATAAACTTTTGAGAAAACTACAAGCCACACCCCCATAAACCATATATTTAAAATGTTCGTCATGACGAGAAAACATTATTTCATAAATTGTCCTTTAAGGTCGTAATTCCATTTTAAAGGTTGTGACAGAATGTTGTGTTTTTCCACTAAGGATGCCATATTAATAAAAAACACCAAAGATATTGCATTACGATGGACATTTTATGAAACTTTAAATGTCAATAAAATAAGATACCCCCGCCGCAGCAAACCTGCCGACTAAGCAAATTTCCATTTGCCTGAATTGGTTTTCAATTAAATGTATTTAATTAACATTAGGTTTTATGAGTACCTAGGCTTGCTGCTACAGGAAGGTTAATAAGTGTGTTTTTAGTAAAATATTAATAAGTTAGTATAAAATAAATATATTTACCAAGTTTGATAAAAATATATCCATAAACAAGCAAACTACAACATTTTACAATATTCTCCCTAAGAATAACATGGGAATAAAAAAAAAACAATTTTTTTCATTTTCTCCATAACTAATAATTGTACAAAAACACTTTGATATACTAAATTATGTTTTTTTAAGCTCTTTAAAAAAATCTCGAGAAAAATTGAAAAATTTTGTGTTTAGAGGGCCAAAAATTAGAAAAACCAATTTTTACCCCATAAAACCCCCGTTTCCATGGTCCGATCATGCTGGTTCGCGAACTCATCAAGTTCCTGCAAAATTTAATCAACATATATTCATAAACAAGCGAACTACAACAGTTTTCTTTTCCTCCATAAGAATAACATGGGAATTTTAGTTGTACAGCTTTTTTTACCTTTCTCCGTTACCTTTAATTGTACAACACTTAAATATAAAAAAAATGAGCATTTCCATGTTTTAACCCTTACCGAGTGTTGGCCGTATATATAAGCCAACGACGCTATTCAGTTGCGAGCGTTGGCCCTATATACACGCAACCACAGAAAACTTATTACTATAACCCAGAATGCCAACCGCGTGGTAAAAAGCATTAAGTGTTTTGAGAGAGCTTTGCCCGTCAATCGTAGGCAGCGCCACCAGCGTTGCCATGCACTCAGCATAGCAACGCTGGTGGCGCTGCCTACGATTGACAGGCAAAGCTCTCTCAAAACACTTAATGCTTTTTACCATGCGGTTGGCATTCTGGGTTATAGTAGTATGTTTTCTGTGACGCAACTCAATCTGACGTATATATACGACAAAACATATAAAAGTCATATAGGTATTTTAAAGGCTTTTCTGGCCGTCAGCAGTTACCTTAGGCCTTTAATCAATCAATACAATATTGTTGTTGACAACTTTTTTGTGTGTGAAAAACTCCTGATTGGTGGGTGGGCATCACTGATCTTGTAACATCTGTTGTTTACAAAACTGGCGGTTGGTTGCAATACGGGTGACTGCGGCGGTTCTGTATTTGAGACTTCCAAGCCTAGGAGTCATGTAAGGCTGAGTCATGTTATATTGTTTTGTTTCGTGTAGACAGTCTGTTTACGTGTTCTTGAGTGAAGTACACCTAGTAAAATAACCTTAGTGGAATATATTCAGTGGATTAGAAATGTGTTGTGTTGTTTATTGAAAGTTACATTTATATTGAATGTTTCAAATCAATATTTTTTATTGTATTATGATTAGATAAACCCAAGTCTGTTTTGTCTTTTGGTAAAAATAAAGAAGTCATAATTATTGTTCTTATCATGATATTTTTTATTTCATTCTTTTTTACAGTTTATCAAAAATAAATGTTACTCTAAAAAAAATTACAAGCGTTAGACATATAATTACGGATCAATGCATTCCTTAGTGAGCGTCTTACGTATATATTACAACAATTGTGGTCATAAAACTTGTAAAAAATTATTTTAATAAAAAATAATTAACTTTAACAAAATTTCAAAATACATTTTTTAACCTCAACCAAACTATGATTGCGTAGGGAGTAGGATCAGCCGCCGCTTGGGAAGTGTTAAGGGTACGTTCTACCTCAGCTCGGGCTTCAGTAGCTATGTTGAGCCATTGAACAGCGCCGAGAAGCGCTTGCAGACGTTCACGGCAACTGCCTTTGTAAACTACCCATACATGCTAGTATAAAACAATGAGTGGGGTTTTACAGAACAAAGAACAATCTATGTGATCCTGGTTTTAGAATTTTAAAGTAACAATTCTATAATAAGTTAAAGCAGTTTAGAATTGCCGTTTTTCGTCTACATTCAGTAGAAGATTTTCAGTCTTTGTGGTACAATAATAAACATTTTGCAGCCATCATATTTTAGATAATTTAATTCTCTTCAAAACGATGCCCTAATTTTGATTCTATGTGAAATATAGCCTTCGGAAACACTGTTACCCCAGACCCTTGCATTTACACAAAACGCCTTAAAGGTGAAAATTTGAAAAAATCTATTAAATCTTTGAAAATGTCAGACAAAACCCCAAATTACCCTGTTCCAAAGACCCGATCTTGCTGATTCCCGAACTCATTCCCCTACACCTCCAAGCCAAATTTCATCAATATCAGACCCAAATTACTCAAGTTATTGTGTTCACGCACACATATATAACAAATTGAACAAATAGTGTTTTTGGCCTCTGGGGACATCAAAATGTAAAAGTACATCGATACCGAGCCTAAGTCTTATTGTGCCACCTAAGAGAATAGCTACTTTCCTATAGGGAAATTCGCTTATCAGATATGAATATTTTATAAACAAGTGTTCAACATGAAACTACAAAAAATGAGACTACAGAGCATACAACATTAGTATGGTAAGATAACTAGTGTTATGTTTTTAATGATTCATAATATTAAAGGCTCAAAAACTAGTTTTTCCCTTGAATTATTTTTTAATAAGTTATATAATATAATTTTTCATATTATCTTACTTTTTTAACTTTTAACTTTTTTTAAGATTTCACAAGCTTAAAAACGATTATTAAAAACGGTATCATAATATTAACAGTAATAAAAAAACATACCATCTATGACTACAATAATAGTAAATTTATTTATGCACAGCACATTATTGGCAACTATACACTATTTAAAATCAATCTTAATCTATTTTTTTATCTGAACTCTAAAAAAATTGTAAATTTGAAATGTACTTTTAAAGCTTAGTAAATAAGAAAAAGACATGTAAAATGTAAAAGTGATCTTGATCTTAAAAAATAATTAGTTAAGACAAAAAAAACTTCAGCGGATAGCAACTTACAAAAAAGATGATAGCTGTATCTATAGTATACAACAAAGATAAGTAAAATTAGTCTTCAAAATAATAAAATTCCAATAAATTAATTATATTCCAACATGTACAAGAATCCAAAATTACATACAACACAGCTATACAACTTTCTTTTCCACCAACATTAACTGTAAAAAAAATTACACAGGCATACAACATAATCTAACCTCTTTATTACATATTTACAATGATCATTTTACAAAAGAAGTCACAATACTTAAACACTAATGTTTGTTTAAATGATAGGACAAAAACCGTCAAAAAAGTATATATAAAAGTACTTGTAGATTATAGTAATGTACAAAGGTTGTTGAACCAAGGGCAATGGTGAAACAAAGCCCTTTGAATCAAGCACAATGGTTATACAAAGTTGGTTCTCAGTGGATGATGATGGTTTACTCCAAATCTCAACTAGTGTCTCTGTCTAGTGGCATTATCTCCAGGTCCTGCATGTAGTATCCGAATGTTGGCGCCGCAGTGGTGGTGGTAGTCGTCCCCAGACCTCGCCCACGTTGCCGTGGCGACCCTCGCCCTCCAACGTGTCCCGGCCCCGAGGGTCGTAGTCTAGGTCTCCCTGGCCCTCTTTTGATGCCTTGCACCCCTAAGACATACAACAATTACAACAATCACCGAGTAAATCTGTACAGGTTTATGTGAGGATAGCCATAAGTAGTCTTACCTGAGTATGAGAGATCACAACACACAGAACCTAATGCTGTTTGAAAGAACTGGAATATGTGAAGTATAAAGTTTAGTTTTTCATGTGCCTGAGTGGATTAATTCCCACCGAGGTAAGCCAAACTCAGGTAAGGTAAACTCAGGTCACTCGGGTAAGGTATTGTTATCTTCACAAAAATCCTTGAAACCTGGGTCCTTGAAATGAATATCCTTCACTTAGTATATTGTTGCACGGGGAATTTTTCCAGGGTTATTTAATACGAGGTGTCATAGTTTAACAACAAAGCCACAAAAATATAAAAATCCTAATGAAACAAACCTTAATAGTCAGAACATTTCCAAAACAAATAGACCTAAATTATGTATCTATTAAATATATTCAGGATTATGTTTTTTTACTAGAAAATATCCTACATTTCCAACTTACTGCAGCAAAAACAGCTGTTTTTAATACATGCGTTGCGGGTCTAAAGTAGCTATTTTACTCCCTACATAATAAATAGACTTTTTGTCTCTAGGGAGTAAAAGTCAGCTGTTGTAAACTTTGATTGAAAGAAATAGCATGTATCAAAATTATTTATCGGTGGATTAAATCGGCTGCAGTTTATTGTTGCATTCTTGTCAATAGTTTGACGTATCGATTAGTATAAAGTAATGTACAACACAATAGAAACAGAAAAAAATGATTGAATCACTTAATAAACAGCTGCTTACTTGCATTAGCAAAATTGAAAACAAGTTGAAAGTCGTTTAGAGAGGTTCTCTTATTAAAAGTATTTTCGTTTTCTAACTTGGTTTGTTAAATAATGTTGCAATATGACAAAAAATATAGTTCATCACACCGACAAAAGGTGTCTTTTCAACCCTTGCTCATTTTCCGACCTCGGTTTTTTGCCTCACCAGTGAAACTTGAGCTCGGGTTGAAACAAGTCACTTTACACCCTAGTGATGAAATATACTATTGTTAGACACTGACAGTACATATAGAGTTACTAATGCTCAATGGGGTGGTAAGAAAATCTTCTATCCATAACAATACCCACATTGATTACACACTATATTCACTTAGTCACTGGCATTAATGATCTGATACCCTGTGATTTCTGGATAAAGTGCATCAGTGTTTAATATTTACGACTTTACAACACTACTTGGACTAGAGCTTTCTTTGCCAATGTTGACCAAGAGACAGACTATTTGACTTAAGAGCTTGGTTAACTTAATGAGTGTGCATACCCAGACTGATGGAGCTGGCCTGGATGGCTCCTCTAGTCAATCCTCCTCGTCTGGAACCCCTCGGCCTCCCTCTCTTGGACCCATGACTCCTCACTGGAACATCAACCATCGTCAGTAACTACCCACACACTTGTCTAGTTAATTATACTACACTGATCTTGGAAGTTGTACAGTTTTAAGTTTTAAAGGAATTACTTCACTTTTCAGTGAAGAAGTAAACAGATGCACAAAAGTGCTTACTTGTTACTTGCCTACAATTACCAAAAAAAAAGAAAAAGTTAATTGCTTCATTTGGGTAACTGTTTTGTCCAACATTGGTTTTCTGGAGGAATTTGTAACTGTATGCTATAATTTTTAATTCATCAGATGTAATTTTTTTACTCTGGATGATATGAAATGGATTGAACCAATTGAGGGATATATTCCAATTAAATTGTACTGTATAACCATGCGTCCATGCATACACATACACAGCAACTAGACTGCCAGCTCTTAGGGAAGTTTTTCTAACAAAACATTGTTTGACAGCTCAAATTACTTAGTTCCCTTCCATGTAAAAGGATTGTGCTACTAAGGATTAACTGCTTATTGTCTGTATAATACTGTAGTAATTCTGTATAGTCATGTCACTAGGTCTACAGCACATTGAGGTGGCAAACCAACTATATCTCTAGTAGAGGTATATGATCAATCCCATAGCAATGGGGACACGAACATCAACTTAAGTTGCAGGTTTGCTGCCATAACACATTTTTGTTTGTGAAAGCTTTAGTCAATTTGTAGAACACGTGTCAAACATATGTGAACCACAGAGAGTTGTGAGGGCAAAAATTAAAATTGACTCCTATAACAACCAGATAATTTTACACTAGGGCTTTTCCTTACTAATTAGACTTAAATTAAATTGATCAACTGTTCAACATACCTGGTGGTAAGACGTCATTGGAAGGTCCATCAACGTCCACCACTAGAGCATCACTGCTAGTGTCATCCAAGAAACCGCTGGCCTGTACAGAGCATCAGTGGTCAGAGCATTACGTAATTGTTACTATCAACTAATATCAATAGTTGCAGACAGTAACTTTTTAAGAACAGAGGAATGTTAAAACAGACTCACCTCACTCTGTGCTGGACTGGCTGGAGTTGAATCGAACCCTTCTTCAAAACCTTCTTCCAGCTTGATATGTTTCACTGGCTCCTATAATCACCATTGTTGTAAAAAAATTTAACATTTGGATTTGTTTTAGTATAAATTATTTCAAACGTACTTTAAAAGCTTACTTAAGGTTATTGAAAACAAAAATAAAGATTAAGTTTGTATAAGCATGTATATAGATGAATGGAAATTCAAATATTGTAAGAATAATATAATTAAATGAGTCTTAGTAATCAATCAAATAATTGCTCAATTAATTGTTTAACAAAACTATACAAAATTATCATTAAGTAATATTTTAATTTTATAAAAACAAGAACCTTAAAAGGTCCAAATGTCTGCTTCCGTTTTCTTTCCTTCTCCTTTTCCTTTTCAGCTTTGTACTCTTCTGCCTTCCTCCTTTCTGCTTGCTTCTGGCGATCTAAAATGTATTGATAAATCAATATGACTATGTAATATTATTGTTACAAAAAATTCATTCAATAGTGATAGATTTATTTTAATGATTTGCCTGGTTTAATATAGCCTAGGTGAAGTATACTCTATACTACTATTTTTTTTTTACTTAACCGCCATGTTAAACTTCCCTATCCCAAGGGTGATGTATACAACTTCCTTACTTCTCGAGTGATGTAAAGTTGAAAAAAACTCACTCGGTGATGTAATGAAACCCATTTAAATAACATTGAGTGGATAACTTAAAAAATATACCTCTATGGAGCCAACGACGTTCAACGCTAGAAATCAGCTGTGTGTTTGGATTTTATTGTTATGCTTTGAAGAATTTTCCTAACCTAGCTTTTGTTTGTAAATGAACGTTACTGTTAGAAGATGAGTGAAATTGATAATGAAGCATATTGCTCGTAACCTCCTGAATATTGTCGGGTCAGGTAAAATCTTGTACGTTACACGTTACGCAAGAGCGTGTTTACATCACTTAAGTAAATTATGCAACTCGCTTCCGCTCGTTGCACAACATTCACCTGCGTGATGTAAAAACGCTCTTACTACACTTGTAATGTAAATAGCTATAAATAGTATACACACTCAGGAAGAAAGAGAAAGGAAACCATGGGCCAAAAAATAGTTTGAGACAGCAAAAATAACACAAAACGCAAAATAATGGGGTTAGAAACATAATTTGAGCTCTATTTATTTTATAATAGAAACTCCAAGGAGTGCTGCAGTTGATCTAGAGAATAAAAATTTAAAAGATGCAGGATCGTCACAATGATATATTCTTACACTTTTTCTCGATTTCTTCGTCGTCCAGTAGTAGGGACACAACCTCTTTGGGTTTCAAAGTGTCAGATTTAAAGTTTCCACCACTGATCACCATACGCTGAATCTGAAAATTTCATTATAACCATTACAAAAACTATTACATAATTTCACTTATTATTTTTAACCTACTATACCAAAAAAGTATAGTTTGAGCATAAAATACAGGAGCCTACTTAGATTTGCTTTTGACATAATGAAATTTGAAACTAGTCAAACATGGCATTTGAAACTTTTAAAATACAAGCAGTAACACGACATCCAAAGAAATCTAGTTAAATTGGATTACACTCTAAAAACCAATAAGTCATACAAAATCCACCTTTGCTTTTTTTACATCCTGAGAACAAACAGTGTGCTGTTAAACATTGTACAGATATTTCCTACAATTTTGGTGTTCCTTTTCACCTTTGGACATTCTTTAGCTCCTAATATGCAATGCATCTGGGTATTCTAGACGTAATTATTCAAAATTTTCTCCACAATAACCATCTCAATGTTTCAAATCTCTATATAACTCACCTCACTCTTTTCTCTGGCCCTCTGCAGTATCCTCTCCTCTATAGTTCCCTTACAGATGAGTCTGTAGACTGTCACTTGTTTGGTCTGGCCCAGTCTGTGAGCTCTGTCCATGGCCTGTTGGTCCACTGTGGGGTTCCAGTCACTGTCGTAGAATATCACCTGTCAAACAACAATGTACTATGTCAAAACAAAAGTGCAAGGTCAGTGACTTTCATGGAGGTCATCATGATTCAAACCCTTATCACTCTTAGGATTGCCAAAAGAGTTCCGGTTAACCTGGGTTCTGGTTTCATGAAACCCAGTTAAGTTGGGTTTTACTGTATGTATTTACTTTTACATCAAAGCATACATTTTATTGATAAATAAAGCTCGTCCCATACCGTGTCAGCTGCTGTCAAGTTGATGCCGAGACCTCCAGCTCTTGTACTCAAGAGAAACACAAAGATGTCTGTTCTGGAACACACAATTTGTAAATGTTAACATTCAATTCAACACTCTGTCTGAGACTGTTTCAATGGTCAGTTTGCTTTACAAACTTGGAAAGACTGAAAGGAGTTAACAAGACTTACCTAGCCTGGAAATCAGCGACCATGTCCCTTCTATCAGATATCTTGGAAGAGCCATCAAGCCTCATGTATGTTAGTTTGCGATGCCACATGTATTCCTGAAATATAATGATCTAATTTAAAAGGCTACATTGGAAATATGTTGATGACATTAGAGACCTCTGGAAAAAATTCAAATAACCAAATATAAGTGTGTTAATATGCAAAAAAACATAGTACAGTACATGTTTGTAGTGATTCTTCATCCAATTCAAAATTAGAGCACCATCAAAATACTCATTGATACTTAGGCTTAAAACTCGATGACCAAAATGATTTTTTGACTTTATATTCTTAAAAACCGGTATGGATGAAGTACAATTAGAATAGTTAAATGATTGAATCTGCTCTTTTAGTTAATATTTTTTTATGCAAGTTGTAAAAGTGCATTAACTATTCAAATGACAACGATGGTAAAAGTTAACATAAGGAACTCGGAGATCCAAAAGTGAGTGTTATACTGTACCTCCAACAAATCTATCATACGTGTCATCTGTGAGTAGATGAGGACTCTGTGACCTTGCTGCTTGAGCCGTTCCAACAATGTGTCCAACACAAACAGCTTGCCACAGTCTGTGACTAGTGTCTCCTTGTCTGTTAACAGTACAAACATCAGTGATCTACAAAGACTTGGCAGTGCACTGAAGACATTAGTTTCCCAAATATCAATGAGATAGGAACTAGTTGGCTTAGTGTACTGAGAATGTTATCTATGACATCAATGTTGTAAAAAGTATTAAAGTATTAAGTGCATGTTATCGTTGTAAATCTCATGTTATCAATGGAAGAGCATCATACAACAGATACAACATTCACCTCAAGATAAGATCAAAAAACTTGGTTCATTGTTAACCGTTTCCTAAAGTAGGCCTAGAAATAGTTAGCCCTTTTACTATGACTATTTTATCATGATTTTGATTTTGGCATTTTTTAAAATACATTTCTACCCTAAATACGCATAACAAATTACTTGACAGAGCAATTAACTTTATGTCTTAACTTAAGACAACTACATTAATACAAAGTATTGATTATCGTGGCTACAGTACCTGGTATGGATATGTGAGACCAGCCAGTTAGAGGTGTGACGGCTGCCAGTCCGCCCAGTTGTGGAGGTTGGAAGCACAGTGGTGCTGTGAGGTAATGTTGCGCCAGTCGTGGACTGCCGTACCACACACACTCCAGGCCCTGCCTGGTGCTGCACTGCTGATGAGCAAGGAGCCACCAGGCGGCACGTCGGCTGCTGCTGTATAGCTGCCATGTCTTAGCCTCCACCTGGCAAGTATCACAGTGCCAAAAATTTCAATTGTCATTTTAACAATCTCTCGATTTTCACTGAAATTAGTTTTTTAGAACAAGTGAGCACATGGCTTAGGAATGTGTTAAGAAAGAAAGGATAGTAAACCCAGCTTCCCCCAAAAAATATTAGTCAGATGACAGCACACACTGAATTTACAACACAATCAGCATGATATATTGCCTCTTCAAGAGGATAGTTTAATCAAGTATACTATATTTCATTAGTGGATTTTTTACTGAAAAATAATAATAAATTCTTTACCTTGGGGTGGGTGTCGTACAGGAACCTCGGCAGCAGTGTAGGATGACACTCCAACACTAGGGGAGGTCTCTCTACATGAGGGAACTCTGGGTACACCCTGTCATTGGAAGTGGAGGCACCTGTCTCTACCTGGAATACCATTGGAATATCATTGTCTTCTACGATCACGACAACATTCTGAACACATCCCGTGGTTGTGAGGACATCATCGTCTTTTGCTATTGCGGCGAAATCCTGAAAATCTTCTGTGGTCATGGAAACATTGTTATTGTATTCTGCAATCTCGGTTATTCTCGACCACAGTCGTGTGAGCATTACCATCATCACCCACGATCGCGGAAAAATATTGAAAATCTCCCACAGTCGCATGGACATTATTATATCAATCAAGAAATTTTGTTAACACAATAATTACCAATATGGTATGGTTTTGGTTTGCAATATAAATTGAGATAAAACATGAATGTACTCATATGTGAATTGTAGCTAAATTACTTTTAATATTTATTAATTACTGTATTTTCAAGAAGAATATTTAAATTTAATGAAATATAAATTAGTGAAGAAGAAAAAACTATATTCAAAAATACCATTCTAAAATTAAATAGTGTCTAGGTAGGAAATATTTCTTTTGTACTGTCCAGTGTCCAGGTGTGAAGTAATTGTTGGAAGGAAAGCTAAAGAAAAGGAAGAAAATGTGCTTGTGGTGGAAGATATAGAGAGAGATGGATGTGGGAGCCAAGTCTCCAGTGATTTAAATATCCAAAAGTAAAAATTAACATTCAGAATACATATAAATATTGAATATAAAGAGACATAAAGAAAGAAGAAAATCACTATTCAACAAAATTGGTAATATCAACTTTAATTAACACTTCAAAAACTCATCATCAATTTACAACCACCATCACACCATTGTGAATTTTGACTAAATTCAAGTGACTTTCAAATTAAGAACTTATAGCCTAAATTTTTTAATTCTCATTATTAGCCTATCTCATATTATTTAGCCTATATTAGTACTGTATAAATTAAGTTAATCAGCCTATCAGAATTCCATACCCGGCACGAACCAACCCCTAGATTAAGATAATTTTCTCTCCAAATTGTTAACTAGCCTAGCCCATCAAAAAAAACCTAAACCAAAATATAATTTCACTATCTTAGCCCAATGAGATTATTGTAATAGCTATAGAACCTAAATATATTTTATTGTAACTTTATTGTAATTTTATTATCTAATTTAAGTAAATTCATATTTTGAAATTCATTAATAAAGAGGAGTAGGTTACAAAATAAATATCTATTTGGTTGGGAATTGAGGTTTATGATGTCTAGATTAGTTGAGGCATGTCTCACCTGAGGTGCCAGCTTCCTGCATCTCATCACTCTATGTTCCACAGTCTCGGGCGTGCTGTGCAGTGTGACGGTGTTGTGGGCGAACACACACAGGTGGCCTTGAGCATTTGTGAACACCAGCTCCGAGGGCACAGTGGTGCTCCGTGGCGCCACCAACACACTGACTCCGCTGGTCCTCTCCCACCACACCTGTCTGTGGCGGAGCAGTGGTCGTCGCTCTACCTCCTCCGCCAGACTCAACCATCTGGAACAAACCAGCAAATCAGCTAAACTCACCGTCTATGGTCTGTAACATAACCTTAGACCAGATTGTTAGGATTTTTTAGTAGATAGGTTGAACAGTACACTTACCTTGCTTACGAAAATACTTAAAAGTACACACTAAAACAAATAAAACAAAGTTTTCAGAACTAATATCCCCTCTAATGTTGTACAGAATTTGTTCTTGTTGTAGACTGTGTTCAAACATTCCAAAACTCAAATTCTTTTGTTATTTTTTAAGAGGTTGCCAATCTCTGTTCCTCAATAACTGAAGAACGTTTCCAGCAAATTAAAGGGTGAGCCGGTGTAGTAGAAGACTGTACTGATAAAATGAAGTTTCATGGATTTTTACTTTTAGTCTGTCGCATTACCAGCTGAACAAATGACCGCTAAATCACAGAATCACATCCTTACTGTTTTGCTTATGAAAGACAAAATACAACTGTTTATTCAACTTACCTATTTAAAAGACCACCAATTGTCAACTGGAACACATCTTCTGGTGAAAGTCCAATAAGACGAGAGAATCCAAAGAAGTCAGAGCAATCAATCTCATTTTCTGAGAACAGAAAAAAAATATCACTGGAATCATATAGTTGGATGTTGTTTGTTTTGACTTCATATTCAAAATTAACCTTGATATATAGAAGGACACACAATACAGAGAGAACAGGGTTCACTATTAAAAGAAGCAAGCATAGGAAAGCCAGAAGGAAAACAACCATTAGAAAGACCCAAGAGATGATGGAAAAGTGTCTCCAAGGACGTCAGAGAAGTGGGGGCAGCGGTGGAAGAGGCGGAAGATAGAGAGAGATGGAGAGCAGTTGTTGGTGCAGCCAAATCCCGCCTAGGGCTTAACGGCCATAAATGAGTGTGTGAGTGAGTGAGTGTGTAACATAATAAAATACCCTGGTTCACGTCCGCACCACTTAGTTTTCTTTTTATTCCATTAATTACACTTACATTTTTCCACTTAAATGACAGCGCTAAACACTTAAATAAATAGGCCTAATCAACATCCATTTTTTATTACTTTGAATAACAAATTCAGGATACCTAATTGAATTAAAGAATGAACTGTTTTTCAGGTCATTATATGAGTAGCAATTATTTGAATGAATTTCATCAGACTAACCAATTTTCTAATTCTGCACCAAATTATAAAGAATGATTCAACTTGAGTTGGTATTTATCAGATTACTTTTATTGACATTGAATTTACTTTTTAGATCAATCACTTGTCACAGTGGATACATTAACAAATGTATCCGACACTAATGTATTAGCAGTTGAAGGCTGTAGAGTCACCTGAGAACAGCGACTGGTGCACATACTGCTGGTGTAGTATACTGAGCAAGTTGTACAGTAGATGGTCTGTGCTGGGCAGAGCTCTGTGTAACATTGCCTCCTCAAACACCAGTCTAGGTGTAACGTAGAGACTCTCCCCACATTGCGTCCACAGTGGAGACTTGGCTTCTTGCCTCTCAAACAGCTCGGGGTGGTTGCAAACCTAGTCAACAATACAAGTCAGGCTGCGGTTACATTTTTAAATCGTGTTGTTCACTCTGAGCAGATACAATTTGTTTACTTCTGGTATATACAAAATTTTAAAAACAAAACTGACTGGTCTTATCTACTGATAATGTTAGTGTCAGCTGGTTCGCACACCCACCTTTCGGAACTGCATGACCAAGTTCATGAGACTGGATGTGATGCTCTGTGAAGATTGGTATGGGCCAGACGAGTGAAGCAGATCTTCTATTCTTATCTTCTTCTTCAAAGCTGTTGTAACAAAATTTATAATGTTATCAAAACCGGTAAATGGTAATTCAACCAACATTTTAACATTTGAATACTGTAGGAAACTTATTTTTCAAATAATAGAAGAGCTTATTGACGCCTATGGAACAAAAGTGCAAGAATATAATATAAAAGAATGTTTATGGACATAATTTCAATGTATCACCTAAAATAAATCTAAACTCAATTGTCTGTTTCCATAATAACAACATTTGGTAAATCTCTTCCTTTTAACTGTCCTTACAGAAGAAAATGTAAATCCCACCAAGATTATAGTCTAACCATCATTTGTTTAGTATATTAACGATTTATTGGGTTAAACGGTATTGGGGGAAATAGTCAAGTAGGGTAATTTATGTCCCAGAGTCATAGCAACTATGTTCGATCGGTTTGACAGTTGTATTGCACCTACCAGAGTAGAGCACCTTCTGCCGAGTAGTCAGGGGACAGCAGACCATAATCTCTATTTTGTCCGAGAGCTCGTTTTCAACGTCCTTCTTGATTCTGCGCAACATGAAGGGCTTCAGGATCAAATGCAGGCGAGACAAATGTCCTACAAAAAGACACAAGCATTTATAGAAGAGTGCAACAAACAAGAGATACTTTACAATATTTAGACCCATATAATGTTATAGTCGATAAACTTAATAAACAACCTTGTGTAGCAACAACCTTTTGACTTCAGTATTGAAAACCATGTTGGATGTAATCACTTTCCAAAAATAGTAAATTACCATGACCTTTGAGTTCTTTCTATGTTTACTTAAAAGAAAAAATATCTAATTATATGAGAGAAATAATCAGAATACCAAATTACTTACATAAAACAAATTGAGGTAAAAACAACATACCTTTAAATACCAAGTAAGAGACACATTAGATGAATACTCACTTTCATCAATACTGGTCTTGTTTTCTGCATGGCTCTCAATGTCTTTTGAGAACCACTCGTTGAACTCATCGTGAGAGTCGAACATTGTAGGCATGATGAAGTGCAGCAGAGCCCACAGCTCAGCCATGCTGTTCTGTATGGGAGTCCCACTCAGCAACAGACGGTTACGACAACTGAATCCCAGCAACAACTTCCATCTCACACTGTCAAACAGTAACAAAACAGTCAGTACAAACATTGTAGGCATGATGAAGTGCAGCAGAGCCCACAGCTCAGCCATGCTGTTCTGTATGGGAGTCCCACTCAGCAACAGACGGTTACGACAACTGAATCCCAGCAACAACTTCTATCTCACACTGTCAAACAGTAACAAAACAGTCAGTACAAACATTGTAGGCACATTGAAGTGCAGCAGAGCCCACAGCTCAGCCATGCTGTTCTGTATGGGAGTCCCACTCAGCAACAGACGGTTACGACAACTGAATCCCAGCAACAACTTCCATCTCACACTGTCAAACAGTAACAAAACAGTCAGTACAAACATTGTAGGCAAGATGAAGTGCAGCAGAGCCCACAGCTCAGCCATGCTGTTCTGTATGGGAGTCCCACTCAGCAACAGACGGTTACGACAACTGAATCCCAGCAACAACTTCCATCTCACACTGTCAAACAGTAACAAAACAGTCAGTACAAACATTGTAGGCATGATGAAGTGCAGCAGAGCCCACAGCTCAGCCATGCTGTTCTGTATGGGAGTCCCACTCAGCAACAGACGGTTACGACAACTGAATCCCAGCAACAACTTCTATCTCACACTGTCAAACAGTAACAAAACAGTCAGTACAAACATTGTAGGCACATTGAAGTGCAGCAGAGCCCACAGCTCAGCCATGCTGTTCTGTATGGGAGTCCCACTCAGCAACAGACGGTTACGACAACTGAATCCCAGCAACAACTTCCATCTCACACTGTCAAACAGTAACAAAACAGTCAGTACAAACATTGTAGGCAAGATGAAGTGCAGCAGAGCCCACAGCTCAGCCATGCTGTTCTGTATGGGAGTCCCACTCAGCAACAGACGGTTACGACAACTGAATCCCAGCAACAACTTCCATCTCACACTGTCAAACAGTAACAAAACAGTCAGTACAAACATTGTAGGCATGATGAAGTGCAGCAGAGCCCACAGCTCAGCCATGCTGTTCTGTATGGGAGTCCCACTCAGCAACAGACGGTTACGACAACTGAATCCCAGCAACAACTTCCATCTCACACTGTCAAACAGTAACAAAACAGTCAGTACAAACATTGTAGGCACGATGAAGTGCAGCAGAGCCCACAGCTCAGCCATGCTGTTCTGTATGGGAGTCCCACTCAGCAACAGACGGTTACGACAACTGAATCCCAGCAACAACTTCCATCTCACACTGTCAAACAGTAACAAAACAGTCAGTACAAACATTGTAGGCACGATGAAGTGCAGCAGAGCCCACAGATCAGCCATGCTGTTCTGTATGGGAGTCCCACTCAGCAACAGACGGTTACGACAACTGAATCCCAGCAACAACTTCCATCTCACACTGTCAAACAGTAACAAAACAGTCAGTACAAACATTGTAGGCATGATGAAGTGCAGCAGAGCCCACAGATCAGTCATGCTGTTCTGTATGGGAGTCCCACTCAGCAACAGACGGTTACGACAACTGAATCCCAGCAACAACTTTCATCTCACACTGTCAAACAGAAAACAAAACAGTCAGTACAAACATTGTAGGCATGATGAAGTGCAGCAGAGCCCACAGATCAGTCATGCTGTTCTGTATGGGAGTCCCACTCAGCAACAGACGGTTACGACAACTGAATCCCAGCAACAACTTCCATCTCACACTGTCAAACAAAACACAGTCAGTGCAAACATTGTAGGCATGATGAAGTAAAGCAAACTCACAGCCCAGCCATGCTGTTCTGTATCTGTATAACCTAGTTCTTCAACTAAAACAAAGTTTGATCAAGAATACTCTGCAGGTTTTTGTTAAGAACACCAAAATTTGCATGATCCATCAACAGACAACAATGTGTGTAAAAGGGGATGACAAACCTATTGACCAGGGGATACTTCAGTGTGCACATTTCACACCAGCCATTCTAGACCTCAACACTTTGCCTGAAGCCAGAAGCTTCACCTGAACATGTTTCATAGCTCAGGTTTTCTTTATTTATACTACATATCACTCTGGATCACTCTTTAAAATAATAAGCTTATCAGTAGTAGACAGGCTAATAGTTAGTTTATTTTTTTGTCCTAGAATGCCAGGTTCACATTCCACCAATTGCTTGGAACGCTTGAAACTTACAAGATTCAAGATCACCTTGCAGGTCAGGTAAAGTTACATTCGTGGATAAGATAATGGGGACTGAGGAGTTGGGCTCGTGCTACTCAGGGTTGAAGTCCAACCCTTGGGTCCTTGTTAGCTTGTCCATGACTATAGTTGCATCCTCACCTGCTAGTGCTCTTGATGGCCTGAGCCTCGTCCAAGATCAGGTATTGCCACTTGATGCGGTTGAAGTACTTGAAGTCTGTTATGACCAGCTGATAGCTGGTAATCACCACGTGGAAACTGGCCTCTTGCGTGTGCAGATCCTTTTGGTCCCAAAACTGCCGCAAGATTTTTCTCTCCTGCACAATAAAAAATTCTTCCTTGTCATATCAGATCTCCTCATCAACATGATCAGAAATTAGACAGGCATTATCATAAATTTACATCATTATCATTAGATCATTAAGGTCAGGTAGTCACAATGCTGTGTATTATAACTTGAATAAAGTAGAACCCCTCATGTCTGACCAAGATGGGACTGGGAAATAGTCGGAATGGTCTAAAGGTCAAGAAAATGTTAATATTTTGCCAACACTGACCACTTTGTCAACAACCTTTATCTATATATTGAGTGAAGCACATCCAGTACATAGTAAAGGCTGATCTTCCTATCAAAACCATACTTAATATGTCTTTGGTGAACAATGAAAGTTCTCACAATATAAAGGGATTGCTTTCATTTTTTAACAAAATCCAATGATGAGTTCCGACAATAATTAGTGTCACACAGCCATTGTCTTACAGACAAACGATGCTGCAGGCTCACCTGAGGACTGCCCCAGTAAGGGACGACTTTGAAGTCTGGAACAAATCGAGCCATTTCCTGTTGCCAGTTGTGTAATGTAGATGCTGGAGAAATGATCAGAAATGGTCCCCAAACCGCTGAAAAATTAACTTGAATAAAACCATTGCTAGAAAAAAATTTCACTATTTTAAATCTGGCTTTATCTTTGTTTTCACTATCTAGGCAAATCAATCCAGTTTAAAAAAAATAAGGACATGTTTGTTTATAATTATTGTAGACTTTTACACAATACTTTTAAATGTTCATTATCGAGCCAACCCTCCTCATACCTCATATCTTTGAGATCAGCAAGCAATTTTTTACGAAGTTGAAATAATTAAGTCAATTAGGCCAAATCAAATCTCGTATGATAAGATACTTATTGATAAATTAATGAAAATGGAAAATCATAAATCAGTAATGTCAAGTCTACTCCAGCATCTTTTTTTTACAGTTCTTCTAAGTACTTACAGTATTTTTCTGCTATGTGACACAGGAATGCAATTGACTGCACAGTCTTTCCAAGACCCATTTCATCAGCCAAAATTCCGTTTATACCCTGAAAAACACAAACAGTTTTTAAGCCTACAACAATTTTATTAAAATCACAAACAAATTATAGGCTATACAAGTGTTTATGGTATATTGTTCAACTTGAACAGATTGTAAATTAAATAAAGTTAAAAAAAAAAAATAATAAAAATAAATTGTATTTTCCACAAAACACTTTCAGCCATGCTAATACCTAGTACGGTACGGTGCAATTAGTGAAAAAGCCATAACCCCAAAATCCAAAGTGAGAGTTTCTCTGTGGCTCCAAATTACAAAATAAGACTCCCCTTGTGCATCACCAAACCTACTGCTTCTTCTTAAGAAAAGGAACTAAAACCGAACGCGGTAGCTCAGTAGTAGCAACTTGTGCTGATAAGCCCCTACATTATCACTGGGGTCACCAATCACTATTTTTAGATCTTTGGATATAATATATCCATGCATATATATTAATGCTGTCTTGGTACCCAGCCCGCCAAACCCACTGCATATTGTCAGTTAAGGTAAAAAGACAGAAAATTGTTACAAAATTTTAAAATTTATGCTGCTATAGGCTATTGGTGGGTGAAATACTACGATAATACATGATGCAATACTTACTTGATCATACAGGTTGGCCAGCCAGTTCATGCCCTTCAGTTGGTAGCCCTTCAGTGTCCCCTTGAAGATGGCCGGCTGTGGCCTTTCTTCCTCCACTACCACAGGCTCATTCAGAATAGATCCAAACTGTCGAGATCGCTGCTCCTCTGCCTCAAAAGCACTCTTCACATTCAGCTTAACCTTTTCTTTCATAGACTCACTGTGAAAAGACAGTACGAGTAACTATAGTTTATGAACAGGTTTTTGACAAACATGTCTCTTGAACAGCCGTGTCATTTAATAGAAGCAACAGTAGTGGATGTGTAAACAATAGTTAACAACCCCCAACCGGCTAAACTATGTCTAGGTCTATGCCCCAAATTAGGAGAGGCACGCACAAACACTTTTTCTGCCACAACTCATTTTGGCCTAAGTCCTATGAAGTCAAACTATGTACATAACCTAAAACCAAGGCTGTTAACTGTCTTACAGTAACGGAATGCTACACAGACTGTAGAACTAGTCAAGGTTCTACTTTCAACTTGTTGTGAACTTAATTTTTAAAAACCTTGGAGTAGTTTGGTTCTCATGTGGATAACTTACTACTTCAGTTAATAAATCAAGAGACTGTTTCTATCACCTGTCGTAGTCGTCGATGGCTGCTAGTCTTGGGTTCTTCTCCTCCTCCAGCTGACTGAGAATCCTCAGCTGTTCCTCGTGTGAGGCGTTGCCCAGCTTGCGAGACATGAAGTGAGCGTACAGCTCTGTCTGAGTGATCAGGAAGTTCAGCTTCCGCTGCTGCCTCTTGGCCTACAAATAAACGAAATCACTCAAAACATGTATTTAAAATAATTGTCAAGGAAAAACAAGTTTGCTCATGTTCAGGGTTTTAGAGCTTAAAATTGTCATAATTGTCACCCCCCTGCCACCAATTTCTAATATGATCCATCAATTTATTAGGCCTAAACCACTTGGTCAGACAAAAGTCACTGCCAGACGTGTTACCCTTTGCAGTTCTATCCTCAGTGGCTTGGCTGAGACTAGATAAAACCGTCTATAAATTCTGACACAAACTGAAAAGCATAAATATAAAACTGTCTACCTATCTCATCTCATTTAGCCAGTGTAATATATAGACACCACCAAATCAGAATTTCAGACAGTACCACACTACTGTATTTTAATGGCTCATTCAACTATGTTCTTTTTGTATAAATATTGGTTAAAGCTGGCCCATATAGCTCAGAACTCTTTTATACAAAATTAAAAAAATAATAAATAACGTTCACTAATAAATTTTTTTTTTGTCCTGAGACGCTAGGCACGAGCCCGGGATTGTTTTTTACATTACTTCAGACTAAAACTAAACCTAGGGGTTGTTCACAAATACATTGGCAAGTCAGCAATTACATCAATCGGGGCACAGTTTCTTCTGTATGGATATGGTATATCTACTATTAGTACAGTATCCACAAGTCAATGCTAAGACCTACCAATGCTATGATAGTTGCCAAATTTCCTATGTTCCGTCTCTATGAGCTATGTAACTGACCTCCATGAGTTCGACGTCCATTTTGCGCTGTTCCTCAGCTTCTTTCTCCATCCTCCGCCTCGTTTCTCGCTCCACTCTGTCGTAGCGGCGCCAATGGCTCTGCATCTCTCGGGACAAACGCTTCGCTCTCCATATTGTCTCCTTCATATTTTTCTGGCTCTGAACAATTTTAATCATAAATAGTTTTTAATGACTGAACAAACTAAAAATACAGTGATGATACTTATTAATTACAAATACAAAAGTTTGTGATATAGTAAGATTTAATATTTTTAACTATAGTTTTAACCAAAAATACCCTTCTTGAGTAAATGTGTGATCTACACGTTTTAATGGTAGATGTAGATTTTGGGAGTACTACATACATTTTGTTTCCTTTCCACCTTTTAAAATCTTTTATAAAGAACCTTCATTAAGAACCCACAATACAGTGAGGCACGCTAATTTGGCACCTGATTATTATTTATTATTTGGCACCTCTAGTTATTACCTTAAAAACTTGGTGTCAAGTTTCTATTATGTAAAAAAAATCAATTTTAAAACTTAATGCCCTTAATAAGCTTTTGTTTGGTGTTATATGGATCAACAATTAGTTTAAATCTTTGCCTTTCAAGCTCACTTAAAAAAATGTTTAGGTAATCAGATATTTTTATTTGTAATTGATGGCGCTGCACAAACAGGATACAGTTAAAGGAGGTTTTTTTTTACCATAAAGCTAAAAAATAAAATAGCATAAAACACGTTTTAGAACCCAAAGTTAAAGAAAATTTAGCCCAAATATAAACTTACAGCTTGTTTCTTAAAGTAACGAATTTATGTCATAAGATAATTTCACCTCACCTTGCTAGAAAATATTTATAAACAACAAAATAATACTATATACCTTACAAACGAGTCCACTGAATTTGTTTTGTCCATCGTTACTTTTTGTGACAAATACAACTCACTTCTACAGTTTTGTTAACTTACTCAAGGCATTAACTATCGGATAATAGAATAGACATCCCATATATATGGACCAGCCAATTTTCATTAAAAGCGAGCGAGCCTTTTGCAAAATGTGCTATCCAGTAAATGTTTTTTTTTCTCTCACTAAGCGGTTGTTTCTAAAATATTTTATGTTACATAAAAGATTATATAGTTTACAATAACAAGATGTCTTTTCAGTGAGACTTGTTTTTTTTTTTTAATGAAGCCAGTAAATTACTACTGCATGTAAATGTAACATATTTTTCACACTCACCTGCATGGCCTTCTGTCTCCAGTATCTCATGCAGTATTGAGCCACTCTTCTGCAGCCGGTTAACACTTCTTTGTGGTTGTTGATTTTGGCTCTCTGAACCTAGACCACTCACTCAATAAGTAAAGTGACAAAAGGTTCCCTAGCACTAGCAGTACTATGATTCAAACCTCTACTAACAGATCTCACCTGCAACGGATAACAGAGATTGACGGCTAAAATAGTAGCGGTTGATTGAGATTCCACTGTATAACTTATATTTGAGATATTGGCAATGAATAATGATATGTATAACTAAATTTAAAAGTTCAAACAGGCCAATATATAATAAATTATTTTAATCCACAAGTGGTTTCAGAAACTAAGTTTCCATCGTCAGGCTATACTCAAAAAGAGCAATAGCTATAGAATCACTAATGGCAATAACAATAACTGATGGTTTAGTAATCTCAGTTTGGACACGGACACAAACTCAAGGTGTATTTTAACCGAATTTAGTTTAAAAATTATTTGACAGGGAGCACTTCAGTGCTTGTTGTCTGTTCATACATGTTTTGATCTCAATAGATTTAAATGATAAAAAGTACCATGATGGCATACTACAAGAAATACTTCACTTTAGATTAACAGATAGGACATCAAGTGTAGACACTGTGTGAAGCCTGATTGTCACTGCAGTGCGACTATTTTTTCAGTAAAATAATTGTCTTTAAATACCCAGAAAGTAGCGTACAAATATCCAAGTTTTACGAGAACAAAAGACATCAAGTGTAAATCACTTTTTGACACAAAAGACAGTTATAATAACGCAATGACACAAAACATACTTTCCCCAGCTCCTTCTTTGCCATTATCGCCCAAATCTTTCTTCTCCTGTGCGCCATGACTTCTGGGTTTTTCAGTTGCTGTGCCTTTTTCCTATTTTTCAGCATCTTACCCCCAAGGCCTTGAGTCTTGTTAAATCTGCCATCTGACCCACCGTCTTCAAAAATAGAGTCACGATCCTGAGGTAAAAATAAAGACATTTGTTTAAAGCTGGTCATTTTTAAATATGGAAAGTGGAATACTAAAAGGTTTTCACATCAAAATGAGAAAACTTGTTTCAATGATCACAAGAACTAGGTTAAACAATTAGGGTACCATGAAGATAGAGTAGGCAAGTGTCATTTCATGGATGTAAATTGACATAAAACAGTTTGTTAGAATTTATAAGTTTATAGCATTTATTTAAAAAAAATTGAGTTTATTTAAAATTTTTCAGAAAATGATAAAAGTCATAATGAACCGACAGGATGAGTTTCAAAATGAACCTAAGCTTTAAAATTCAGTTCAGAGTTGATAGAACAAAATTAACACTGTTTGCAGCTCGCAGGCATCTCATAGAAAGAAACTTCATGGGAACTAAAGGGTCATTTAACACAGTTTAATGGTCTCGTGTATAGATTTAAAACTAAATACAAGTTATGTCTATCACCAAGAATTTATTACAGGTTACACTTACTTTGTGTTAGTTAAAATTGAGAAATCTACACCAACTTCAAGCTTAAACATGGAAACATTGGATTACCTGTTCGTCATGATAGTTAAATGTTTCCTTTTCCTCTTTCTTGATCCGCTCTTTTTTTATGACAAAACTTTTTTTCTTCTTCTTGTTTCCCACAACATTTGTCTGATGTTCTGAGAATTTGTCGTAAGTTGATAGCAACCCAGCACCATAATACTGATATTGCCGGTTCTAAAACAAAAAATCAAAGAATTATTTAATACACTATAATGCCAAAGACAATAAGAAAAATGCCGAGCTGGGAAACTAGGAAAGGTAACACTGTTTTATTCGTCACTTTTCACCATCTCCACCTCTACATATAAAGCTGCATGAAACTTGTTTAACTCATAAGAAATCATTAAAGAATTAACACACATTATAAAATCACAACACTGGCCTTATAGCCATTAAGTAACACATAGGCTATTTAGATCCCCTCAAAACTAACTTCAACTATTTTCCTTCCGGCCAATATGTTATGTTGTGCAACCTTACACCACACCTCAAAACTTAAACTTATTATTTAGTCATATAAACTGAATGGGTTTGATAGAACCAAGATAACATCCACGATTCTGAAACGATCAAGCACCATAGAAAAGCTTCCTAACATGTTAGGCAAGTTGTGGTGTTGAAAATACTTACGTCTGGATTTGTGTAGAATTTCTTCTTATACTTCTTTTTATACAGATGAAGTTTCAACATTTCTTGTAGATCTTTTTCTGTAATAGGTTTATCATCTTCGTCTTCGGAAGAATCAGATGAATCGCTGACCAAGATGTTTTGTAGCCATAGTCTGTCTCGCTGAATGTGGGAAAAGTTGTATAGTCTCATTTTATCTGATCTCCGATCTATAAACAACAAAACTCCACGACTTACAAATAGAAATCACGTTGAAGAAATAGTTATTTGTGTAACTAGTGTGCAAAGTGGCACTTTAATGCACATGAGAGAAAGGCAGCAAAGGCACTTTGCGCTCGTGTTACACATTATATTTTTCCTAGAGTTACTATAAAGCATAGAAATAATTAGTCTACCAAACACTAAACAACACATTTTAGGTTAGGTTAAATCCAAGCCTTGAACGAAATGGTAAACACTGCACCAGCTAATCGTAGTTAGCTTTAAGTGATGCCAATTTATTTTCAACCATAAACGTATTACGTGCCTAATAAAGGCACACTGTTTTTTGTTGTTCGGTTGGAATAATGGTGTGCGGAATATATTAGTGCGGCAAAAGTAAGTAAATGCAGCAATTAGCTACTTTGTGTGATAAAATCAGTACAAGAAAGCCTGCTTTGTCAGGTAACTGTAGGAAAAATATATTTTAAATGTTTTATTAAATTTATAACACCATCACATAGAAACAAATACAACTGAAACCTGAAACTTTATAGAAAATCAGCTGTTTGTGTATTGAGACTTTGCACTCACCCTGTTTAGTACTATTCATCCGTTCCCATTGGCTGTATGAAAAGTTTGTATCAGTATTGGCATCATAGTCACTGGAGCCCTCATCATTCCTGTTCAAAATTAATTAAATTAATTATCATTATGAAAGTACTAAACAGACTAGCCTCATTGTTGCTGAGAACATTATTGACCAGGATTATTAAAACAAAAGAAGTAGCCTATCAGATTTATACATAATGCCCCCGCCGCAGCAAATCTGCAGACTGGCGACTAAGCAAATTTCCATTTGTCTGATTTGATTTCCACTTATACCTATTTAAATAACATTAGGTTTAATGAGTACCTAGGTTTGCTGCTACAGGGAGGGTAATAAAGGGTGAATTTTGTAAAATATTAATAGCTTAGTATAAAATAAATACATTTCACAAGTTTGACTAAAATATATCAACAAACAAGCAAACTACAACAGTTTTCTTACTTGCATTAAGAATAATATGGCAGTTTAAAGATCACATTTTTTTTAATTTTCTCCGTAACCAATAACCATATTTTAACACTTCTATATACTAAATTATTTGTTTTTTATTTTAAGCTCTTCAGAGATAAATTAGGAAATGTTATGTTTTGAGGGTCAAACATGGAAAAAAACAATTCTCATCCCGTAAAACTCCACTCCCATGGTCCGATCAGGCTGGTTCGCGAACTCAATCAAGTTTACCCCGTCTTTTACCTCCTAGCTGAATTTCATCAAAATCAGACAAACACTACTCAACTTAACGGGCATATAAATCTATATAGGCTATAATGTTATACAAATATAACAATTTGAGCGAATAGTGTTTTGGCCTCTGGATACATCAAAATGAAAAAGTAAATCCCTCTTAGGTCTTAACATGCTACCTATGGTAATAGCTACTTCCCTGTAGGGAAATTCGCTAAAAGGAAAAAAATATTTTGCAGCAAAACCACATTAGAGCCTGGTTGTCTGTCTGACAACTGCTCTTGTATATGAACGAGTCCAGCATCAGGGACGATGAGACTGTGTAGTGACCACTCCATCAGCAAGCAGTACTCTGGAAGTTAGCCTCCATTCTTAGGTTGTTTGCTTCCTCTTACCCATGCCCCTCTTATATGACAACGACATACTTAGAAATAACGAATATAAATTCTAACAAATAGCAAACATTAAGCAACAACAATATAGCAATATTTGTTACAACTAGCAATATTTGTTAGTTTTTTCAATAACTTCTATCATATTCATTAGTTTTTAAAAAGTACTAGAAATAACTTCTATTCAGTTAGATTTCTAGCTAACGATTAGATAATATATTCGTTAGTTTTGGAGTTTCAAATCGTTAGATTTTTGGTCAGGCAACCCATAAGACCAATGTTAAAATTTAAAAACTTTGAGATACTTCAAAATTATATCTAGGCATTATCAAAAATAGTCTAAACCATCCAAACATTTGACAAAACCACCTTGGAAAGTTTGGCTAAAATATGTTCAGCTGTTATTGAGATTAAGTGTTATAAAGATTGCACTGAAGTTGATCCCAAAGAGCTTCGCTTCGCTCCGCTCAAAAACACATTTTTCACTCTGGTTGTAAAATATAATATATAATGTCAATCAGTGATTTTTAACATCCTCAATGAGTATGAACAGTATAAAAAAGTTTTCCTATCTTACCTGAAGGGCTGCTTGAACACCTCTTCAACATATGACAAAAAGGGTTGCATATCTAAACTCCTTTCAAGCTGCTGGTAGTAAAGAGGCTTTGCTATCTCTTTGTCAATCATTTTTTGTAAATTTTCTTCAGTCATGTATACAAATTGAATTGCCTAAATTGACTGAACCTGGAAAACAAAAAGTTTAAATGAAAATATTGAAAATATAGTTCAATAGCTTCGTACATAGATTGCTCTCAGTCCCACTTAATGTAGTAAGCTTCGAGAACGGGATAAATGTCATCAAATAAGGCTGTCAACAATGGGTTTAATCCTAACATCGACGACACATTAAATGTTCAACTGCACATTCAAATCACATTCAAATTAAATGTTCAACTAAACATTCAATGTGAACTATTGGAGACTACTGATCCAAGACCTAATATAAAAACAGAATTTGTCACAGTTGAATATGAAGAAAAATCCCCAGACTCATGAACTGAAAAATTATGGCAAAACTATAGAGTTTAGAACATCTAATTAAGTCCAAAATCTCCTTAAACCTAGAGCACAACAAAATGCTACAAACCTGAGTGAAAAGTATGGAGTGTACAAAATAACATGCAATGATTGTGATAAGTTTTATATTGGCCATAGAGGCAGGCCTCTACCTCTGTTTTAGATTCATTGAGAGATTTAAAGAACACCTTCCCAAAAGTAATTTAATACAAATACAACGATCCGATTTTGCTGAGCACCTAGTCAACAGTAATCACATTTATTCAAGCCTGAATAAAAATTTAAAACCTTTGCACATTTGTAAAAAAAAGTCGAGTAATAACATAATTTAGAACAATAAGAAATTTATAGAGCAGCTAAAACCACCCCCATAACCTTCTGAATAATAAATGTACACTACAATGCAACATATTATTTGAAACATTATTAAAGTTGAATAAAACACCACCTGCAGCTACAAAGAACAGACAGAACCAATGCCAACTCTGCAAGTAACGTCTGACACCAGTCGGGACTCGACACACGACCTACGCGTGCAGAATGTTTTAAAACTTTCTGAAATGGACTTGGAAAAACCACAAATTTTCTTACGCATTCTCCCGTTTGAATATGCCTACTATTATTACATTGACTCGCTTTAGTAATTCGGTTATTCTATGCGTCTTACTCAAGATCAATCTACCAAATATTGACGTCGCAGCTTTCGTTTATGTAATGCATGATCTTTTGTACACTGTTTACTGTTAGTTTCTTACAGTATTTTTAAAAATAAACTGTATGACTGGATTGTTAAAAATCCCTTTTACAAAATTGATGATTTTTAAGTTGTGAAGTAAATATTAGATTTTGAAGAGTAAGTTGAAATAAAGCTTTTATTTTCATGTAAGTGGCTATTTAAATTTAGATATTTTGTACTGTAAACACTGAATCACCTTGTAACTATGTATAACAATGACGTGTCCTATTTCTTTTATAAAGATCAATGGAAATAAATATTTCTTATTCTTATTCTTCTTATTCTTATTCTTACAGAACGGAGAATTTTCCTGCAGAAAATTAAGTTGTAGACTTTTTACAGAAATATTTTCTGAAAACAAAAATATTATTAACTTGTATATGGCATTTTCTGCAGAAACTCATCCAGGTTACAGTGTGTCTAGTTTATCTCCATTTTAAAATTCAAGACTAATTCCAGACTTTTCAAGGTTTTTTAATTAAATGATTTGTCAATACCAACATTTATTGATTCTCAACACCGATACCTGCAAAATCAATTCTCATTTCTTGATACCATACCATTTTGTAATAGCTTCACCACATTTTCTAAATAGCTTGGTTATACTACTCCAACTGTCTTTATGGCATAAACTATTTTATGGGTATTTTAAGAAAATAGGGTTTATTCAAGTAATAAAAACGCATATCTCCAACAGTCATGTGAACAATATCATCGTGTCCGCTGATCGCGACAAAATTCTGATTTCTGTCTTTCGCGATTGTGAAAAAATTCTTATTAGGTACCCTATATCTCCCTGCTATGTAGACATTGTCATCGACTCCCACGGTCACGAAAAGGTCATCGTCGTCTTGCACGATTGCGGGAAAATCTTTACCATCTCTCGCTGTCATGTAGTATACATTATCGTCGTCTTCCATGATCGCAACAACATTCTGACTATCTCCTGTAGCCATGTAGACATAATCATTAACTCCTGCGGCCACGTAATCTTAGTCTACCACGATCGCAACAAGATTCTCATGATCACCGACTTCTGCAGTCACGGAAACATCTTCGTCGTACTGCGTGATTGGGGAAAATTCACTAACATTTCTTGGCCGTGTAGACATTATTATCATAATTTCACGATCGTGGCAAAATTCTGTTCATCTCCCGCGGCCGTATATACATCATCATCATCTCCCGCGACCACTGAAACGTTTTCTCGACTACTAGACACCCTGAGGTTAAGTGTAAGAAAGGACCATGAGGCTCTAACTTTGCCTGTGAAAATGAGTAATTTTTCATTTTTAAAAATTTCTTTTTTTCCAGGCTGGGCTTCCTGCAGCCCTCGCCCTCTTTCAGAAAAAATGTCCCACTATTGCCTGTGGTTCTGCTTTGGGAACGCTAGTCTACATGTCCCGACTTGTAAAAAAAGTATACCTACTGCGCATTTATCTGTTTTTTAATCGTCAATGTGTAACGTTTTTATGTTTTAGGATACAATAGGATCGACCTGCGGATGCAGGTAATTAAACCTTGTTTCATTATATTGAATTGTAGCCTCCTGATCGCATTTAAATTATAAAAAATTGGTGTAAATACCTGCATTTATGTCATCAAATGTGTTGCTAAATTGCACCCGGTTTAGACTCACATAGGAGTGCAAGCATTTTTTAAATTGTTTCCCCGTTTAACCAACTGTTCCAAAGAGATCAAAAACAATATGTTGCAACACAAATAAACAACCTGATTACCTACCTATAACCTACACTTAACCTTACTTCAAAACACATATAGTCACAAATTCTCATAAACCACGACCTACCTTACCCACATGCCTAAATTAAATCAGTGAGCAATCTAATTTAACAAACTCTGTAGTTTATTAAGTGTAATAACTTACAGTACCGTAGATGAAATTCAACATAACATAAGCTGTGAGGTATTTCCGGATTATATATTGATTTTGATGCGGTTCGATATAGGTATCGCTTATTAAATCCTTATTTCTAATCAGCTGGCAACACAGATAGGTGCCCAAGAGTAAGTAGTCACCCACCAGTCCGTATCACTCCGCTCCTTGTTTCTTGACATGCGTTAAGTTATGCTCTGCGCATTGAGAAAGTAGTTCCGTATAATTTTCACAATTTGCAGTAAATTCCGCGCCTTACAAAATTTTTTTAAAGGTAGGCATATTTTCTTGTTTATTGGTTGTAGGAATGGTTTAAAAAAAAAACCAAAAAAAAAAGAAAAGTTCAAAAGAAAAGTCCAGAAAGTTCAGAAATACCAAGTTTATAGGTTATGAAAGTTTAATTTTATAATTTATATACCTATTTAAAAATATGGATTATAAATCGATATGTTTTCAATTCCATAGTTTCAATCGATATTAAGTTTAGCATGGATTGGTTAAGAAACTGTACCCTAGGCCTAGCCTGTAATACAATTTCTTGCATTTTAAACGAATTAAAGTCCTCCATTTTAATGGTATTTACTCAGGGGAGGTATAGAAGAGGCTACGATGACAGCTGAGATCTTCTTATTAGCTGAGGGAACGCCATTACCGTAACAAAACGTTCAACAGCCATCGGCCTCGGTGGTCTATTGGTTAGCGTGCCTGGCTGATATACTGTAGGTCCCGGGTTCGAATCCCGCTGATAGCGTTAACTTTTTGTCCAAGAATTTTTTATTATCAGCAAGTTTGGTTGGTTTGGTTTGGTTATTACAGTTTAATTTTATTATTAAGTCATTATAAAATTTTAATTGAGCAATTTCTAGTTTTATTTAATAAACAGAATTATTTTTCCGATTACTAAACTTTTGTTATATTATTTCTTTATCAGCAAGTTTGGTTAGTTCGGTTAGGTTATGATAGTTTAATTTTATAATTAAAAAATAGTAAAATTGAATTTGAGGCATTTATAATTTTATTTTATGAACAGAACTATTTTTGCGATTAGTAAACCTTCATTGCCAAAGTGCTCTCTACTACAGCGCTGTTCGCGGAGGAATTTTGAACTGAATGCCTCATTTGTACCTCCCCTAAGTCAGACCCCATTTTAATTAGTCATCTTTTAAAGCTTGGACTGTTCTTTAAGGCTCTCTTTTTGGATCTTTAACATAACCTAACCTAGATAGGCTTCCGTAAAAAATTGAGATTGAGCTAAAATAGACGATAAACTTAGGCTACTTACGTGCAAAATAATCGGCAAAATGGTATCTTCTGAAAATATTACGCAGAATTAATTAAATAGTCACTATTCCGGACAAATATAAACAATCATTTTGTTAAGATCGATGGTTGCAGTAGTCAGTGCCAGTAATCAATCAATCAAAACAAAATGAACTAGAACTTGTTTGCAGTGTTTCCACACGACCAAAAAAATAATCCCGCTTACAGGGTCAAAAAAATCCCGTTTTATCCCGCTTTTAAATCGGTGAAAAATCCCGTTTTATCCCGCATGATTTTTTTGGTACAATTCCTAGTATTAAACTTTACGTATCATTTTTATAAGTTGTTTAAACATCACTATTATATTTTGCTACAGTATTTAAACAATTTGAGTTAGTTTTTCTCTAAAATTGAGTAGAAAAAAATAAAAAATAGTCGTCACAGCCGAAAATCCCGTTTTATCCCGCATCCCGTTTTAATCCCGCTCAAGGTCTAAAAATCCCGTTTTCGGGATAATAATCCCGCGAATGGAAACACTGCTTGTTTGTTGTTTACGAAAAATTACATATTAGACAAGTAGACTGAGACTGAGACTCAGACTGACTGACTGACTGAGTAGACTGACTATCCTCCTCGCACAATTTGTTTTTCAGGATTAATTTTGCCAACAGTGTCATTTAGAGGCTTCTGATAGACTATAATGAAGGTTTACTAATTGAAAAATTAGTTTTGTTCATAGAATAAAATTATAAATGCCTCAAATTCAATTTTATATTTTTTTATTATGAAATTAAACCGTCATAACCTAACCAAACCAACCAAACGTGCTGACAATGAAAAAATCTAATGAAGGTTTATTAATAGAAAAAATAGTTGTGTTGATAAAATAAAATTATAAATGCCTCAAATCCTATTTTATAATTTTTTTAATTATAAAATTAAACTATCATAACCTAGCCAAACTAACCAGACTTGCTGATAATGAAAAATCGAATGAAGGTTTAATCGAAAAAAAAAATAAGTTATTTCTGTTTATAAAATAAAATTATAAATGGGTTAAATTCAATTTTATAATGTTTTAATTATAAAATTAAACCGTCATAACCTAACCAAACCAACCAAACTTGTTTATAATGAAAAAATCCAATACCAAAAAATAGTGCTACGGGCGGGATTCGAACCCGGGTCCTTCGGATTATCTACTCAGCATTCTATCCACTTCACCACCGAGGCCGTTGGCATCAAATCGTATCGTTGCGGTAATGATGTTCCCTTAGCCAATCAGAAGCCTCAAAATAATACTCTAGGCAACACTAATCCTGAAATAAAAATTCAGCATCCTCCTCCTATCAACATCAACATCAACTACTGATCAATAGGTCAATAGGAATGGAATGATTGATTACTTGATACTACTTGATACTTGATAATTACTGATTACTCCAACTATTTACTTTGTTTATAGTTTTTTTCTCATATCATTTTTAGCACTGAGCTATATTCAGGCTCTTGGCTCTTACTTTGAACCGTGAAGTTTCATAAAATATACTTCTATAGTTGTTGATATGTAGAAAAAAAATGTATAAAAAATTATTATTATTAAAAGTATTAGGTCTATTATCTTAATATTTTGTTTTATTGTTTAAAACCAATAACCAAACGAATTAGTGCTATGCAAGCAATCCTAGTGTATACTGTCTTTTCAAAACCAACTTTATCTATAAGCGTCAGAGCAAAACCAACTTTATCCATTAGTGTCAGGTTAAAACTTACTTTATCCAAACTTAAAACTTATTTTTCTCAAAAACTACACATTAGGACGAAAGGGCATGCAATTATACACAAAGACACATATCTTTCACTTAGGATGAAACAAAACATAATAATTCACTGTCAGGATGATTAATGAAAGATTTTTTTTTTCATTTAATGAAATTGTTGAAGATAAGGACAGTGTGAGTTTTTGAATGGACCGCCTCAATTGTCAAATACAACGAAAATTCTGCCAGTCCATGAATTATTTTATGTTACGATACATGTTTTATGTTTTTATGTTTTATGTTTTATGTTATGATACATCAATCTTTATTCCAAGACAACAAAGTACAAAAATCATATAATTCTGTATAGGCTGCGTCGATTCTATGGCATCTTGCAGAACCAACGTGAGGTGAGCTTTCAAGGTTTTAGGGTTGTCTTCTTTCTGCTCTCTTGGCAGCATGTGAAAAATCTAAATCCAGCATAGGTAGGCTTACGTCATAGCCACCTTTAAAACTAGAGAAGCTATGCTTACGTTCGAAGAGTCCAAGACGATGAGCATGGAGGTTGTAGCTAGTTAACTATATTTCTCGTTGCATAGCTATGTACTTCTTCATGTCGTTTGAGATTCCTGGTTGAGGGCAAAGTAATGGTTTATTATATTGAGACTGATTACAGTAAGTATCTCATTATTCTTTAAGAAACATCTAGAACTTTCCAGCAAGTCGGCATCATACATGATTTTTAGAGGTTTTTTTTTCAGTTCAATACGCGTTCCAAGTGACTAATGGATAATGAGAGAGAGAGAGAGAATGAGAATGATTTATTTCCTGAAAGCATGATTTATTTCCGCAGACCCCCAAGTGTTGCTAGCCTATAGTGGTTATAGCGTCTCGGACTTCGGTGCGGGAGGGGCGGGTTCAATCCCTGGCACATCCACAAAACTTTAATGGGTTTGGACCGCTTTCCCTTAAAAGTGTTTGAAATTATCTTTTTATAAAAATGCCACTGGCGTAGATACGAGCAAAAAAACCTGCTATATTCCATATCGTAGATGGCGCCACAAGCACAGCATTTTACGTGCAGACGCTCTTTAATTCTCCTCAGAGCATATATGGCTCTACTAAGCTGTCGACACCGGTAGTCTATGGTCTTGCCAAGAGAGTCGTTCATCTAACTACACCTAGGTTTTTAGTACTCTCCACAGTCATTAGGCCTCTGGTATAGCAGATACATTTTATCTTTTGTTTCCAAAGGTTAACTGAAAGGTCTCTGATTCGTTGAAAGCTAAGTCATTGCTACTACAGTGGGGAGGGATCGTTTGGGGGGAGCAAGATGGTGTAGTGGTTAGAGCGCGGGACTTCAGTCCCTGAGGTCCCGGGTTCAAATCCTACCAAGTCACCAATGGATTTTATCTGACATATTGATTTTATCTGTGATATTGCCGCAACCCCTAGGTCTAGCCAGAAGTAATGTGAAAAACAATTCCGGGCTCGTGCCTAGCGTCCTAGTTAAAAAACTACAGTAGTCCTCCACATACCATTAGAGCCACCAAAGTTCTCATTTCCAGGTTTTCAGCAGAATCACCAGATGTCAGTAGAACAGCATAGACAACGGTATGGCAATGTTGGTGAAGAAAAGCTGGCAGATCATTGATAAATAATATGAACAAGGTCCAAAGACCGATCCCTGTTGTACCCCTCTTGATGTTGAAAAAAGTACAGAATGTGGTCTTAGATTTCATTCCATTTTGGACTCATTTTAACTCAATCAATTGCTACCTTCCTTGAAGATAGGCCAGGAACCACCTCAATGCTGAATCTTTGAAACTAAACATGCTGAGCTTTTCCAGTATCAGTTCATGTCCAGAAAGATGCCAGTAGTTGTATCACCCTCCTCGATTCAGTCAATGATGTATTCAACCACTTCCACCAACGCTGTCATGGTGGACCGTTTCGCTCGTTACGTTGATTAGCTGTTCAGGGCAATGTGGCCAACCACTCTTTTTATCACTATATTCTCTAGGACAGGTTACGCCAGCTCATTAAATGGCATATTATTAATTTAAATTTAAATTTATGAATACAAATTTGATTAAAAGATTGAAAATATAAAATGTAGACTTGAAAACCAAAACAATATAAATTTTAAATCTATTAATTTACATTTAAAATGGAGTCAATATTTTCATAGCCCAGTAATCAAGCTTTCGTATTCTCAAAAGATACACAATTACAATTTTGCTACAGTTACCTGATAAAGCGGGCTTTCTTGTACTGATTATAGAATGACCAGTATTTCAACAAAACATCACAAAACAGCGTGCTTTTTTGTTATGCCTTTAATTCATAATTCATGTACGCTTTAAAATAATTTGGTAACACCATAGATAAAACATAGTCCGTAACACTCACGATTCACAAATACTAGAAAAGTAGTTTTCAAGTATTCGTGGCAACACTTAAAAATACTACGACCACGATCAGCTGGTGTAATGTTTCCCATTTCGTTCAACGCTTGAATTGAACCTAACCTAGAACGTGTTGTTTAGTGTTTGAAAGACTAATTATTTCTATGCTTTATTATAGTAACTGTAGGAAAAATATAATAAGTAACACGCAAAGGGCTTTTGCTGCACACGAGAAACTTTACATAAACTCGCCTGCGAGTCATGCGTAAACATTTCTCTCATATGCAGCAAACCGTCACTTCACTTGGCACACTAGTTACACAAATAACTAATGTATAGCCTCCAAACAAAACAGCTGTAACAACACTACTTGCGACGTTGCCACTTCGAAGGCCATGGCCTGGAGGTAAGGTGTCCGTGGAGCTGGGCTATGTATGAGCCACATCATTCTTTTGACGGAAGTTCATATATTTAACACAACTATTTATGTAAATTGAGCTCGGAGTATTGCATAAATTGGTCGCTGTCAAGGCGCCACCATGTCAAACCACCACCTTGATGTTTCGGTGAGAGGTGTCAACCACGGCCACCTTTAACTACAGACCGCGACCAGTATTGGCAACGTTGCAAGTGGTGTTGTTTAGTGACAGACGTCCCATAAGATAACATGGCAGACAGGTGACATCAGCTCATTAATTCGAACTTTATTGATTTAAATTTATGAACATAAATTTATTAAAATATTGAAGATAAAACATACAGAATTGAAAACCGAAACAATATGAAATAAAAATCTATATCTGTACATTTTTAAGCGGAGTCAATATTGTCATAGTCCAGGAACCAATTTTTCGTAAATACAAAAATACCATTAGCTGCTACCAAACAAAATAGCTGTTACAACACCACTTGCGACGTCGCCACTTCGAAGGCCGGGGCCTGGAGTTAAAAGCGGCCGTGCGTCAACACACCACCACAAAAAAACTGAGATGACGGGTTGACGTGTACGTTCACGTCTACACTACCATGACAACCCACCACACACATTTATCTGTAGTGGAACGTTGTCATGCCACCACGACAACCCACCACTAACAGTTTTTATCAGAGGTGGCATATTGTCGTGAAGATCCATGGTGGAAGGAAAATACCTATATACCTAATACCTGTATTTTTCTTCCATCGCGGTGAAGCTCCATGTTCGGTGCCGTCAATCCACCACCTCCACGTACGCGACAACGTGCTCCCCGCAAGGTTCCACTAGAAAAACCTAAAGCCCGAAACATGCACACTGACCGTCAACCAGTTGGATTTATATCCTGTATAATTAAATATATTGTGATTTGATTAAGATATTAAGATATTTTAGAGAAAGTTAATTCATTCTTAAACAGCATTTTCACCTTGTAATATTATGTTTTTATGTTAAAAGGGTTACTAAAGCTGGGTTTTCCTAGGCGCGGAGTCGGCCAGCGGAAAGAGGAACGCGTAGAGCGGAATTGAAATTAACATGTCATTCCGCTCCGCTTCTAGGAAAACAGTAACATTAAATTGCCTAAGACAAGCTGAGTCCGCTCTCCGCGTTCCTCTCTCCGCTGGCCGACTCCGCGCCTAGGAAAACCCGGCTTTAGGTGTATTGATTTCTGAAAATTTTTGTTTATTTGGAAGTATCTTATAAAGATGGTATAGATAAAACATGGTACTCCTTGATGAGTATGATTTATCAAATTTATGGTAGACCTAGCATGTTCTATGTTAAATGAGGTACGGTACCTGAATTTCGATATTAACGACCTTAATCGGTTAAGTTATTAGCTGTACTGAAAATTTTGCATCACCAAGAAGAGGAACGTTTTCGCTTTCCATCTCACAAATAATTTTTTTTAGGTGTACAAAATGTTTTGGAAATAAACCATGAAATCTTATACTTCAACTTCTACCTGAAATAGGAAACCCTAATCTGTTTGAACCTCTTAATACCTCGTTCCCATTATGTCCGATCATGCTTGTTCACAATCTAGTTCGTTTACGTAGGTTTACTCGTTTGTACCAAATAGCATCAAAATTTGATAATTTTTACTCGATTTATCTTGCTAACGGACGGGACACATATATAAATATGCATATGCGTTAAAAAAAAAATGTTTTTAGCCTCTAGGGACATCAAAACGAAAAAGGAAAAAGTGTATCGGTCTTGGATCTACAGCAGTAGTATAGGACCTATTTCTTCACGAGACCTAATGGGGGTTGGTTACTAAATACCAACGGTAATAGCTTATTCACTATTATGGGAATTTCACTAATATGTTTTATAACTTTTCTGGCTAATAAAATCCACAAATATTTGCACTTTTAGTATTGTAGTCCCCATCTTACTTCCGCCATCTCTGTCGCTGCCCTCCTACTCGTTTCCGTCTTCTTTTCTTTCCTCTCTGATTAATCGCCATTTTGTCAACTCTGCATTCTATATTACGAGCGGTTAATTTCGTTGCATGGTGTTGTTTCAATTATCAATTTAAATTCTGAGTAGTTGAACTGAGAAGAACTTTTTCTTTTGTAGCCGTCACACTTAAGGTAAGAGTGTTTTTTTGTTTCTTGTTTCTGTATAATGTTATTATTGCTGTAAGATGTAGGACTGTCGACAAGACAAATTTATGACGCACCGTCACGATTTGTTGCATCGGTACTAAAATACTGTAGATTATTTTGCGTTCTTCGTCAACGAGTTCTAAGTTAGTTGACTGCTCTCTAATGGTTGGGATATTATCTCAGCTTGAAAATCCTTAATAGGCTAGATTGTAAACTTATTGCTTTTGACGGCCAATTGGCCAAGTCTACCTGATTGAATTGGGGCATAGGTAGGGCCTAGGCCTAAGTTGCATACATTCAACAAACAAAAAATTTACATTTACAAACGAAATAGGGTATGCTAGGACCTAGTTTAGGCCTATCCTTAGTCTTGCTAACACAGTTCCAAGCTAGCTAATAACTTAGTTCTACGTAGGCCTAGACCACCTCAAAACTAGATTAAAACAGGAATAAAAATATGCTACTCTAAAATCTAGGCTAAGAAGACGTTGCGGAGCTAGGCCTAGCTCCATAAACAGATTCAGCTCCGGTTACTCTTAACCCTCCGAGCGTCACTCGTTGAAAAATCGACTAAAGACACACTTTGTGTAGTGTCACACGTCGATTTTTCGACACGAACATCGTTTACGGCGAAGGCTCTATGACTGTCTGAATCGGATTGAACTGGATCGAGTTAGGTATCGTTCTTTTCGTTAGATTCTAAGCTTTCTCCAGAGGTCTGTCTCTAAGCGCTTTATGTTCTCTGAGCCGATCGTAATTGTAGCAGACAGCTGACGTTCGTGTTTTAGACAACTTGGTTATTTCACATCGGTGACTTGTGTGTTTTTGTACATTTATCGTCGTTTTTAGTGGTAAAAATGGATAGTAGTGATATACGTAATGCACTAGAAGATGATATTAGTGATGTTGAAGGACTTATTGACGATCCGGATGAAGTTGGTAGTGGCATTGATGTTAATTATCAGCCAGATTCCTAGCTATGGTTAGGCTATGCATTCTTAGCTAAACGCTATGTACTGAAATCTGTTTTTTGCCCATAACTTATTTATTTGCAAATCTACTTCCTTATATTATTATATAACTTATATTTGTAATCCTCATAAAATTTAGAACAAAGTGGCTATTTTCAAATATTTATAGGCCTATAATTTATAGGCTACAATTTCATTGAGCGCGAACTTATTTTTTTTTTCAATTTTTCCAAAATAACTTAATTTTTTTTACCTAAAAAATTTTTTTGAAACAAATATTCCTTGTTTTATGTATGATATTGAAGCCCATGATTTTCCAAACAAAATGGTATATAGAAAAGTAGAATTAACATTGTTTTAAGTTTCTCAGATCCGTTTTAATAAAACCTTGCAAATGCGCCAAAAATTGGTGGACATTAAGGCCTAAACTATGGACACTCGGAGGGTTAATTGCCTTAACGTAACTCAAATAAATGTAGGCCTACTCTTAACTTATCAAAGCAGAATAACGTAACCCTCCGAGTGTGTGTGTGTGTGTGTGTTATAAATAAATAAGTTATGGGCAAAAAACAGATTTCAGTACATAGCGTTTAGCTAAGAATGCATAGCCTAACCATAGCTAGGAATCTGGCTGATAATTTACATCAATATCACTACCTAGGTACTTCTTCAGGATCATCAACCAGCCCTTCAAAATCACTTAAATCTTCTTATAATGCACCACGTATATCACTACTTTTGATTTTTAACACTAAAACAATGATAAACGTAATAAAACACATCAGTCATCGATCCGAGGTTAACAAAGCTGTTTACAAATACGCACGTCAGCTGTCTGCTACAATATTTTCGGAGCTAAAATGAATAGCGCTTAGAGACAGACCTCCGGAGAAAGCTCTGAATCTAACAAAAAGAACGATACCTAACTCGATCCAGTTCAATCCGATTCAGTCAGTCATAGAGCCTTCGCCGTAAACGATGTTCGTGTGTCGAAAAATCAACAAAAGTGTGTCGTGAGTTGATTTGTCAACAAGTGACGCTCGGAGGGTTAAGTATAATAATTCACCGCTCTGTAACGGTGTTTTGGGGAGCGACAAGCGCTGTGTTGTTTCAATGACGTCAGTCTTCTGGCTGCTCCGGGAGTAAGTTAGTAACTTGGAGGTTTTTTTTTTTACTTTATTTAGTGTAACTTACTTGTTTATTTTTTTAAAGTAAGTTTATCCAACATTGAGTTATAGGTGTAAAAGTGTGTTTCTGCTCAATGCTAACAAGTTCGCTTCGTAGTAAATTTTCATGCATTAACTTATTCCAATTGTGCGAGTTATGAGATCTATAGATCCCGTCCGCCATGATTAGGTGCGATACGAGACTAGCCTAACACCTAGTATTTGACGCTATCAGAGTTATTTCATAACACCGCTGGATCATTTACTGGGCTATTCCGCCCTAGCCTATGAATTCACCATGTTACTCTACTCCCCTTACCAGGGAGAGATGTGCCTGGCTGTTCACCTAGCAATCGACTGCCTGTAAGCTGTTTTATAGGCCTACTGTATTTATAGGGTTTGTGAAGCTAGCGCAGTGTGTGGCCGCTCAGTGAACTAATGACTCCTCGCAGGACATTTGAACGCTCATTTTCTGAACTCAAAATATTTTTACCAATACAGTGTAACTTAAGGTAATGTCATTAACACGTGCTGCTGACCCCTAGATTCCGGGAATGCGCCAGGAGCTGAACTAACGCTCGCCGCTGCGTAACATTTTCGCCAATACATTGAATTAAAGTAAAAACAACAGTAGGTAGTTATACTGGATGGCAATGTTCTGCAATAAAACTGGCTTTGTACATAGTAGGCCTACTAAGCGGCTACCCAGGTTGCAGTCGGTAAAGTAGTGTGTCGCTATCTAGCAGGAAAGAGGTGGGACAAAGCCCTGTTCTAAACAACCCTGGTGGTGATTTTTGGAAACTATATTTGCATTGTCAGAAAAGTACGTCCCCACGAGCTGCAAAGAAATACAGGACGCTCGTGACAAGCTGGCTGATCCATAGAAACGTTAAACAACAATGAACGGTGACGTTCTAAAACGTTCCTAGCTCCTGGCGCCGTGGCCCAGCTGACGTTCCGGAACGTCCGTAGCAGCGAACAAGTTACTGCGGACGGTGGCACAGAACCCAAAGAACACAGTAACTTATGAGTAGGAGGAGAGAAGTGCTGCCTCCCCTCCTCGGTATGGCTTCAATGAAACTCCGGCATGTCCCCTCCTTAATGTTTAATCCTCTTAGATCTCACTCCATGATTTCCTCTAGAATCATTTCCCCCACCTCCATTCCCCCTGTTGACAAGTCACATTACAATCAAGTCTCTTGTCGGCAAAGTGGGTTCTTGTAATAAATAAGACGACCAACACCAACACAAATATTTTTTAATAGAGGGCCAGGCTTTTAAGTAACCATGGGATTGCATCGTAGACTTGAACAGCTTACTGTGCACCGCAAATGATAAAATTACTTGTCGATGAAAGTTTTTTTGTGTAGTATTTTATCCATGTTTTTCCTCCTGGATTGATAAATAGTAGGCCCTACTAGCAAAGGTTCTAGGTAAAATACCTTTTTTACATCTTAAATCCCAGTCGTCTTTCTGATGACTATAGTTTCGGGGCAATCTTCTGTTGTGTAACAGTGTGTGTTAACTACATGTGGAATGTAACAACCAATGCTTTTAACAGTAATTGACAAGACAGAAAGATAATGGCACAGATTGCCCCGAAACTATAATCATTAGAAAAAGACGTTTAGGATAGAATGCGTAAAAAGTATTTCCTATTATTAGTAGTACTTTTTGTATTAATCAAATTAATTAAAAAGGAAAATGTTGTGACAACCAATTTGTTGACCAATTGGTAGGCTCCTGTTTTAAGCAAATGGTCTTGTCAGGATGTTTTTAAGGATTTTTAGAAGGTTTTTATTAGACCTATTGGCTAAGATAAAGAAGGATCCCTTAATTGGTATAGACTCATCCTTGTTTTATTATTTAATAGATTATAAATAAGGAAGATACTCCCAACTAATGTCAAATGGGTTCTCAGGAAATTTGGGAAATAGGCTAAGTACTAGTCTAGTTAAATCCCTTTTTACACTAATATGTGTCAGCATCTTGTAAGTACGTGAGAGAATACTCCTGATTACCTACTAAGAATATTTATAAATCCTACTATACCGACAGTATCCAAAACTTCTGTTTATAAAACATGTCACTTAAACCTAACTATTTGTCAAAGTGTATAGTTGTGGTGGAGTAGTTTGTAGCAAATTGTATTTAATTTTTGATTACAAATTACAAAACCATTCTGCCTAATAAGTGCATTTTAATTCCCCTCTATGTAAGAATTGTAAATTGCAATCAACTTATCCAATAAAGTTAAATATTGCACTATTCATTGCTGACAGCTGATTTTATTTCCTTTAAGAATGGGCACCCGAGTATTCGTTGGTGGCCTAACTTATCGTGTGCGAGAGCGTGATCTTGAGCGATTCTTCCGCAAATATGGTAGAGTCAAGGAGGTGGCAATGAAGAATGGATTTGCATTTGTGGTAAGTGCAATTAATTTAATTTACGTTTTGTTCATTGCAGCATGGTAGGGTCAAGAGTTTATGTCGGTGGCCTTCCGTACGGAGTCCGAGAGAGGGATCTAGAACGGTTTTTCAAAGGCTATGGCCGCACGCGAGATATCCTTCTCAAGAACGGTTATGGTTTTGTTGTAAGTACTAACATTAATTAGTTAATACTTTTAGTATCAATAATATATAGAAGGCCATTTTGTAAATACTAAACAAGAGCTACAGTTATTTTTCCAAATTAATTTCAATAAAAAAAAGACGATTGCTATTTTACATAATTGAAGTAAGTATGAACCGTTTTATTGTGCTAGCATGTTTGTTGATTGGTACATTACTATAGTGGTTAGATTATTAGTAGAAATGGTTTTTTAATTGTTTTGCAAGCTTTAATTTATTAAAAAAATACTTAACCAGGATATTTCAGTGTTGTCATTGTTAATTCATACTTACCTGTCTCACTAATTGATTGTATTTATTCCTTGCCTTTGAGACACAATCATTTTTGCTATTTTAAATCCTGATAAAACCATAAAATGGCTAGATGTTAATGGTGTCACTTAAAACAAATGAACTGGTGCAATCTCCTGTAGGAGAATTCTTTTGTGAAATCCATACTTTTGTATCCAAAAAAAGCACACAAGTTACTAGCTGGTTCATAGGCTCAATTGTACTGAGTATTATGATAAATCTTTAGTTATGGAAGAAAAGAAAAAGATGCATTTTGTAATTATGTAACTTGGTTGATATTAGCATTGACTATTGGATACTGAAGAAGACATCCCATCTATATGGACCAGCTATCGCCATTTTTTTATTAAAAAACAACTTAGTTGTGTGAGCCAGTCACAGAATGTGCTAGTGTCTAAATTTCTATTTTACCTTATTTTTTGTTGCTGACCAGGTTGATGGGTCATAACAGTTGCTATATCTTACCTTGTCATTCCCTAAGTTTGACTTGGTAAACAGGTTTAGAAATTAGTAATTTAGATCAGCGCAATCATTCGGAAGCTCACATCAAATATGATTTTGATAAAAAAATCTAGCTACGAATTTAACTTGGGGGGATGGAATGTCTAATTGTAGGTAGGCTATTAATAGTTATTTATGGTATCTATCTATGGTTTGTTAATGCATGCAATTCATAGATTACTGACTTTCTCTCAACAATAGATTTTCTTAGCAAACAATTAGTCCTGTTACTTAGTTTTTGCAAAGATATCAGATCAAAATTTCAATTAGTTTCCGCATTTTTGTGAGTTGTAGCATATAACCTATTTTGTTTCAAACACTTAAACAAACCTCTAGATAACGTCTCATGTTTTAAATTCAAATGGTTTTTAACATAAAAGAGCTTTTTATTTATTTAGTTTTTTTTTTTTATAGGAATTTGACGACCATAGAGATGCTGATGATGCTGTTTATGAATTGAATGGCAAGGAATTACTCGGGGAAAGGTATGTAGGCCTCAATTTTAAAATATTTATTTTTTCAAAGTAATATTAATAGACAAATATAATACAAATTATGAAGACTTTGGTGGTACCTACATGAGATCTAACAAACAAATGTTAATTAAAAACCTTTAATTTTAGTGTGGAATGAAACCTAGTAAACTGCAGCAAGTCGATTTGACAAACAGAAAGTAATTTGCATATATTTTGCAAGTTTAACCAAGGTTAAGATAATGTTTATTTAATTAGGCATATTGCTTTTACTCATTGTACAATGATTTTTAACTAGTAAGCAATCCATTCTTCCATGGAGTTGAAAAATTTTGCTGGTGTGTCACCTTAACAGCAAAGAAAACGTGCTTTATTATTTAGCATCTGAATCTTTGTAATAAAAAAGATGGCTATATATATTTAGTTTAGCTAAAGTTAAGTTTTAATTTGAACTATTTCTTTGCTACGTACAAGAAGTGGGTGTTTTTGTGTTTAATTCTGTAATTCAAACTAAAAATCTAGGTAAACTTAACTTGCCTTAAGATGTTTTACGATTCAGGTCAAAAGGTCAAGATTAGCTCCTAAATTAATTCTGTAATCCAAACCACACATAGCTTGCTTGAGATGTTTTGGATTTGGATTACAAGGCCGAGAATAGCTCCTAAATTTTAAAGAATTAAACATAAAAATCCAATTAATTGTATTTGCCTTGAAGTATGGGATGTTTTGGATTTGGATCACAAGGCCGAGAATAGCTCCTAAATTTTAAAGAATTAAACATAAAAATCCAATTAGTTGTATTTGCCTTGGAAGTATGGGAAGGGCGATATTGTAAATGTCACAAGAACGCCCACTGTATTGTTTATTTTGGTGCCTCGCTCCACTAGTTGGGACACCCTGGAAGAGGAACAGGCTAGATTAGGTCTGTTCTCGGTTCTAGGGTTATAGTGGAGTACGCCAGGGGCACAGCAAGGCGGGGTGACCGCACTTTCGGCGGGTCCAGCCGACGCCGCTCCTCTTGGTATGGCAAGTAAGTGGACATTGCTTGTTGTTGCAGAGTGTCTGTAGAGAAAGCGCGAGGTACGCCGCGGGGGAGTGATGTCTGGCGAGGCTCGGGCCATGGCCGCAGTTTGGCGCCTCTCCCGCGCCGGCCGTCTCGCGTGCGCGACAGGTACACGTCTACACTTCCCGAGTGTCGCTGTTGCTCATCAACCTAACAAACATCCTCCTTCAGTTAACGTTTGAAATTATTTTTATAATTTTGATGACATTATTTTGTTAAGATTATTGTAAATGTAAAATTACATGTTAATTTAAAGATTGTCATGTGACATTTAATTATTTTCCAAATTATTAGGTAAAGGCCTAGCTTACTGTAAGTTAATGAAAGGTATTTGCAATTGTATCAATTGTAATTATTATCAATTTATAATTCCTTCATTTTTGTTTAATTTGTTGCCTTTAAAATATTCTTGACTAATATTTTGATGCTTATTAGGTTTTTGAGCGACATAGTTTTGTTATTGGTTAGTAGAAATTTGAATAGTTCAAATTTACAAATTTCAATTAAGTCAAGTAATTCAAATGGCAATATTATATAGTTCATATTCTTTAATTTATTTCTTGAAAATGTGAATGGATTAGTAGGCTATACAATATAGAACAGTTCTTAAAAATTCTTGTATAGACCTTATTTCAACTTCTAAATTACTGCAATGTATGTAGGGTCTACAGAATTATAAGAAATGAAACCTTCACATACAGCTACTAACAATCAGTGGTTGGGTATTATCACCTGAGCATGTTACTACGAGGGTTGTTTTTTAAGTAAGGGCCATTTGTTTTTATTGCTTCTTAGATTCCTTCTATGCCCCAACAAGGCTCAGCACTGCTTAACTGGCATCATTTGTGAACAGAATTGAGCCATTTGCAGCTCTGTGGCTAATGACTAGTACACTTTGTGTGTCCAGAAAATTTGTTACATTTATCTCCTGCCGCATGCACAAGATCAAGTCAGTGATGTTTTTTTTATAACAAGGAACATAATCCGAATCCAGTACCAAAATGCATCGGCTGAGGTCTGAAGGTTTTCACTGATCTCATCTCACATGGGGCTGTAGATTCAATTGTTTAAAAAAATGTTCTAGACTCTCAGCAAAGTGTACATGTTGGCCACAGAACTGAAAGCAGAGCCATTCTGTTCGCAAATCGTGCCAGTAAGACAGTGGAAATGGGCCTCGTAGCATACTTGAAAAAATAAGTTTTACACACAAACAGCCCTTACTTAAAAAAATGACCCTCTTCTATCACAAACCTACTTCTGGGTTTTATTTTTACCATAATGCCATTAGACAGGATAACTTCTGTATAGTTTTTGTTTTGAATATTGTCATGAGTGTTTTCAATATTTTTGTCCATGATTGCTGAATTAATGTTTGTTTTTTCATTACATAAGCACTATAATCAGGCTATTGCGGTCTGTTCCTTGACCAATAATATTTACAAATAATAAAGATATTTTGCAGAAAACAGTTGAAATCAAAAATAAATTTTGATTTAAAAAGCTATCTGGACACCCTGGTGCCAATTATGGTTTTCTTAAAGGGAGACAAAATTGTTTTCTGATTTTACAAACTGATTTTAAAATTCTGCTTTTTATATCGCATTGGTGTTATGGAGAAGCTTATAGCACTGCTTCAACTTGGTGCAACATACTTTTTTCTGCTTTATATTGTTTCCTTGATGACATTATATTATATCTGCAAACTGTTATTTTTCATTTTACTGATTATAAATTACAAAGTTTGCTATTATAAAACAATTATACTTGAAAAATTCCATTACCAATGAGAATATCATCTTTTTTCAGGGAACCAGATTACCGGAGTAACGACAGGTATGTTTATTTCATCCTGTCAAAAAATTTTGTAATTTGCATGGTTAAAGATATTTCTTCGGGGTGTCCAGTGTGAGACATTGAGTAGCAAACTACTCTAAACTATACAGAAGTTGTAAGCAAATATGCTACGTCCAAAAACCTATTTTACCAAAACATCCAAATCAGAAAGAGTTTATTTACTGTAGTAGATTATGGCAATTGTATTTTTTTATTTCACACTAAATTTAAATTTACATTGAAATTGTTGTAGGATCATCCCTCACCTATGATCTTGGTTTAACATTTTGTCTATTTTATGATTTTTATAACGTAAATTCCTTAGTAGTTTCCATTTCCTTTTTGTTTATTTACAAGTTAATTTGACTTAGATTTTGTTGTTGTTATTTGTAAATACAGTAGTAAACTTCTGGGCACCCTGTTGTAATGTATTTATTTAAGTATAGTTTTCTTTACCCTGAAATTACCCTCAACACTGGTATGAAAAAATTCTTCTGTCAACAGATGATAAAAAACTATAACAAATAAGCTATCCACCTTTCACATCTTACTTTGAACCTATTTGTTTTAGATATGGACCACCAACTCGCACGGAATACAGGCTGATAGTTGAAAACTTGTCCAGCAGAGTCAGTTGGCAGGTAAGTTCAGCCAATTGCTACTGTTACATGTATCTTCTTATCTTTATACTCGATAAGTCAAATTCATAAAAACACAAATAATAGTTTTACAATACTGTCCAAACCACACTTGGCGTGCACAAAACTTCCCCATTCAACCTACACTTTGGAACAGAAGCCAATGGAAGACCATCACATGAAGTGGAATGTGAAGACATCCTCAACCTACGTGAAGCCATCACATCATCATCCTTCTGTAAATCCAACGAGGGAGTCAAAATCAAAATGTTCCTGAAGAAAATCATTGGTGTTGGGGAAATTGGAGATGTAGGACTCGGGATCTCAACCTCTCTACTGGATCTATGATGAAAGGACCTCTCGCTTGTCTTCGGAGAAAGAACGGCACATGAAAGTGTTGCCGCCAAGTGTGGAATGGTAGACACGGCCTATAATTGTTCCACATTTAATAGCCTAATTAGCTTTCTATATGTCGCTCAATCCACTCAACACTGTAAAAATAAGAGGGAAAAGTCTACACCCTTTAATTGCAGTTATATCTTTTTGTTGATTGTTCACTCTTCCAAAATATTAGCAATACTACTCCTTTCAATATCAATTGAGAACTAGCTAATTTTACAAGGATTAAAATTGTATGATCTTATTTGAGCCTTCAATTCATTATAATACATTGAAATTTTTCTCATTTTGTATAAATTCTCCGTACTGCATGTTTAAGTTAGCGTAGTGGAACATTATAGGTTGTTTAAACTAAAATGTTGTCTAAGTGGTGATGTGTTTGTTCTGATTGCTATAATTTAAATGAATCTGCTGTTTTTTTCCGCAAGAGACTAGTCCTCCCTCTCCGCCAAGGGGCTTGGTTCCTCCACTCAGACTGTACCAAAGGGCATTTACCGATGTCACATGTTAGACGTGGTCGGGCCTCAGGCTAGGGATTAGATGGACTACGGACCCCACTCTGGACTCCCTGCCCCCCCTATTGTGCTGTGTTTGGTGGTCAATAACGTTTTACCAGGCCAAAGGTAAATAAGCCCGATCTTCCCTCGTTCACTAATTTCTAGCATGTCAATGGATTTGAAAGGTATACTTATGTTTATATATCGACAGCTATTTCTCTATCTTGAGGTTTTCTAGAGTTAACTTTCACTTTTGTAAAATATTTTATGCAGATTCGGAGTGGTACATGGACTATCAACTTTTCAATTAGAGCTTGCCGGGTATGTTAGTATGTTTTTTAATGGTTTGAACAAATTTTTATATGCAGGTATTTTAAAAATAATGCATTTAAATAAAATTTTACTGTTTAAATTGACTAGGTAAAACTAAAATAAACGTTATGATTTTATAACTTTAATCATTGATCTCTATTGCTCAACTGGATAGCGATTTATTTTTTAAATGTTATGTTTTGAATTAAATTTTTTATTAATGAACTTGTTTAAAAAAAAACTTGTTCTATCCTAACTTTTATTTTTTTTATTAGCTTCTCTAACTATTATTTTTACTTAAGTTGCACTTGTCATTAAATCAATTTTAATTGGTGCTGTAGGGATTTTAAACTTTTTTTTAACTGACGTTTTATAATAAATAAATTTAAAAATGCCAAGTCAGTCATTTATCTTGCATTACTTGGTACAATGGTGTTTTTAACGAGGTAAAACCATATCAAAACCTACTTAATATGACAAGTACAACCACAATTGAATCAAGCAAAAATCAACATCAATGAAAGAAAACACTGTAGCCCCGTATCACACAAATCTTAAGCATTAGCTTTTAATTGATTTGACACTATTCATGTACAACCATGTATACTTATGAATAAAGATTCTTGACTATGACTAAGTTTATGAAAACAGCGGCACAGTTCATACTTTGGATGGTGGGGGGACCTCCGGACCGATACAAGCCTAATTCTGAGCACCACAGCGCTCAATCCAGTTGTAGTAATAGAGATAGATGCTTCAGCCAGAAGAAAAAAAGTGAACATTAGGGTAATAAAGAATAATAACGTAAAAAACTATTTTCAATTTACTTGTTCCTTGAACTCAACAACCACTTATTCAGTTTATTTCATTTATCTATTCTTATATCTCCTTAAATATAATTTAAATAATAAATTTTTATTCCAAAAAGCTAAATTCAGCACTTGCAGTATTTTCTCTTCATGTAATTTTTAATCATGTAAATTACTGGCCAACAAACTTATATAATTTAACAGAACAGACTAGATTATTTTTAAATATTTGATAGAAAAACAAAGTAAATGTTAAAAAGCCTTTAATTTGCTTATTGGACTGTACAAAAACTACTAGGTAGCACTAAAACAATCAACTAAATGATTTCCTTGTTTTAGTGTTGTTTTCCGATGAAGATAGTTTTGAACTCATTTAACTGTAATAGCCGGGTGCCTTCAGTAGGTCAGCACAACAAGTTATTGTTTAACAACACTACCAGCCTACTCACACAACATTGCCAAACAATTCCTTTTTACAATATTTGACCCTCCTAGTACATAACAATGTTCATAAAAATCAATTTATAGAATAACTTAATACACATTACCTCCAATACCCACGGCTCTATTGAGAATTTTAAAATAAATTTAATTTTCCTTTATTAAAGTCACGTTTTATAATTTCACTTTTTGAATCAAAATTAAATTTTGTTACTAAGTTGATTTGTCCGTATGTTTTAAAATGTTAACCCAAGCTCATTATTTAAGAAGTAAGACTTCCAGTTGTACGACAACTAGATTAAAACTATCAACTTGTAAATTAATCTTGTTAATAATTTATCACTAATGTTATAGGAATAAGGTATTCATTTTAGACTGTAACATAGGGCACAAGGGCCTAGGTTTTTAGGGTTTTTTTTTTGTGAAGATAGCAGGCTCACATGATTAGGTAACTAGCACAAGAGACACAAAACTTAACACTAATTACTAGGAATGTGTCAAATCCGAATCTCAAATCCACCGAATTCTAAGAAAAGATTCAGAGAATATGCCGACTCGCCGCCAGGTCTATAATAACATGTAGCAGCAGTGTCGATCCACGCAAAGCTGGAACAAAGCGAAACTCCTCAAAACTCAAGGCCATGGCTTAAATTACGTCCTAGTCGAATATTAATAACTATTTTAAATAAGGATAGGTTGACAACAGAATTTCTCGATTCGTTACCAGTTCCGAAATATTACTCTTGATTCTCGATACCAATCCCAAATAAAAACTCAAATTTTTAAGGAAGTTGCCATGGTCAATGTTTTGTTATGTAGTTTAAACTCTGAATCAGGCAACCGGTTTAGTTTATGCCAGCCCAAAATTATTGTGAGCTCACATTTATTTATGGTATCCAAGTCTGATAAGTAAATGGAATCAGGGAACCGCACTTGCTTTTTACAAAACGAAATAGTCATAGACTCAAAACATCCAAATGGAGGTAGCACTCTGCTAGAAAGTCAAGATGCCGTAAAATGTTATGTTGGTACCACTAGAAGAATCAACCCCTAGTTCCAAAGTACTATTCCCCTAGTACATATGGTGGCCAATGTCTCAATTCTCGAATTCAGCGCTACCTTCGGTTGTAGATCTAGTTCAGTGTGAGCAACTATTGCCGGTATCGACTTAACCTTGACCACTATATGTATTTGTCTGCATTCATGTAGCAAGCAATGGCGGAACTGTACATCCGATGCGTTTGTACAACATCCAGACTGTAGACAATAGACAGACAAAACAACAATTTACACAATACGATTCTCTATTGACGCTCGACTGGATTGAATTGATGTTTAGTATTTATTTAACATGTTACTGTATTTAAAATTGTATTAACACAGTATATTATCGATCAACGTATTTAAAATTAACATCTGTACCTTCAGCAATCATTTAAATAACCAGTAATGAATAGGCCTAATTGCCTTCCAAATAAAGTATAAAGTATACTGACCATTTGATTTAGGTTAATATGTTTTAAAAGATGTAACCGATTAGTCGTCTGTTATTTTTGCCATGTGTCAAAAGTAATTAAGTAAGTACGTAACTTTTCACTGCAAATAATAATACAACATAATGGTTAGTGTAATATTTATTTTTAAACGCTTCCTAATCCTATTCCATTCTTACTTTTTCAATCACCATAAGTCCATTTATAATTGTTTTTGGGACTCGGGATTCAAAGATTTGAGGTTCGTTTTTACGATTCGGATTTGAGATTAATAATTCCTGGATTTGACCATCACTACTACATACACAAAACATTAGAATATTTCACAGTCATTGGCAGCATTTTTATCTGGACCTGAAGAAAACTCTTCCTTCGTTGAAAATTCTTTCTGTCAGTGGCATGGAAATATTCTTATGTTTTGTGTCTCTTGTTCCAGTTTGGATTCCTTCCAAATCAGGCCTGCTATCCTCACGAAAAATCCTGTGTATTTATTTTGTTTTTTATCGCCTTCAGGTAGGCAGACAATATTTTACCAAACATGCTTAAGATTGTGTCATAACTGGGTGTCTTCAATACAATTCATTCATAGATTTATGTCACAAGGATAATATTTGTTATCACAAGTCTTAATATTAGGCTAGTTGTACTGTATGTTATGGCATTGTAGTCTTGGTGCTAGATACCAAAATATCAGAATATAACTGTACAGCTAATTTGAAGAGATTTCGAGAATTTTTGTTGACATTTTTATTAAGTTCAACTGGGATTTTTGTTTTACAAATATTTAATAACGTATGAATGCTTTTAGTCTCTATTAAGTGTTTTTGTTAATTGCAAGGAAAACCAATAACCAACAAACTAGGTTCTTGCTCTATAATGGATTTAAAAGTTCCTATGTTAAACAATTGTAGTTATTGTTTGTATACAGTAATAAATGAGGTGATTGCAAATTAAATAAATAGTCTTAAGTTTATCAACAATGTTAAAAAATATATAAAAAATAACGAGAAGAAGAAATGTTGTTGTTGGTTATTTTAAATCAAGTATCAATTCTAAATATCCTGAGCTAATCCATTTTGGTTTAAGCAACATGTCGACTAAAAATTAAATCTTTAAGTCGCTACATTTTAGTTTCAAAGAACCTTGATTTCTTTTAAATTTATCTTTCATTAACATGGAAACTCCTGTATAGTTCAAAACCATATCTCCTCTTTGGAAAGCTTCAAGAGTTAAGGATGCTATCTGACAAAAGAAAAGCACATTTGTTTGGCTCTAGAGGACAACTAGGCTACATGGTAGGAATAGGATCCAAAGATGACAGTTGACCACCCGGGGAGGACAAACCAGAGTTGTTGTAGAGGTTGCCACCAAGCGTGCCACGACCCACTGATACTTATGTCCAAGTCGAACCAACTTCAGATATCTCATAGTTAATAGTTATCAAGTATATTGATTGTATATTTAAACTAGCAAAGAACTGTTTGTAAGCACAGTGAAGTCTTGATTATCTGCCCTGTTTGTTTCAACTGAAGTCCTGCGGGTCCCTAATATTTTCTTATTCCCCCCCAAGGGCTTGGTTAAGAGCGTTGGTAAATTTCAGCCCAAGCTTGGGTGGAATCATTTTTTCGGGTGTGTGCAAGCTGAGCTTTTATAATCCTTAATCAGTGACAGAATCTGCAAAGATCTATGATAAAAAATGGACAATAGCCCCACGATTGCCGGTAAAGTTAGCCCTGACAGCAGAAGATTATCACGATTTCATTACCCTCACTGGAGATGATGTATATTATTTTATGAATCAATTGTGTAAGTACAATTTTGATAATTAAAAAATCAATACGCCTACTGTTCTTTCCAAAACAACCCAATTTTGACCCAAGACAAAAAGCCAAAATCTTTTACACAACCTGAAGTAAAAGACTAAGGATTGCCAACCCTTACTGGTAATAATTAATTGAGTACTACGAGATTGTGTGAACGACCGTAGATGGTAATCCCGGTTTCACTGTGGTCTTAAGAAGTATTCACAATTTCGCTATATGATAATCAAGATTTGACTGTTTCAACACATTAACTAGATGTTAGAATTATCTTCAGTTTACATGAGCTTACTGTGTAACCTAGAATTAAAAGGAATCAATAATTAAAATAACACATTTTTTGAGCTGTTATAATTTTGTGTTTTGTTAATGTTATTAAATCACAAACTTGTACCTTTCCCACCTACAAAAATGAAACAGACTAATAGTTGGTAACCTTTTTTTACAAAATTCTTATTCTGTCAGAAAATGCAATATTGAATGTAGAATGTAAAACCATTCTACATTCAATATTGCATTTTCTGACAGATCAAGTCTGGTATATTTGTGAGAAGCTTGTCTGCCCTAAACAACAATTAAGGGAAAATGCTATGCATCATTTAGGAATGTCTGCTGGCTAGAAATTGTCTATGTACTTCAACCCCCCAAACTCAAGTACCTCATATTCTCATTAGTATTGTTATTGTGTTGCCTGTTTACAGTAGGAACTGGAGGGTGTAGTTTAAAGTTCCTAACAATATTTAAGAATATATTGTTAAAAATTGAATTTCTCAAACTCATTTTGGCTGGAGGAAATTCTAATTTATAGATTATATTGTTTTTATTATTATTATTATTTTATTATTTTTATATAATTATATTATTTATATTATTTATTATTTGGTTGATACCAAACTCGACCTATGCTGCTAATTAAGAATTTTGTCTGACTCCTCGTGGGCCGTCCCCCTTATTGATAGGCCTATATCCAGTCTCATTACTTTATCTACACTGGTAACAAATATATTACACCGTTCCGGGACTTATCTTCCACGCTGTATTATGCTAACACTGTGATTGTTTCAAGCCAAATATTTTTTTACTGTTTTATCTTTAACACGTTCACTGCTAATGACGCACTTGTGCGTCATAAGTATATTAGCAGATATATAATACATGATGTATATAATTACATAATATATTTTAATCCACAATTTATAGTATAAAATTTATTTAATTAAAGATATATTGTCACTCAATTAACATGATCATGTTAATGTTTATGTTTTTTAGCCATTTATAAAAGTATTACATATCATTAGCAGTGAATGTGTTAAGCCTATAAATTTCTCACTTTTATGTATTTAATTTTTTTTTCTATGTTTATTACACATGCCTAAAAAGGCTTTTGATTTTCATGTAATCTTGCTTAAATTGTGAATATTCTTAACAAAATGTAGTTTATAAACATATGTATTTTTGTAGTTTGTATTTTTATAATAAAATCAAGTAAACCGTGTTGTGAAACTTGTTTCTGTTAGTGACCACATTTCTGTGACTTTGTGGAGTGACAGGAGGAACCAAAAGCTCCAGATTTGTTGGTTCTCTTTCCTTACTGTACACTTTATAAGTTTGTTCTGTAGACAACCTTATCTAGTTATCTATAATAGCAGGAATATTTAAAAGTCGAGGTTGTTTATCTTACTGACAAAAAAATGTAAACAAGTATAAATGGCTATGCAGTAAAATCCTTTAAAGGGCAGTTTAGGAAATCTTAGTTCACAGCAATTTCCTTAGCAAAGATGAATTTTAGAACCATTGAATATGGTCAAAGTGTTAAATCAACTATAAGGTAGGGTCTTGTTATAAAACTGATTCACTAAATAAACTATAGGCCTAACATACTTGCTTGATGAAAAATGTGACCGAAAAGATGGCTAGATTCAATGCTTAACTTGGCTGACATTGAGAGAAGTAGTCTTCATTTGTATCTCTTTTCATATAATGGTTTATTTCAGTTGCAAAGTTAAAAAGGTATATTCCCTATTCCCACCTATTTTTATTTTGACATTCGCATCACCAAAAAGATACTGCATAGCCATTTTATGCTACCACTGTGTTATATGGCAAATATGTTTGCTCTGCCATTTTGGCATCGTGTTACACTGAAATTATCTCTTGTGTAGTCTATACTCACTTGGGTTATCATTTCAAAACATAGAAAAAAACAATGAATCTGCTCATTTACATCTCATATAACTCGCATTAGAAACTTCACTTAGCTCGTAGTGAAATGTTAGCCCAATATGACTTTGTTGTAAGAAACTGTCTTTTGTGCTCTAGGACTTGAAGGACTACATGCGCCAGGCAGGAGAAGTTACATACGCCGATGCTCACAAAGATCGTAGAAATGAAGGGTAAGCATTCTTGCCAGCAGTAATAGTTAGGCCTACTTCCCTATGGAAATTTTCTAAAAAGTTCTTACATAATGTAACTAAATCGGGGTTTAAATTAAATCAATATAAATATTTTGGTCCAACAATAGGCTAATTAATAAACAAATTTTTATTTGTACCTGTATCTTATTTTAACTTGCCAAAACATGATTGCTTCAATGAAAATTGTTTATATACACCCATATCTATATTAATATCTATATATTAATAGGCAAGCATGTTTCTAAAACCTTTTTCCTCGGCTCATGTGTATCGCAAAAAAATCTACGCATACGGTTAGAAAGAGAGTTTCCTTTAGATGTGCAGAATCTCTTTAAAAATTAAAATAGGTTCAAGTATAAGCACACAAAATGAATTTGAAATTTAAGAAAAATTAACAAGGGCTTCATGGGTTGCCATGCTGGTGACGAAATAACAACAAAATATAAACAGAAAATCAAAACAAATTGAAGAAATTACAATCACATGTTTTATTTACAGCGAGGGGTAAAAATATAGAGAAGCCCTACCTACCTTGTACCTTTGAATTACAACTACTGTAGACATTCCATCCCAATGTAAAGTTTTTGCCAGTTTTAATTAAATTTGTTGTAGTTGATGTGAGCCACCAATAGATTGCACTGATTTCTGTGAATACACGAGGTTTTTTACCAAATCAAACTTATGGAATGACTTATTATGAGCTATAGCAAAGCAACTGTTACGACCCATCAACTTTGTCAACAACAAAATATTAGGTAGGAAATATAATTTTAGACAAGCATTCTGTGACTGGCTCACACAACTACATGTTTTTTTAAATTAAAAAATAGCAACAGCTGGTCCATATAGATGGGATGTGTACTTCAGTATCCAATAGTCAATGCGTGTACATTACATATTTTTGGGCGAGTTTTTGACCACTGGACGACCCCTAGTCTTGATAAATCTACAGCTTGTCCCCACACAAACTTGACAAGTTAAAACTTTTTTCATTTATAGACACTGTTAAAGTTTTTATCTGTTTTTCTTTTAAGCATCATATAATATTTTCTCAATCTGTTTTCAGAGTTGTGGAATTTGCCACACATTCAGACATGAAGAATGCTTTAGACAAGCTGGACGATACAGAGTTAAATGGTCGAAGGATCCGGCTCGTAGAGGACAGGAGGGGCGGCGGACGACGCTCTCGCTCCTCCAGCAGCCGCAGCCGCTCTCGGTCACGCTCTCGTCGCACCCGCTCTAGGTGAGTGGAATATATCTTTTACATTGAAGAAAAAAAACTTGAGCTTTATGAAATTTGTTTAACTTGTGTGAAACTTAATTCCCAAAACTATAATCTCCCTTTGTTTCTAGGTCTCGTAGCCGAAGAAGCAGCAGGAGCCGATCTCGCAGAAGTAGCAGGTCCAAGTCCAAGTCTCGCTCCCGCTCACGATCCAAGTGAGTAAATTAAGTTTTATCTTTGAAAATATAACTTGTGCGTTACTAATGCTAAACTGTTTCAAAGTGTTATAGTTTTATGATTTATAATTATTGTATCAATCTTGAATCTATGATTCATATACGCATATGCTTATCATTCAATTTTTGATCCCTTTCTTATCCTATAGATGTAAAAGTAGTTGTAATAATTTTTTGTGGGGAGTATAATCCTGGTATCGAAATATCTTCAGTAAATTTTTATCAACAGTCTTGCATTTTGTCATTTATTTGCATGAACATTTTGTGTTTGGTTTGGTTTTGTTGATAATAAATGTCATGCCCCCATTAAGACATCTTTTATTTTAATAGATCTCGCGGAAAAGATAGATCAAAGTCTAAATCTAGGTCTCGCTCCAGGTCTGAATCAAAGAAACAGTCCAGGTCAAAGTCCAGATCTCAGTCTGTATCTAAAGGAAAGCCAAAGTAAGTAGTTTTCTTATGGCTGCTTAATGCTTCTTGTGTCGTTTCTGTAGCTCTTGCTGCTTTTTGTCATCACCCTCTCCTGATTTAATCATGATCAGCACATCCACTAACCAGGGGTTTTGGTGGTGATGTCTATCTTTTAACTTGGTGGTGTTACTTTAGCATGAGCATGTTTTGGTTTCAATCCTTTTGATCTGTTGAATTAGTCCAACTTAAACCAGTGTTGGGGAAGCTACTTTTAAAATGTAGCTAGATAAATGTAGATAAATGTAGACTACTGCTACATTTCCAAAAAAGTAGCTTAGCTACAGTTACAGTTCCGAAAAAGTAGCTTGCTACAACTACAGCTATAATGAAATGTAGCTATAGCTACAATTTTAACTACTTTTCCAAAGACGTTACTTTTATTCCACACATATTATGTAAATAAAAAATTAATTGCAACTACATTTTTATTGAACAAACATTTAAACAAAAACATGTCGGTATTGTAACATTACTTGGAAAACAACTTATTTCTAGATTGTATTTAATTTTTGGCCATTATAAATCTAACATTACAACAACAGAACCAAATAGTTGGGTGATCCATCATATTTAGTACTTATTTTTAAATCATTTTTAAGGATCTTATATGTAAGATCTTATATGTAAATTTCTTAAGTTCAAAGGACTTACAACCAAACTATATTTTAAAAGCTCATTTTATTTCTTTAATGTTAATTCATTTACAGGTGTTATATCAACAATTAAGACCAATAAAACTGTAAAACGATTATTTAAAAATACTTTTTGTGTTACAGAGCCTAGCCTACTAAAATTGGAGATTATTGCCTTTTTTTTATTTTTAATGTTAAAAAACTACATTGCTTTAACTTTAAACTTTTATAGTGATAAGTATTTGTTCTATGAATAACACTTTTCAATGTCAAGAAATCGTCCTTTATTGTCATTATGCATATGGCAAATTCTTCTTCAACCTAGTTGGTGCAGAAAACAGTATTCAGCAACTTATCCTGAAATCGGCTTTTTAATTTAAACATGTTGAAAATTGTAAAGTAAAATTAACATGTCGGTCTACTAGGCTATGTAAGAAGTTGGCTTTAGTAGGTCTGTTCTTAAAAGGACTAAACGGACATATTCCTAATAATTGAACTTAGTATTTGTCTTAAACCAATAGCATGGCCTAGGAATAGTCCCATACAAGAGCTGTTAGAAGGAGCAAACTATGGTATTTTTTCAATGTAAGTAATCATGTTATATGGAGATTTTTTCGTTACAATTATTATGTAGTCTAGGCATATCTTAAATCTCATCAGGTAATTTCCTCTTCGTTAATTTAGTAAACCTTTGAAAAATCTTCGTAACTAACCAAGGAAGGGCTTGTGATGATGAACCACAATCAACAGCTGAAGCAAAGGTTAATAGACCAGCTTTATCATTATTTTAAGGTCTGGTTTCCATTAAAACCCAAGTTGAAACCATCGATATATTAAAGAAACTAAATTGATTGACTAATTTCCCTGTCAATCACTTGCAAGCATTGCAGCTTGTCTTGTCACCGGTAACATTTAAACGTCGTCTGCATCTAGTGATTTTATTTTATCTGTCACTAATCCTAGAATAGCAAATTAAGGAAATGAGAGCTAAAAATGTGGATAACACTCAGATAATGGCCTCCATGTCCACGCAACATTGTAATAGGTAATGAAACGGCTGTATGAAGCCAAGAAAGTAGGCCTAATTTTTTTTACAATCTCAGTTTGAAAGAGGTTGTTTCACGTAAGCTTATGATAAAAGTCGCTATCTCAATCAATGTTAATGTAGCAAGAAAAGTAGCTAAAATTCCGCTACAACTACTTGAAAAATGTTGCTAGCTACAGCTAAAGCTACAAAATCTTAAAAGTAGCGTAGCTACAGCTAACGCTACAAAAAAAGTAGCGCGCTACTTCCCAACACTGACTTAAACTAACATCCAACTCATCAGTAGATCCCCTAACCAGGGGTTTTGGTGGTGGTGTTGTTATCTTTTAACTTGGAGGTTTTACTTAAGCATGAGCATTTTTTTGTTTTAATCCTTTTGATCTGTTAAATTAATTAAACTTAAACCAACAATAACATCCATTTCAAAAGCACAACCACTAACCAGGGGTTTTGGTTGTGTTGTCTATCCTTTACTTTAGCATGAGCATGTTTTGGTTTTGGTTTTAATCGCTTTGATCTGCTAAACTCATTCAACTTAAACTAACATCCAAATTTTTCTAAATTGAATCTTCAGTGCATCCATATAATTTTCCATCACATAAATAAAATTTTCCAGCTTCAAATATTAACATATAAGCATATATCTGAACCATGTGCTGTGAATAATCTTTAGGACTCAATTATTGCTAAAGAATGGTGAGCATATAAAATAGAATCACTTACTTAAAGTAAAATATTTGTGTAATTTTGTTATTGGTCAATACATTTTGCATTTTTAATGTAATAGAACACCCTTGTAGAAAAGAACTGTTATGATTTCCATTGTGGCAAGTTTTTTTTTTTTTAAGTCATTACTTATCACATTACCGTACTTGTTAACTCAATTTCTTCTTGAAACATAAGTTTTAAATATTAATATCCCCTTGCTCAACCAGTTGAATAAACTCAGTTTGGTATATATGAGCCGTGGCCTACCAATTGAGCATTCATTTGTGACACACTGCACTAGTTAAAGAATCATCAGTTACTGATGATATTTTGTTACAGAGAAAGATCTCGCTCCCCAAGCAAAGAAAAGTCAAAGTCCAAGAGCCGATCACCTGAGAAGAATGGAGACCGATCACCCGAGGTTCAAGACAATTGAATTTGTTTGTAACTTTTTTATTTGTTTGATGATTGTGATTTTTTATGCATAAAGAATTATTTGTAGTTTGGTTGGTTGAGATCAGGCTGGTTGTTTGGGTCCATTTTTACAGATGTCATCACATTTTGTCCTAAATTCTTTGACTGAAATCTGTATATGTATATTACCAAACTCCTTAGTAAGAATCATATTTTGTTGGATTAATTTTTATTTGTCACAGGTTAATCCATTCAAATTTAGGTTTTCGTTCTTTAAGTTCAAATACCCTACTTCTTTAACAATGTGTAGAAAGATTTTCTTAATATAAGATTTTTGTAAATACATTGTTTTCTTACCCTTAAGCAGTTTTGATCATTTGTAGGATAAATAATGTTATCAGTACGCTCGATGTTGGCTTTTATTTGGCAGGGAATGATTGAGGGAAAATTTTTAAATTTAAGTTAATTAATTAAAAACAAAAATCATTTTAAACTATATACCTGCATATTTTGTTATGCATATCAAGTGTCATTGGTATTTTTTGTCCAACAAAATCAAGTTGTTGGCTCTTTGATTTTCTGTCAATTTTAAGTTCATTAGAAAGGTGCTTGGTAACTATTGTAAATAACAAGAACAAGAATATGCTTAAAGAGGTACTAACAAAAATTGTGCAAGTCCTCGACCATTGCATTTCTATTTAGTTTGTAGTCTGCTCATATAAAGTCATGATCTAAAAATTTGTCATTTCTAATCTTGCCAATCTAGTGCTCATGAAAAAAATGTGTAAATTGAAGCACATTATCTTTTCCACATTGTGTAAAAATATAAACACTGTAGTTGGTATTAGTAATATCACTAATGTGAAGTCATATGCTAGGATAATAAAACCGTTCATACTTGTCATCGACCTGTTTCATTCACCTTTACCCTCGAGTTATTCAACATAACTAGATTACATTGGCATGTAGATGCGGCCAGTTGGGGCAGTTTCATGAGAAACACAGCTTGCCTCTGTAGTGTGTTAGTTTAAAAAGATGTTGGCTAATCTGGCCTGAATAGTGCACCGACTCACTAACTAGCTTGTGTAAACATTTTGTTACTTTCTCCCCCTATTCATGCACAGTATGTATGGTGAAAGTATTATTTTTGTTTGAGTTTTAGTGGATATATCCATTTCAAGTCCCCTTACATCCCAAAAAAGTGGTTTTTGAAGTGGTGTCTGTATGTGTGGATGTGTACAGAGCTACAGACCACACCTGTAGTCCGATTTTGATGAAATTTGGTATGAAGGTATTAATCCGGATTATATCTCCAGGAGTTTATTTCATATTTTTAATGGTGATTTCCTTATGAAATAGCGGGAAAATAGAATTTTCTCAAAAATGGCCCAAAACGATTTTATTACATCACTGCATAGCACATTTTTTTAAGGTTTTTTAATGCAAATCCCAAATCAAGATACAGTAGTAACACTATATTTTTTTTAGTGAATTTCCCTATAGAGAAGTAGCTATTATCGTAGGTCTCATGGTAAGACCTAGGTCCGGGACCGATTTACTTTTTATTATGATGTCCCCAGAGGCCAAAAGCACTATTCTTGAATCCTTATATATAATATGTGAAGGCGATTTCCACCAAACTCTACTCCTCCATTATTAATGGACTAATTTTTACAAGCGATGTGTCAAAATTAAGTATATTTTGTGTATACGCCACGCCCCCAAATCCTGTAATAAAAGTTCTCGGGCTTTGCCCCACAGGCCATCAAAATCCCAATGTGTTTCTTATGAAGAAAAGATTTTGTTTACTTACACAGTCGAATAATTTGTTTGTATTAATTACAGCTGTTCATAGTAAACACACAAGAACTCGTTTTCAGAGTGATTTCGTTTTTAGTTTCGTTAACAGGAGTGGAGTGCCATTTCCAGTTTCGATAACTGGAGTGGAGTGAAGTGAGTAATGATTACATTATGTAAGTTATCAGACTGTTATTTGTTTTAATATATATACAGGGTGTTTTTTTAAAAACTTGCATCTTTATTTATGTAAAAACCGCAATACATAGAAATATGCAGTTTGTGGGAATCATCTATTGACGTAGGGGGCCCAATTGTTTTGAATTCAACGTTACATTCACATTCCCCCCCTATCCCCCCCTGCCCCCAACTTAATTTTTTTAAATACAGTAGCAAGGTACCCCTTCTGACATATCAAATGAAAGAGCATGAAAAAAGAAAATGTTTGATGAAAAAAAATTGAAAATCGGTTCATAAATTTGCGAGATATTTCTCCCTCCCCCTCCCCGGAACTTAATTTTTTTTAATAGCAAGATACCCCTTGTGACATATCAAATGAAAGAGCATAAAAAAAGAAAATGTTTGGTGAAATTTATTTTTCATTTGATATGTCACAAGGGCGGGTACCTTGCTATTAAAAAACAAGTTATGGGTAGGGATAAAGGGGGGGGATTATCTCACAAATTCATGAGCCGATTTTAATTTTGTTTTCACCAAAAATTTTCTTTTTTCATGCTCTTTCATTTGATATGTCACAAGGGGTACCTTGCTATTAAAAAAAATTAAGTTCCGGGGAGGGGGAAATTCTCGCAAATTTATAAACCGATTTTCAATTTTTTTTCATCAAACATTTTCTTTTTTCATGCTGTTTTATTTGATATGTCACAAGGGGTACCTTGCTATTTAAAAAAATTAAGTTGGGGGCAGGGGGGGAATGTGAATGTAACGTAGAATTCAAAACAATTGGGCCCCCTACGTCAATAGATGATTCCTGCAAACTGCATATTTCTATCTATTGCGGTTTTTACATAAATAAAGATGCAAGTTTTTAAAAAAACACCCTGTATATCGCCTATAATACTTTGCAATTGCTCGAATTTGAGCAACAGGTGCACTAGTTTTTATATAATATTTATGTATATCGATACATATGTGTCCATGAGGCGTTAACTTGAGTAATTTTTGTGCAATTTTGATCAAACTTGGTTTGAAGGTAAGGTGTAAGGCGGGATAAACTTGAATGAGTATGCGAACCAGCATGATCGGACCATGGAACGGAGGGTTTATGGGGTAAAAATGGGTTTTTCTAATTTTTTACCCTCATAACACAAATATAAATAAATAGCTTAAAAAACAAATAATTTAGTGTATCAAAATGTTTTTGTGGGGTAGCGGATTTTTAACCCCCTGGGCAAACGTGACGTCACAAACCAGGGGGTAAAATTCCGGCCGCGAACTTTTTGGGTTTTGCGACATCAGTTGGATGGATTAAACGTACATTTTCAAGGTTGTGAATTTAATCAGAACACATCAAATTATAAAATTTAGAGAATACGGGCCGGAATTTTACCCCCTTCATGAGGTCAGCTCAAAATGTACGGCCCGAATTTTTACCCTCAGAATTTTACCCCCCCGGATTTTTACCCCCTGGCCAGATATATAAATTTGTGAGAATGGTTGATTCTCTTCATTCAGTTTTAATTTAATAGTAAAAATTTTATTGTTAAGTAGCCTATCTTAATTTATTTGTAACATCAACTAATCGAACAGGTTTTTCATTTTAATTTTGAGATTCGATTCTCAGGATTTGATCATTGAAGCCAACTTTTGGTTAATATGATCAAAATTAAACAGCGAATTCTTTTACATAGTTGAAGTTGAGATTTCAAAATAAATAAATAGGTCATTTTTTATACAGTAGTGTTTAGCTTGGTTGAGGCATGCGATCGTATTTGTTTCAAGCATTTCAGTAGCTTTATTAGAGATGGTAAGCACAGTATCGTCTGCCCACATTATAGTAGAGCAGGCATCATCCATGCAGTTTGGCATAACATTCGTGAGGAGGAGGAATAGCACTGCCCCAGTACAGATCCTTGAGGCACCCCTCCCTCTTTTTACATTAGTTGTTGGAGATTGAATTTTGTAGTTGATCTTATTTTCGATGTGATTTATTTCTACCAGTTGCTTTCTTCCCTTGAGATAGCATTTAAACCATTCTGCTTCGTTACCTCCTCCTAGGACTCTTAGTTTTTGTAGTAGCTGGGCGTGATTGAGGCAATCAAACGATTTGCTGAAGTCAAGAAACAACAGGCTAGGCTGGTCACTTAACATCCTTCCTCTATGACTGTTCTATGACAGTCATAGACACGTCATATAACAGTCTATAACGTGGTCTATGACGTGTTCTTTCAGCTTTATCAGGGCTGTTGTTGTTAATCTACCCTCAGACCGCCAAATTCCGTTTTCAATGTAGGAGCAACCTTAAACATCTCAAGTGTCATAGCTTTTTGATTGTTTGAAACTGGAACCAGCTGTCCTTGATCAATGGGTTTTGAATAGATGGTCCCTGGTTAATGAAACAGGTGGTCTAAGTAACAAAGCTGTACAAGGCATCTTATGCTATTCTCCACTCATGCTTCACTAATATTTGGGTTAAAATGTGCACCTAGGTGGCGTCCCCATCTCAATTAATCATATATTCTAATTCTAAACAATTTGACTCCTAGCACATGTTGAATACACAGCTTTCAGCTGTCTTTGTTGAGCTATGCCAGCTAAGGTTTAAAATGAAAAAAAGTTTGGCTGACTAGTAACACAGTACAAGAGTACAGTTCGGCCAAAAGGGTGAGTGAGTAGCAAGACACAAATGTTTTCACAAAAATACCCCCACCAACCGCCTCACCTAGACTCAACCAGTTCTGGTCGCGCACACAGAAACTTTGGCTGAACTGTATTTGATGGCTGATCTATTTGGTGTCAAAATTTTTAGGGCCGATCTGTAATTTACTGCTGAAAAAATTTACGAAGAGCTCAAACGCCGAAATTTCTAAAGCTAGGGCATAGTAAAGGTACAACTAAGGAGGGGTTCTGATGGCAAATTTATAAGCTGTTAGAGAAATATTCACAACCATTTAACTGTTTTACACAGAACGGGAAGAAAGGCATATCAATTAGTTCTTATTGTCATCAAAACTGTAAGGTAAAACTGCACAAACCAACAAATAACAAAATCTCAAAAAGAAAAAAACCATTTAGTTAAAGACAATTTTATTAGTACAAAAGATAAGTTAGTAAACTAAAAAAAATTTGTTAAAAGCAAACATGAAACAATATCAAATATCTGTTATTCAAAGTCATCATCTGAGTCATCATCTTCTTTGCCACGGATTGTGTGCTTCTTGTGAACAAACACCTGTTTGTCTGATCGCTTCTTCTTATCAGGTGGGTGAAGTAGGTCACCAGAGTAGTTGATAGCCCCTGACTGAGCCAGCCGCCATTCTAGGATTTCGGTTGAGAAGTCGTCGCAGTTTCCGAGATCGGTAAAACCAACGATGGTGTCCTTGAAGTCACTGTCTTTCAGCACAACTATGGTAGGAATCATTTTGATTTTCAATCTCTCTGAAACAGAAGTCAGCCAACAATGCAAACATTTGTGGAATCACATGTTTGAGTGAGCAATAAAGAATACGAGAGCACGCCCCGTGGTCGAAAAATCGACCAAAAGTATGTATTGTACAAACTTCTCTATTTTCATCCCACACTGTAAATAAAACATGTGATTGGAATGTCTTCCATTTGTTTTGATTTTCTGTTTATATTGTGTTGTTATTTTGTCATCACCATAGCAACGCATAAGACCCATGTTAATTTTTTAAAATTTCAAATTCATTTTTTGTGCTTATTTTTGAGCCTATTTTAATTTATAAAGGGATTCTGCACACCTACAGGAAAATAGCTTTCTAACGGTATGCGTAGATTTTCCCTACGATACACACGAGCTGAGAAAAAAGGTTTTAAAGAAACATGCTTGCCTATTAATATATAGATTCTGTTGAGTTTGTTTTAGTCAGAAAGTTAAAGAAAATGTCTCTTCTACTGATTTGAATGGTATGAAAATTTGGGATTGTCTCGGAACTGATTAGCAATAATATCTACACAAAGCAACAGAATAATTCCTGACATAAAAGAGAATTGAATTTAAAAACATCATGAGAATGTTAATTGCCTCACTAAAGGATTGTTAAATAGTAAAATACCTGGTGTACTATGAGAAGATACTTGTTTGGTTTTGAACTAAGGGGTTCACTTTTAAAGTTGTATAATACCATGCTATAAATAATTCACTCAGTCAATTAGTTGTAGGTCATCATACACACATACTTAACACAGATTTGCAAATAAACAACAAACATCGCCTGATGGGATTCATGTAAATAATGTATGATGCTGCTGATGATGAGCTGTAAAACATGTAGAGCATGGGAAATTACTTCAGTTGACGCCTTCAGCATACCTACGTAAGTAGATTTTCACATATAATTTAACACAGGAATACTCACTGGGATTTCTCAAAGAGCCATTGTTTGCATTACATTTTTAAAGGACCGCAAGCAGTGGCAGCTCGTGATTGCATTTGGGGGGAGGAGGGGACGATATGAAATACCAATAAAAAGGGTGTCTGGGGGCCGCCCTCCAAAAAAATGTTGAAAATAAAAGCCTAAAAACATGTTTTTAAGCTAGGCCTACCTGAAGTGAATTTTGCTTTTGTTCCTAACAGTCTGGGGGCCGCAAAGAATCGTCCCGAGAAATTGCTAATAAAATAGAAAGGACTACTTATAGCCAGTTAGGACTACTCTACTTGAAAATTACCTTCAGGTTAAAAACTAGCATCATTTGATAGTACTAAGATAGTACTCTAGTATTTTATTGCTTTAGGCTACTTATTATCATAAGAGTCATCTAGAGGTTGAAAATTATTAATTGTTTGTAAATTTTCTATTAATAAAAAAATTTTCTTTTATACTTATTAGGTACTGTATATCAACCCTTTATTACACATTCCTAACTTGGATTTTTCGTTAACATTTTCAAAGAGGTTTTACCTGTCAGGAATGGAGCTCGCTCAACATCCAACCTGCAAAATCTTGTCTCTAAATGTTTTTTACACAAAATGTTGAAATGGAAGTCAACAATTTTGCAACGAGGAGTGCTATGCTTGAAAAAGTGTACTATGGTATCAGGAGACTTCTTGGTTACAGCAAAAAACTCTTTCTCTTCTGTGAGTTCTTCATATTCTCCATGACCCTAAAAAAATTAATCCATTGAAAAGTTTTGCTAAAGCACTTATGTTTGTTATAATGTGAGTAATAACATCTTAGTATAAGTAACTTGAGATCTGGAGGGTATCAAGATCATTAATCCCAACACTCTGAGAATCTATATATTAATACGCAAGCAGTTTTCTTTTCACAGTCATAACTCAATAACGCCTTGATGGATTTTAACGTTTGAGGTGTCAAATCAAAGGTATTTTCACGTAGATGTGCAAATACGTCTCAGAATATTAAGAAAGGGCACCACTTAAGTACATTTAAGGGCTAAAGTTTGGAAGGTGGCGCTATCTGTTGACATTAGATCAAACTCATTTTCTTTTGTTTACAAATAAAATAACATATGGACGTAGTTTGAAATAGTTTTTAAGGTTAACCACAGACTGCAGGACTTATTACTTACAGAGCAAAGCTGGAATTTTATATTTGTATTTAAACCTTAAATATTTATATTGTATTTAAAATTTTAAATCTGTTAACTAAGTCTGGTTCATAAATAAAGAGTTTACTAGCCTGACAACAAATTAAAGCCTGACAAATTAAACCTGACAACAAATTAATTGTTTGTAATGGTTGAATTTATTTACCTTACATAGTATTTTACTGAATTGTCATGTAGCTTTCGTTACAGTTCGGTGTGATTGTTTGAAAGTGATTATTCACAGGGCAGTTACCCGTTACATTACAATATTATCATGTAATTTACAACGTGTATCAAAATTCCTTTGTAGTGTTTTCTGTTGATTGGTTAACTTTCCTATTTCATCTAAATTTAAAATTAAATGCCACCAGTAAGACAAAGGACTGTGAGTGGCTGGAGGGATCGCAAACGTGACCGCTTGCATCATCCTCCCAATTTGACGGATACAGAGTGGCAGTACCGCCGTCGTGATACATCCAATCTCGGACAAATGAACGTTAAATTTTTACATTGTGGTGGCTTACATTTTAAGCAAGAAAAGACTGGCCGAAACAGTTCAATTTTTACTCTTTGTTGCCATAAATGAAAGGTTCATTTACCTCATTTGCGAATTTCCCCATACTTTCAGGAACTTATTGGAGACTCCCAATCTGAAAACAGGGCTGTGAAGCTTGGATCCAGAAATTATCTGGGTAAAATTCGTCAATTCAATTGCGCCTTTGCCATGGTCAGCTCTGAAGCTCATTTTGACGAGAGGATCATACAGGGTATTTACAATTTCAAGATCCATGACAAGTTTTACCACCGAGTAGGTAATCTAATTCCTCAAGAAGGCCATGATCCTGAATACGCACAGATCTATAAGTACGACGTTGGCACTGGAACCCAACAGCGTATGTAAAACCATTCAAACAAAAATGAAAAAAAATATGCGGGAAATAGGGTCACAGTGCCCAATTGCCATTTGCCTAATCTTTTAAAACTGTGGCAGAAATTAATAGGGACGAGAGCTCCTAGGAGTCGAGTTAGATTCTTATGTGCATAGTAAGAGACCAAAGAAGTGGCTTCCCTCTCTACAATGATGCTAGCTGTATAGATGTCGCAGCTATTTTAATGCTGAAAAAAGAGCACCACCTGGCTAAATAAATCATTGTTTTTTTCTTAATTTCAAAAACTAATAGTGTTTAACGTGAATCCGTTCTAGATACGTCGTTAAATCTACTCTTATGTTCCTAACCGGAGACTTTGGTTCGGACACCTAATTTAAACATGCCTAAAACAGAACATATCGTAGAAATAATTTAACAATGCTATCGTACGTGTCGTACTGGTTGGCGTCAAGAGAGGGATTTAGCTTGCTACATTACATTGGTCTGAAAAGCTTATTTTACAGTGTATAGTTGACATCTACGATTTCATAGAGGGCACCCGCGGCCTACAGTACATAAGAGATAACCAAAATAATTAAATCATTTAAATATTGTACCTTAAATTACTTTTTATAATTTTTTACAACGTAATATTTTTCACGTTCCAATAATCAGTCATATAAATTACTTTAGAGTGACTCTTTGATTGAGGTTTTGCTGTTTGTGTTTTTTGTTCTTCATTATTTTATTTCAAGTTGCATTTTTGCTCGATTTCGAGCAACAGGTTATCTAGTAGTATTTAATACACTAAGTAGTGTTAGTAAAACTTGCACTTAGCTAAACCTATAGCAGAGAATGGAAATGCAAACGGGCCTGCAATCAAAGCTGACTTGACATGTAGAGGGGTGTGGGAAACACAGAGGGATGCATTATTTGATATCCGTGTCGTAAACACCGATGCTCCCTCATATGTTTCCAAACCTCATGACAATGTCATAAAAAATGTAGAAGAAGAAAAGAAAAGAAAGTATATGACAGCTTGTGAGAACCGGAATGCCTCTTTCACCCCTTTGATTACATCAGTTTGCGGAATCCTAGGCAACGATTTTCAAACACTAATAAGAGCATTAGCTGAAAGATTGTCAGAAAAATGGGTTAAGCCTTACAGCCTAGTAGTCAATTGGATAAACTTGCTCAATTTTAAGGGCAACAAGCATGTGTCTGAGAAGATCTCGGAAAAAATGGAGATCTGCTAGAGAATTCGAAGATGGTGCAGGCATCCAATATATATATTGAAAGAATCAAAATTGTTAGTAATATCTGTAATTTAGATTTATTTGTCTTGTAATATTTATAATAAATGTTTAGTTTCCGAAAAAAAAAATTGACATACTGTAAAACAATTATTTAATGATTGAGATTTCATCTATTCCCATTTTACAGAAATTGTTTGGTAAGCACACTTTACTATGTTTGAGGTCAGCAAAGTTATCTAAAATTATAACAATATAACTAACTGCCCCACAGCTTAAATTTGTCTTTCTGAATAACCATGTCCATCTTCAATAACCCTACTGAGTGAGACAAACCTGACAGGTCTACCAGCATTAAATTTTTGTTAGTGCAAAAACAAAAGTTGATTCGAGAGTGTGTATGAGAGCTTTTTTGTATGTGGCCAAGCAGACAAAAGACGTGTTTATTTCCAGTAGAGACATTAAAATGTATTGGAAGAGTCAAACATTTTTCATGCAGAGCAGTTGTCAAATTGAGTAGTGTGTTACAGAGTGTACTTTAAAGTCTACGAAGAAAAAAAATTTCTTAAACAAATATCACAGTTTATCACTATCAAGAAGTAAAAACAACCATTGAATGTTAGCAATTTGTTCGATCTATAGATATTTTTGATTTTCTTACAATCCAATTTTTAAGAAATTAAACTGTTCTAAGCTAACCTAACATAACTAACCAAACTTGCTGTACCATTTCAAAATTCCGTTTAGTAACAGAAAAGGCATATGGGGAATATCAAACAAAATTTTAAAATGGTAACTTACCAAGTTTGGTTGGTTATGTTAGGTTAGTTAAGAACAGTTTCATTTCAATATAATATTTTTTGTAATTGTTTGTTGCTACTGAACAATATGTATTTATCGTGGTTGTCAGCTGATATGTTTCAATTAGTTAATATATATATATACTAGCTGGCTCGAGAGACGTTGTCCTGTCCTAATGCGGTTTTATGTCAAATGCTCGTTCATTTTCAAGATGAGCTCGTTTGCATGGCACAATCATGTCCTGGTTGAAGTTTGTTCGCTTTCCTCACTCACCTTTAGGTTGGAGCTCTTTCGCTGCACTCACATGCCTTCAGGTTGTCTCGTTCGCTACGCTAACACGCCTCCAGGTTGAAGTTCATTCGCTACGCTCACTCACCTTTTGGTTGCAAATTAGCTGTTGTCATAAATTTAAAAAATAATAGTGCTGCACCCTGTTGGTAAACCTATTAACTTTTTAATGCTATTGAACATCTTAGAATCAAATTTGTTGTTTGAACCAGCTGTTAAGATTCTTTAATTCCATTTAAATATGAGTACTCATAAGGTTAACATGGGAAACTCCAGAGCCACTGGGGCGGAGCCCTTTTGACGGATCTGCACCAAACTTCACACAAACCATCCTTGAATAATGCTTAATAATGCCTGAAAGTTTCATTACAATCTGTCGAGCGGTTTCGGAGTCCATAAAGGACAAACAAACAAACATAAATTGGATTTTATATATATAGATCAGATCAAAAAATAAAATATTGATGTATCAGAAAAAATCATCGATAATAATAAATGTTCCCTTTGACAGGAAAGTACAGTACCAATATTTGTGACATACAAATTTTTAAGCTACCTATGTCAAGATTAAACTGAACTAAACTTGAGAACTTGAATTCAAATAACTTAATTCATGGAAATTAATGATTTAACTAATTAATTGATGGCTACGTAAAATAAAAACTGATTGAAATATTTACTTACAATTGACAACCAGTGTTGCTTTTGTTTGGCCTCTTTTTTCAACTGCTCCAATCTATCTTGTCTCAATTTCTCAATCCCATCAGAGTCAAGTTCATCAAGCTTTTGAAGTTCTGCATCCAACTGTTGTTCAACAGTTTGTGCGACCCTCAATACCTGGTCCTGCAGCACTTTTTCTACAGCTTGCATCTAAAATGCACAGAACAAAAAATAATGGGGGCTTCATGATGTATATTCCCTAACGGCTAAGTTCCCTAGGTTAGCTAAGACATAAGTTTAAGTGTCTAGCACACACGTGGGCCTGCATGTCACAGTTTTGTAACACAGACACAGATTTTCCCACACAACTTGTGATGACAACAAACGAGCGCCTGTTGTGGTATGTGAATTAATTATGTATGCTGTGTCAACCACAAAGATGTAAAATGGCAGGTTTCGACTATCAGAACGGAGCTTTACTTATAATTCAACAAATCAATTAGGCCTAGATTTTGCCATTTTTGAACCCAACTAACATTTTGCAAAATTTCTTAAAAATCATTTTAAGGCCTAAAACCAAAAACTGATTAACTTAGTATATTGTTGCTTTATAGAAAGCTTTTAAAATAAGAACAGAGAAAACTGAAACTAAACTAAAACATTTTAAAAAATCCCGGGTAAGTCATTATTCTAACGGAAAAAAATCAAACTGATGTTGTAATTGGCTTGTTTATAGATAAGTTATATATTGTTTAAATTTGACGAGTTTATTATCACTAACTTATTAGACTAGGCATACTGTAAGTTAGCTGTGAACATTTTGCATAAACAAAAATGTTAACCGTAATTTTATTTCAAATAAATACTGTAGGGAAACTTAAATTCCCATATAGGACTCCATGAGTTGCTACTACCGTCAATCTTGACGACTGCGGAACTTAGTGTGTGTACTATGCCCCAACATGCACTAGTGAAACATTCCCGCATTGCAGGGCTTGCGTTCGTTGTTTAACGAGCATCTCAGCATATGTCCGGCATTAGAGTCTGATATTTCAAAGACCCACAAGATTAAGAATATACATTCTACCGGTACACCTTGTTCTTTTTACTGTCTAACATTAACAATAAGTCAACGTAAGTCTTATTATTTAACTTAAACGCTGGTAAAGAAGAACAAAGTGGAATGAAAGAAGTGTTTAATTACAATAAGTTTAATCAAACGGTAAATACGTAGTAGCATTTTGTGAAAACATTGCCAGCCATTGCTACAATGTTACTGATTTATTAGGCTATTAGGTAGGCCTACCATATGTCTTGTTCATTTAATTTAAAATAGTGTTAGCTCATACAGTGTGACACAAAGAAACCATACGTTTTTAAAATAAGTAGTAACTTACACAGTAGTTAAAAGGTATACAATGGTTTTAATACTGTAGGCCTAAATAGTGAGGTAAACATTTGCCATTTGTTACCAAACAGTCATTTTTTGAAAATGACGTCACACATATGGCGTCAATGTACTTTTTTCTACAAATGTTCATTCTGGTCTGAAAATCATCTGAAACTCGGGTCAGGAGGTCTTGTTCAATGCCATTGATCTCTTCTGTGATTGCCAACTTCGAATCCTCTAGAATGTGTGAGTTTTGATCATAAACACGCTCCTTAAGAAACCCCCAAGGGAAGTAATCACACCTGGACAAGTCAGGTGACCTTGGCAGCCACGGTATGTTACCAAAGCGAGAAATCACCTTGTTAGGAAATATTTGCCGCAAGACTCTCATTGATTGGTCTGCAGTGTGAGCTGTAGCAGGTCGTCCTGTTAAAAAGAAACCCTTCTTCGGTTTATTTGACGTCTGCAGAGTTCTTGACGGAGAAATGTGTTCAACATGTAAACATAGCTTTGAGAGTTCACTGTGACTGTTACACCATTTGCCTCGAAAATATACGGCCCAATAAAACAGAAATAAGATACCGCTCAACCAAACTATAACCTTGGGAGAGTGTGAAGGTTTTTTATGAATGTTACGGGGATTCTGACTGGACCAGTAACGGAAGTTTTGTTTGTTTACCGAGCCATTACGGTGGAAGTGGGCTTCATCACTCATTAACAATATCATGATAAAGTTTACTCGTTTATTATAGTCAGTCACTTTAAGTTCCTGCACTAGGTAAGTTACCTGTATTATATAAGGATGAAACTTAAGATCTTTCTGAAGAATTCTCCTTCGATTCGTGGTTCATGTTCAGCTCTTGAGCATGTTTTCGCGCAGACCTGCATGGACTCCTTATCAATGCTGCTCTCACTCTGGCGATGTTTTCGGGTGTTCTCAAAGTTCTAACAAGGCCTGCTGGTTTATTTCTTGTTATATTCCCAGTTGTTCGGAACCCTGAGACCCATCTTATTAATATAGCATATTTCGGCTTGGAACCGTTCCATGGTGTTCAATATTTAAATGTCGATGAAATTCCCGCTGGGTTTTGATGATGGATTCACCATTTTGGACAAAAGTATAGTAGGCCTAGGGCCTATGCGAAAACGATGGTGGTAACCTAAATCTTCCTACCACGTGCGACAACAATGGAAAAGCTGTTTAAAAAACGTCTGGTTCCTTTGTGTCACCCTGTAGAACTTATGCATAATAGTCTACTTGACGACTTTCCAAAATAAAACTAGGCCTAGGCCCAAACCATTGAAATACAAATAGGCCTATTTAGGCATATTGAATCTTTACCTATTTTAAGATTGACCCTAAAGTAGTGGGAGGTTTTAACAAATTCATAGTAAAGTACATAAATAACATATTTATCTACAAGTTAAGCTGTGCATAGGCATGCACAATGAATTAAGCCGTCATTTTCACATAAACAAGAATGAATCATGTAAGTTACCTACGTCAATTACCTTTGAAAAACAGTTTAATTTTTCTTTGAAGTCAGTAGCAATTGAGTAATTTATTGAAACTTAAGGGTGCTTTTAAGTTAAAATACTGTAATTTATATAGGCATACCGCACTATCCCTATATTGTTGAATGAATTCACTAACACTTGACTGACAGTAGTTCGACTTTCGACTTCGACAGTTCTTGACTTGACAGCACTACTGACAGCGAGCGACGTAAAAGGAAAGGAAACGAGGAAACTGGAACAGTGAACCTGACCTGGGGTGGGTTCCATAATATCGACAACCGTAGAAATTGATCGAAACTGAATTATTCCCAGTTTGTCGACACTGGAATATTCCCACTTAACCGACATCCCAAATAACCGACGTCGCAAATGATCGACACCACAAATTGTCGACATCCCATATTGTCGACAATGAAATAGTTTCACTATGTCGACACTGAAATAGTCCCAGTATATCGACAAGCTCCCGTTCTTCGGAGCTACTCTTGAAAAGGAGTTGTTCTAATTCATCGTTCAGTTCCTCAACTCACGAGTCGCAATATTTGATTCCGAATTCCGACGGACATCTTCAAGCTGGTTATTTATTGACTAAGACTAAAAACTTTTAAGTAGCCTATATTGTAAATATTTATCTTTTTTATTTCTTTACTTTTTTACAAGAAAATAGATGACTCGAGTGTTACAAACAATAGTTTTCAAGGAATAATGTGAAATAAGTTAATTTTTATAGGATAAAAAACGTAATCAACATGATAACTTCATAACATTAGTCCTACCCTACCACACACTACCTTAGGTAAGTCACCAACAAGAACCTAAGATACAGCTTATTCCTAGGCTAATTCTGGATCATCAAACAATATTGTAGCAAATGTTTGAATAGGCACTATCCCTAGGCTATTAGGATAGTCTCTTTTTCCCACTGACCCAGTGTCAACTTTAAGAATTTGTTTATGTAACAAAACTTGCTGATGGCAAAAAAATCGCATGAAGGTTTACTAATCGAATCGATAGTTTCAATCTATATTAGCATAGCCCAGTTAAGAAACTTTACCCGTATTTTGAATATTTCATTCCTTTAGTTAGGTTAGGTTTTACCCTAACTAACCAAACTTAATATTAGGCTTAGGGGCTTTACTTTACGTCCTACACTCATTCGAATGAAAATATCGATCGATATATCGATTAATCGTTTGTATCATTCGATATATGGTTTGGTAAGTTAGGTAAGGTTAACCTAACGTAGGCCTAACTAACGAAACGGTATATCGAATGAAACAATCGAACAATCAATAGCCTAGTTTCATTCGAATGAGTGTAGGACGTAAAGTAAAGTGCAGCCGGCCTAGGCCTAAGTTTATCAAATGAAATAATCAATATGACTGGGACGGGTGGCGCTGTCCTGTAATCCAGCTACTAGGAGGTCACGAATTGTGGATATTTATAGGCATGCACTGTGGATTCGACACTCCCTGGTGTGGATGAACGTCCACACGAGTGAATACTTACTACGACTCTCCCCAGTACTATCCTGATAATTAGACCAATTCGTATAGTAGGCCTATACCAAGGCAATAATGTGGTTCGGATTCCACTATAAACTGTATGTCCCTTAGTTGCCATTAGCTGTTTGGGCTATTATTTAACAGTTGTGTCTAAGGAATGTCGGTCTTAGTCACTAACAAGACTACAGGATCGCTCCACTCATCCTACACTCATCTCCATTCATACTTGGCTTAAAATACCTACTTTGTATGGTCGTCAAATAATAAGAAAGAAAGTAGGCCTATTAAAGAAATACCTTCATTGGAATGAGTGTAGGACGTAAACTTAAGTGCTGTCAAATATTCTAGAGCTGACTTGGATTATATCATTCATTGCTGATGACTTCAATGTTAATTTTATAGATGATCCTGGAGCAAAGGCTGTAATTTGACCTGAACCCAAATTGGTCTTTATTTTAAATATTGTAAGTTAAGAGTTGACTGACCTTTCTGGACGACATTGCTATCGACATCACTGCAGATGAGAGAGAGACCAGAGTTGTGTACAAACTATATTGGCTAAAACAAAATTAACAATCATTAATAACATTTTATGATGAGTTATAAAGTGAAAGTTGCAACACCGACAGTGACCGAAATGACGTTTTACAGTATAAAAATTAAAAAATATTAATAAATTTACCCTTTTTGTGAATAAATAATGTTAAATCTAAACAGTTAATGGTTGGATAAGGTATATAATATAAAGAAATACACAACATTTTTCTTTATTACTCTTTTATTTAATGGAGACATAAATTGTCCCATAATTTGAGAATCAGCCGTACCCTGGAGGCAATAATTGCCATACTGCTGTGATAATGTTCCTTGGTCTAACCATAACTTAAGTGAGGTGAGTCAATATTCTTCCCCTTTTGGGATAGATTCTAGGCTATGTTTGAAGTTATTCAATGTTCAAAGCGGTACTGTGGTAAGTATTATCCGGAGGCTACAGATATACAGCGCTTTGCGGCGGTTATGTTAGGTTGGGTTATCATAAATGGAAAGAACATTTTTATGTCCTAGGCCTACTGTCCATATTTGGGTTTATTCTTAACTGTACAATAGGCTATCTTTTGTTTAAATTTTATGCTTTTATAAATTTATTTTATGGACAGAATTTAACCTTCATTCAATTTTTTCAATTATCAGCAAGTTTGGTTTGTTAGGTTAGGTTATGACAGTAGCTGCCGGATGCCTAATCCACGTCCGGTTACCGGGCCCGTATCCTCTGCGTAGTTTTTTATGTACTGAATCCAAATAGACCACTATTTTTCACTGCAGATGAATATTACGGAAACGGAATAAATCGCCGCTCAAAATGTTTGAATAGTCAAGGTAGGGTGGATGACATTAACAAGTGGAATGAACTGTGGGTGAAGTAACTTAAGCCTACAGCTGATTGTTTTCAACACCAAGCAATTGGAAGTGACAACTTTATTTACTAAATATGATTCTGTCTTCGCTCATAGGCCTATTGACGTCACATCGATTGGCCCCGATTAATATTAATGACTGATCATATTTCTCAGCGTTCCAATGCTCTAAGTCATAGCCTCCTCTACGTATTTTATAGGCCTGCCTAATGCCTACAATTGACTAAATTCTTTACCCTAGGGGAGCAAACTTCAGTACCGGGCTGGGGCTCAAATTCTGCCAGATGACCAATGTATTTCATTATTTATTTTTATATTATTTTTTGTCTGAATACCACAGCCCTAGACCTAGGCTGAAGTGTGAAATGTGAATTAAAATTCCGGACTAGTGCCTGTAGCGTCCTAGGACAAAAAAAATGTGTGTATACAGTTATCACATTAGTTATAAACTAATAACTAGGCAGCATTAGCGCAAAATTACACATTTTAACATAATAACAGTAATAATAAAAAGGTTGTTTAAGTCAGTCATTCACAGTTTTCAAAATGAAGCGCATGTGAATTATTTTTCCAACTGTCACCTGACAAAGTGGCCTTCCTTGTACTTATTATAGCACAGAAAGTTGCTAATTGCTGCATTTACTTACTTTTACCGCACTCTTTTTTTGCCGCACTCCAGTATTCCAACTAAACAACACAAAACAGCCTGGTTTTATTAAACTAGACACGTAATACATACGTACACTTGAAAATAAGTTGGCTACCCATTCAAGATATTACGACTAGATATTATTGAGCGGAGCGAGCGAAGCGAGCGTAGCTCTTTGGGATCAACTTCAATGCAACAAATAAAGCAACATCACTCAATAACGGCAGAACACATTTCAGCTAAACTTAACAAGATTACTTAGACTAATAGTGAGATGGTTAATAAACAAACAAATTCCAATTAGATAATGCCAATGCAATTTAAAACGAACTTAAAATTTCCAAATTTTAACATTAGGCTTATGGGACTATAGTAGCCATATGACGGTTTTTTGTTTACAAGAAAAATGTAAACAAGAGAATCATAAGGTATTTTTGAACTTTCTAGACTTTTATTTTAAACGTTTTTAAACCATTCCTATGATTTCAATAAACAAGAAAATGCCGTTAAAACATTTTTTTTAAGGCGCGGAATTCACTGAAAATCGAGAAAATATACGGAACTACTTTCTCAGTGCGCGGATCATAAGCAAGGAGCGGAGGGATACGGACCAGTGACTACTTTCTTGGGAACCTATTTGTGTTGCCAGCTGATTAGAAACAGCCAATGTTAGAAATCAGGATTTAATAAGCGATATATCGAACCGAATCTAAATCGATATTTAATCCGATAATACATCACAGGTTATATTATGTTGAATTACATCGACGGTGCAGTAAGTTATTACACTTATTAATAAAACGCAGATTGAACACTGATCTAATTTAGGCATGTGGGGAAGGTTGGTCGGGGTTTATGAGTATTCGTGGCTACATTAAGTGTTTTGAAGTAAGGTTAGATTAGGGAGGTAAAGTGTAGGTTATAGGTAGGTGATCGAGTTGTTTATTTGTGTTGCACCAAAATAAACTGATAATATTTTCCTGGTCAAAACTACCATAATGCACTTTTGTAAGAGGTATCTGAATAACAAGATGTAGTAAAAACAAATCTGAATTATTATAATTGTAATCAATAAAACCAGCATCTATTGACTTTCTTACATTTAGTTACTTATACAAATATCAAATCACGTTTGTTCCGCTCAACTGGCTTTCACCTCTCTGAAAGCAATCCTAGTACTAGATGTTAGGATCAACTGGTACAGCTTACCATTTCACCAATGTTTGGATTTAACCTAACCTAAAAACGTGTTGAACCGAGTTTGAAAGACTAATTATTTATATGTTTTATAATAACTGTAAGAAAAATATAATTTTCCTACAGTCAACCGACAAAGTTGGCTTCCTTGTACTGTTTATAGTACAGAAAGCTGCTTATTTATACTTTGCCGTACGGTTTATACTTAGCCGCACATCAGGATTCCAACGAAACAACACAAAACAGCGTGGTTCTATTATGCACGTAATCCGTGTACGCTTGGAAATAGGTTGGCAACACTTAAAGATTAAAATACTATGAGCAGCTGATTGACTATTATAACTACGATTTAACCTGTAATTTCGTGTTTATAGTTTCGGTATTTCTGAACTTTCTGGACTTTACTTTTAAACGTTTTTGAAACATTCCTACGATCTTAATAAACAAGAAAATACCTTTAAAGCATTTTTTTAGGCGCGGAAACCACTTCAAATTACAAAAACATACGGAACTATATTCTCAAAACACGGAGCACATTTCTCGCCCAGGAAAAATAGCGAAGTGATACGGACCGGGTACTACTTTCTCTATTTCTCTAGGGCACCTATTTGTGTTGCCAGCTGAACCTAAAAACGTGTTGTATAGTGTTTGAAAGACTAATCATTTATTTATATGCTTTATAGTGACTGTAGGAAAAATATAATGTGTAACACGAGTGCAAAAGGCCTTTGCTGCACTTGGCACGAGCCGCAGGCGAGTGCGTAAACGTTGCTCTCGTGTGCAGCAAAGTGCCACTTTGCCCACTAGTTACACAAATAAAATAACTATTGTAACACAAGTGCAAACTGCTTTTGCTGCACTCGAGATACTTTCCACACTCGCCTACGGCTCGTTCGTTTAAACATTTCTCTCATGTGTAGCAAAGTGCCACTTTGCCCACTAGTTACAATAGTTTTTGGTGGAACATGAGGATAATTTATAATCTGTATGCAAATTTTTAGTTTTTATAACAATTTAAAACTAGGCCCCTACTTAAAATTTATTTGGATTACATCACGAAACATGTTGTTTGGAAATGTCTTAATTAGGCTATAGCTTGCATTTTTCCAAATTGGGAAATAACAATGAATTAATGTTTGAAGCAATTTATTTTGTCCAAACCAAATTATTGATAAAAGTTCTAACATTTATATTAACTTGACCCAGATTGCCAAAAAATTTCATCTATTAGCTGTACCTATTTCAATATCGCAAATCTAGAAAGGAGTGTACACTCTTGTATTATTTATTAGACTAAAATTATTTGTATAACACTATTTTTTATTTTTTGCAATATTTCTGTACAGAGCTGTACCCTACCAGTAGAATGGGGGCGTTGTAATTAATATCCTCCGACATTGGAGGGTACAGGGGAGAGGTGCTATAGGAAGAGGAGATGGAGGATGGGGCGAAGTAAAGACGAAGATTGAAGAGAGCTAACTTATGGTAAGTTTTGCCATTTCCTCAAATTTAATACTTATAAATCCAGGGCCGTGTCCTGAAACCTATGTTGCATAACCCTCCTGAATTCCTAGTGTATCGAACATTTTAACTGGAGAGGTGCCCAAAATTTGCTTTTGTTTTTTAGAAAATGTAGGCTATATTTTTTGACAACATAATTATTCTGAATATGTCATAGTGTTTACATTTGGTAAGTACTGAAACAAAAATTATTTTTAGAGAAATGGAAAAGCGTTGTCAACAGAAGCAGTTGAAAGAAGTAGTAAAATTCTGATAGATCAATAAGGTATTTAGTACGAGCGTGCTTCAATTTATCTTATCTTAAAGTTAACTCCAACCTCCTTCAAATGCTGTTCAAATAAATAGTACCCTACAAACTTGAAAAGCCTTAAAAATACTCTTCTGTTTCATTGATGATCATTTGACATAAAATGTTGTCCACCAAGCCAATTTGTTACCTTAAGAAATAAAAAAGGTCATTCAGGGCGGTTGACAAACAAAATTATTTTATGGTTTTCTTTGCCGCCCTGTCAAGCCAGTGTGTGGCGGAGGGTGGTGGGAATAGGGTTGTTACAAAGCCAACGTGTGAACAATTTTTAGTAGCCATGGAGCTGTGGACTCCTGAGCACCATGTATTTTTGTAGTGGAAGTGTTTTTAAAAGTTGCTATACCTGTGTAGCTTTACAGTAGATGTTTCAATGTGAATCAAAGAAGAAAAGTCCCAACTCGCAACATCATTTTGGGTAGCAACTTTAGAGCTACTAGTTCAGCATTGAAACTAAAATCAATAGGCCATCCAAGGTCAGCCCAGATACTAGATAACTTCAAGAGAGTGAGGGAGAAAGACTATGTGTTGTGGTTGAAAGTGTGATTCGTCGCTCATAACGTAATTTTGTCACATGTAATCAAATCAATCACTGGTTCTGAAAATGAGATGCACTTTGCTTAGCCACTGGGCTTCAACTGTTGCACTCTTGCCGTTTTGTATCAATAAAAAGTGCAGGTCATATCATAAAATTCTTCTACTGAGTGGCCAGACATGTGCACAGCTACAGCTTATCCAAGTGCAGACCCACAGCAAAATGTTGTTTCAAGTTGGGACTTTTCCCCTTGGACCCATGTTGAAACGTGTACGGGACTACCCCTGAACAGCTACACCGGAATTGCCACTTTTAAAAAACACTTGCACTACCTACTAAGAGAAGAAAACGTATCAGATAATTTTGCCACACTCTGTACATTATATTTTGTCCTATACAAAATGGGTTGTATGGGTGTCTGCACTGATATATTGAAACAAACGACTACTGCATTTGTGGCAAAATTAAACGATATTGTCCTCGGTAATGACCAAATCGTGAGTGTCTTCCGTGTTTGCAGGGTCATCATCTTCGTCTTCCATAGTCGCCAGTGGTTATAATCGTGGGCATCCTCGGAGCAATCGTGAACATCTTTCGCGGTTGCGAGGCCTGATTATCGTCACCCGCGATCGCTGGTAGTCGTAAATTTTGATCACGCAATCTTTGCAGACGCTTTCGCCTATCATGAGAATACAAGTTAAACTTGGATTATTGTACCCCCTAATTCTAACAGATTGTGGGAACATTTATTTTCCAAGAGAAAAAAAGCATTCTTTTGAGGCCGCAAGTGAGTCCCCTTCCCAGGCCGAAGCTCTCGGAAATCACAGTGTCCGCCGTTAGGGGAATACGGCCCTGATATTTGGAGACCTATGTTGGTGTGGGGCCTGGTGCGAACCGCCCCCCCCCCCCTCAGTACGCCACTGAGCACATTAAATAATAATAAAAGTATGCATAAAAAGACTAAACTTGTTCAGAATACAGTTTTTTGTATTAATTTTTGTTCTGTTTTCCAGGCCTGATGACAGGGTAGAAGGTGATGGAGGCATGGTGGTTGGGGGAGAGGAGGCTGAAGAAGTGGAGACAAATCAGTTTAGATTCATTATGTTGATTAGTTTAATATTTATTTGGAATATCAGTATACTTTTATTTAGATATCTAATCATTTAGATTATTTTTTCTCATTTAGATTATTAAACTAAGATCATTTTATTGTTTTTATGAAAATGTTTTCTTAAATTTTTAATATTTGTTTGTACTTCTGTCTGGTAAAAAAAATACTGTTTTTTTTAGTATGTTTGTTAAAATGATTACTTTCACTAACTGACCTTGTCTTGGGTGAAAAGAGATATCTTGATATTTAACTAGCAGGGTGCCTGTTCTATAGGAGGGGATCGTATAAGTCAGTTGAAACCTTCTTATATTTTGATAAATTGTAAATTAATCATTTTCAACTTTATATAGTGTAGATCGCTTCTCCTGTATTGATGTACTGAAATGAATAAAATTATATGAAATGAAATGTTGTTAGCGAATTTCCCATTTACTGTAGTACTAATAGTAAGACCTGGACCCGGGACCGATTTAATTTTTCGTTTTGAGGGCCCTAGAGGTCAAAAACACCATCCGTTAAAATTCATATATATATATATATTTATGAAAAAACAGTTCATATTTATTTATTTTGTTCATTTTTACATTTTTCATTAATTTCTCTTTGCTTGAAAACATTTGTATTAAAAGAAAATTTGCAATGTTTCATGTTTCATTTATCATAAACTCTATCAAGATCTCCTCAAGAATAATATATATTTGTATATATGTGTCTGTTAGGGTGATAACTCGAGCAAAAATGGTCCGATTTTGATGAAACTTGGTAGAAACGTGTAAACCTACATTTATTCAAACGAGTTCGCGAACAAGCATAATCGGACAATGGGAACAGGGGTTTATGGGGTAAAAATTGGTTTCACCTATTTTTTATTCTCAAAACAAAAAGTTTGCAATTTATTTTTTAACCGTTTTGTAGAGCTATGCCTAACGGTCACGGAAAAAATTCAAAAATATTTTAATTTAAAATTCCCTTGTTATTCTAATGGAGAAAATTAAAACTGTTGTAGTTTACTTGTTTTGTTTGTAGATATATGTTGATAAAATTTGGCTAATTTATTTATTTCATCTTATACTATTGACGTATGGTCAAAAAAACACTTTTTACCTTCCCCGTAGCAGCAAATCTAGTAGGGTGAAAACCTAAAGGGTAGGTAAGGTGTAGGTGTTTACATATTTCCAGCATGAAGAGCCATTTTGAACAATATTTTTGAAGATTTTCAATGTTTTTTTGTGTGTCTGATTAACATGGATATGGATGTCACTGAAAGAGCCACCCTGGAAAATATACCACACAAACTGACCTTGTGAAAATAGGGTCAGGAAAGTAAAAACCTGTCATTGTTAGTGTCAGCCCGGTTTTCTGGCTAGTCAAACTAGCCTATAACTGAATAAGTTACACTCACTTACCATGGTTGGAATATACAGGCAAATCTCAATCATTCTTAATACTTATTTTAATAGACATCTCTTGTGTTTGCATTGAACAGTGTGGCAGAACAAAAACCAATGCAAACATCTATAATGAGAATCATAATAATAATATTACTAGTGTACCTGTTGCTCGAATTCGAGCAATTGCGGAGCATTGCAGGCGACTCAAAGATTATGGAAATACTTACGATCTACACAACAGTTAGATATCAAAATCTTTTGTAAATATCTTATCTTTTTTCAAAAAGCTGATCTTGTTTTTTTAATGTTTTTAGTGTAAAAAAATATTTCTATTTCTTTTACCTGGATGTGTTCTATGACTTTTTCTATGTTTCCATTGTTTGCAAATCGGTTACCTATATCAATGATTGCTCAAGAAATGTAGCACAGTGTTAATTCAGTTTTATTTTTAGCCTATATCAAATTGTCCAGGATTTCTCGCTCTTTTCCGTTGTAATAATTACACCAATCCAAGTTTCGTCTATAGATGCAATAGCCAAAGAATATCAGCTAGGTATTGTAATCTCCAAGAAGTGGTAAAAAAGGCAGAAACCAACCCATACAATAGATATAAGTTAACTCCATAAGTGATATTAGGATTTTCCACTGATTTGGTAATAGAACATTATATTGCAAAACATGACACGATGCAGAAGAAAATCAATTTTAAAATCAGAAAAATCCATTACAAATGCTGTACTTTATTTTGACAAATTCAATAAATCACAATTTAAATATTAACAGCTGTTGCATTAAAAATGCATATGGTCGTAATGTAAACAAATCTGAAGAGGGAACTTTAAAGGCCTCTGGGGCAGAGCCCCAAGGGAATTTACCTTGTTTCTCTTTTGATGGCTCATCTACAGACCAAGACCTTTCTTTAGAGACCCCTACCAAGTTTCTACGCCCAGCCGGTCTCTCAAATTAGCTGCGACAAAAACCCCGTTTTTCCTCCATAAGAATAACATGGGATGGGAAATTTAAGGCCACTGGGGCAGAGCCCCAAGGGAATTCACCACGTTTCTCTTTTGATGGCTCATCTACAGACCAAGACCTTTCTTTAGACACCCCTACCGATTTTCTACGCCCAGCCGTTCTCTCAAAATAGCTGTCACAAAGAAAAACAGTTTCAAATTAATATATAGATTATTAATAATTATTAATTCAGTAATAGAGTAAACAAACAAACAATAAATCTTCATAAATACAATTAGAGTTTTGTACATTGCTCAGAATTATATATTAAAACGTTTTTATTAGCTCGCTTTCTAGTCCTGTACAAATTTTGCAATCAATTTTATACTAAGTTCCCGAAGAGCTAGAGACTTGAAACTTGAAACATAGCTCACAAATGGATGACAATGCAATATTATATAATTTAATTTAATTTTCATATTTCCCTTGGGCTACGCCCTGCCAGATTCTTCAGTTAATACAGATTCCGAATTTATAACTTTAATTGCAGTCAACCTATTGTATGCACGGCCAGGAGGTTATTAACAACCGCGTACACGGCTTGAGGAACTGACATATCTGCGTCGAGTCCCCCTTTGTGGTGGGGGAAGGTTGCTGAAACGGCGCGCTTTTTATCCCAAATCTCCTATCTACCCGGTGTTCCAGTTGTGTTATATAGTTCGACTAGCTGTACCCGCAGGCTTAGCCCCGTTTAACTTCTTAATTTTCAAGATGAGCTCGTTCGCATGGCTCAATCACGTCACGTAAGGTTGGAGCTCGTTCACTGCGCTCACTTGCCTTCAGGTTAGCTCGTTCGCTACGGTAACTCGCCTCCAGGTTGAAGTTCGTTCGCTACGCTCACTCACCTTTTGGTTGCAAATTAGCTGTTGTCATTAATGTAAAAGAGATAATAGTGCTGCACCCTGTTGGTAATCCTTGTAACTTTAATGCTATTGAACATCATAGAACAGAACCAACTTGTTTAATTGAAACAGCTGTTAAGATTCATTAATTCCATTTAAATATGAGTACTCATAAGGTTAACATGGGAAACTCCAGAGCCACTGGGGCGGAGCCCGAGAGTCAGATCAGGATAAAAACAGCTTAGTTTTCCTATTTAATGCCTAAAGAATCAGTGTACCAAATTTCAGCCTCCTAGGTAAACGGGAAGTAAGAGAATTAGTGATGAGTGAGTGAGTGAGTCAGTCAGTCAGTGAGGGCTTTGCCTTTTATTAATATAGATGTATTTGACACATAAACAAAAACATATGATCAGCTGTTGACTTTTGAATGCAGTAGATAAAGAAATAGCTGATAGCAAATCCACAGATATTAGAACAGAAACGGTATGAATCGTAAATATAATCAAATGACGACACTAGCTTGAGGTCCGTGACGTAGGAAGTGGTGAAGGAAGTAGTAATGGTGAGCAGTCTGGAGTCTGGAAACTGTTTATGACGATTAGATTTAGGTATCTGCATTCCTAAAATTCTATGGGAAGGGAGGAAAACAGGTCCGCGATGTATAGGAAGTGGTGAAGGAAGTAGTCAAGGCGAGCTGTCCGGAGTGTGGGAACTGTTTATGACGATTATATTAAGGTATCTGCAATCCTAAAAATGCTATTGGAAGGGAAGGAAACTGGTCCGCGACGTATGAAGTGGTGAAGGAAGTAGTAAAAGCGAGCTGTTCGGGGTATGGGATCTGTTTATGACCTTTAGATTAAGGTATTTGCAATCCTAAAATGCTATGGGAAGGGAAGGAAACAGGTCCGTGACGTAGGAAGTGGTGAAGGAAGTAGTAAAGGCGAGCTGTTCGGGGTATGGGAACTGTTTATGACGATTAATTAGATTAAGGTATCTACAATCTTAAATTTCTATGGGAAGATAGGGAAACAAGTCCACAACATAAGAAGAGGTGAAGGAAGTAGTAAAGGTGTGGAGTGTGGGAACTGGAAACCATTTGTAGCAGTTAGATTAATGTATCTGCAATGCTGAAATGTTATGAGAAGGGATGGAAGCATGCCCACGACATAGAAAATGGCGAAAGAAGTAGTAAAGGCTAGCAGTGCAGAGTGTGGGCAATGTTTGTGGCAATTAGATTAACGTATCTAAAATCCTAAAATGCTATGGGATTGGGAAGAGATGAGGGAAACAGGTCCACGACGTAGGGGGTGGTGAAGGAAGTAGTAAAGGCGAGCAGTGTTGAATGTGGGAATGGATCAATGTATCTGCAATGCTAAAATGCTATGGGAAAGAGAGACTGTAGACTGTAGGTCAAAATGGTTATAAAGCACGAATCGATACATATTTCGATACATGCAATCGTTTGTAATAGAAATTTACAACTGAGTTGACAACAGCTGATTTTTACTCCATTGAGGCTAAAAACGATTTTTACTCCCTAAAGAGTAAAAATGCTACTTTAGACCAGCAAGGCATGCATTAAAAACAACTGTTTTTACTGCAGTATGACAAAAACAATATAATCCTGCTCAATTTTGTGGATGCCTCTGCTAACGCCACCTAGTTATTATAACTAACAGTATAATTGAGGGATTGTTTGGAGAGATTTAGATTATTCCAGACAATTCACTACCGTACCGCTTGTCTCTGACCATTACGTTTATGATTTCTATAATATAAATTTCTAAAATCAAAATATCATCATATTTATTTCAATATTTTATACACAAAAGAAGCACACCTCTATAGAAACATAACGATTTTTCGGATCTCAGGTAAGTTTTTTCTAAGTTATACAAACTTAAAAAAATGTTATTGGCTTTTTTTTTATTTCTTTATTTTTTTTATTTTTTTTAGAAAGACCAAATAAACCAAAACCTTAGTGAGCTGTTTATTGTATAATGGCCCTAAAAGTAAATGAATTTATAGCAAAAAATAGTTATAACAA